AAAAAAAAAAAAAAAAGAGGAGAAAAAGAAGACATCACTAATTTTCCCACCGCTGCCTGCTCATGATAATAGGCCTCGCCGGATCCCAAGGCCCTCGAATCTCATTCTTATACCTCTGCAGCCCAATCAGCCACCAGCTGCACCCGCCCGTCGCAATCGCCGCAATCAGCACGCTCACAACCATGCCGCCGAGGCCGCGCTTCCACGGCCAGTAGTCCGGGCTGGGCTCGCGCATCACCACGCCCACGCCCCATCCCGCCCCGAGGATCAGCAGCACCGTGAGGATGGCGTGCTGCCGGAAGCTGCGGTGCTGGACGTAGCGCCTGAACACGGGGAATAGGCCAAACACCTCGATGCTGAAGAGCGTCAGGCAAAAGACCTGCTTTGTGGAGGGCAGCCGGCTGGCCAGCACGGTCGAGGCCATCAGGGCCGCGTTGGTAGATAGCGAGGCGGGGAACTTTGCGCCCACGCCGCCCGAGTAGTCGAAGAAGAAGATGTTGATGGCGAGCAGCCAGAGGGACATGGCCCATATGCTGTCGCTCGACGTGGATTGCGTAAGGGATTTGAGGATGGGGCTGAGGCCGAGGAGCGTGCAGTAAATCAGTATGGCTGACTTGATCGTCCCGAGACGCTGGTGCAGCCGATTCGCCTCGTTGGGGATTGGCGCAAAGTCCGGAATCACATCTGAGCTGGCTCTGCGCAGCAACGGCTGGCCGCCGTCCGCGCCAGTTGCATTCTGAGAAGGCTCCTTGAGTGATATGGGCGATATAGGTGACGTAGATGACGTAGGCGAAGTAGGGGAAGTAGGAGAAGTAGGAGAAGCCGGAGAGTTGGTCGAAGAGGGAGAAGTGGTAGTAGAAGAGTGGTGAGCTGGGCGGCTTGTCCGCAACCGCTCGCTCTCTGGAATCTGAATCTGAATATTGACCGTCGAATTGCCAGCAGATGGCCTTGAGGAGGCCGCCTCGGACGAAGGACGACTGCTGCTACTCGGCGTAACGGACGTGATGCGTGGTGTAATGATGGGCCGACGAATGCTAGCTGCGCGAGCCCGCCGCCGTATGCTCTCGCTCTTGGTCGCAGAGGCCGCGATGCCGCTCGCGCTCACCTCCTCCTCCTGGTTCATTTCCTCCGAGACCCATCGCTCCCACAGGATCCAGCCGAGAAACGTCGCAAAGGTGCTCCCGCCGACGAGCGAGACGGGCGAGACGCGCTCCTGGTAGATGCCGACGAAGCACACGACGAAGAGGCTGACGGAGCAGACGTGCTGCAGGATGACGGTCGAGTCGGCCACCAGCGGCCAGAAGTCGTAGGGTTTCAGTCTCGGGTTGCGTTGTAAGTTTTCGAGAAATGTTGCCTGATCGGTATAGTTGTCTGGATCTGCATCATCGGATCTTGCCCGTTAGTTTGCCATTCTTTTCCCCTATCCAGTATCTTCTCTCTCTCTCTCTCTCTCTCTCCCCCTCACTTTTTTGTTACCCCCTATCTCGTTCCCGCTCCGCCTCTCTCTTCTCGCTCAGAGTTTCCACTTTCAAAACAAAACAAAACTTACACGACTGCTTCACCCACATGAGCTTCTTCCAAGCCCTCTTGCGCCTCCGGCTCCTGCTACGGTCATCCTTCAGGTGCCTCAAATGGGATAGCGGATCGGCCGCGCCGTCGCCATCGTAGGCCTGCCGCAGCGGATACGTGAAGGCATCGTGGGGCGATAGGTGCGAGCGATCCAGCGCGCTGAGGCTCGCGGAGTGGCTCAGCGCAGGAAACGGCGTTTCGTCGTCAGTCGGCGAGGGCATGACTCTCTCTCTCTCTCTCTCTCTTTTCTCTCTCCCCCGATTTGCTTGTGAATTTTGTTCTTTATGCAGACCCTCCCCAGCCCAGCCCCCCCGTCCGTCGCCTATCGCCGGATCTCGCTAAACTGACTGGGCGAGGCGCAATAGGGTGGTCCTAGCGGGTGTTTTGAAATTTGGTGACGGCTGCTTTTGCTGGTTATAGAATTAGAGCATAGAGCTGAGCGGTCATTTGGGCAGATACGAGCGCGGGCGCCGAGGGTGGTGGCTTTGACCGTTTCATCTGTCGCTGCTTTGACTGCAATTTCGGGTTTTGACAGAGGGAACAAGAATAGTGCAGGTTCGCTGTTTTTTTTGGGCGCAGCTCTCAGAAGAAAGGCACCGCGGTCCTTATGTCACTCGTGGGGCTCGGCGGGTACCTACAGAGAGGTACCTGAGCTGAGGACAGATGGGTAACACCTCGCGTGTGTCTTGCATTGCGTCAGGAATAGGTCCATGTAGTCATTGCTACAACTCAATTGAAAAAAAAGCTGCGTCTGTTGGAAAACTCGCAGTAAACAGCTTAGTAGGAGCTCAAACAACGCAATAAGTGCTTAGGATCTGACACTCGTCAACGACGTCTAACGTCTGAGAACTGCTAAAACTCCGGGCCATGCTGTTACTTACCACTAGCGAGGCGGCATTGGGATCGTTTGCTCAGAAAGGCGGTGTTTACGTAATGCGCCCAGCAAAAGCAAACCTGATCCAGAGACAAACTCGGTTCTTTGCTTCTAGAATGCAATCCAGCTCTCCTATGAGGAGAGATAAAAATAAAAATAAGAATCGCCTGAGTCGAGCTAGAACAATCGATCAAGCCTCGGCTGTCGCTCGCAACGCAAGAGCCAAGGCGCACAACACGCTGTGGCCCGCCGTCCTGGCGCTGGGGAGGATCCGGGTCGCCATGTGAAATCTCCCTAGAGAGAGGTGCCAAGACAAAGGCAAATCTTGAGCTAAATCGTAATTGGGCGATCTACATTCCATTTCGGGAAATTGAGGGGAGGGATTCAACGAGACCGAGAGCCGTTTTTTTTTTTATTCTCTCTGCCGTGTGTGTGTCTTTGGTTTTTTTAAACTAGGAAAAAATGCTCGAACAAGCACAGCCCAGGATATCGGGGCCCGTTGAAGATTTTTTTTTTTTTCCTGAATTGCAGCTCCTTACAGCACTAGACGCCGTTTTCAGGCCCTATTCCATTGTTCTAGACTAGTACTGGAACCGGGCACCGACGAATCTCATACAGCAGAGTGGATCAACGCGGCGCCCACGTTCCCTCTTCCCTCTTTATTAACCTTGACAGCTTCGCCGGCTCATCGATTGCGCCTCGTAAAAAGTCGCGTCTTTAATCTTCTTGCCGCCTCACTCTTAGCTCGGATATCTGCCGAAGCGCCAGGTTCTCCACTATCACGAATAGTAGACCCGGCTCAGGATCCTGCTGCTAACTCCTGCAAAGTAGTCGGTACAACTAACCCGCCCTCTCCTCTTTGTAACGTCTCACAGCATGTACGTGGCGTGAGCGTGTAGGTGTGTGTGTGTGTGTGTGTGTGTGTGTGTGCCTCTTTACCGCCAATGGTATCACTAATACTTGTACCAATCTCGATTGAATGGTCCATTACTTGTCCAAAGGAGACAAGGCAAGGCAATTAGAGCAAGCTGGGGCTAACCCCTGACCAATATTGTGGGAATCGTGTAAGTCGGCCGCCATCTCTCTCTCACAGCAAACAGTTTGGGCGTTTCGGCCAGGGCCCCAAAACACACTCTTCATCTTGGACGGGTAGCTTTTGTCTGGTTATGAATTTTGCTGGCTCCGCGGACAGCGATGCGAGATTTCCGCCCACCCACTCCACCACCAAACAACCCCCCTTGTCCAAACTCAATACGTACATACAAAATAAACAGCAAGGGGATAAAAAAAAAACAATTGTCTGCTTTCTCGGCTCGTTTGTGGGCTTGCCAAAGGGGGCATGACTGGCGCCTTTTGCTGCGCCACGATTCGCGGATTTCTTTTCTGCTTTGACGTGGACCACCGCATCAAGTACCCAATACTATTTGCCCCCCTCCTCCCACTTCTGACCCGGGGATTTTTGTCAGTCCAAGTTTGACGGGCTGTGCACGCCCCTCTTATTAAGAAAAAAGCTTAGTTGCCTGGTGTCCTCTTTTTTCTCTTTATCTCCGTCTTGGCTCCTTTTCTCTGGGTCGGGTGTAATCCTTGAGAAGTTCGTTTGAATATCGTCACTTATATCGCCACGTTATCTTCAAGTCTTTATTTGATAATCAAGCAAGCACAAACAATAACTATTACAATCTTTGAACTCATATCAAGAGGAGTCTCCTAGTCTTTCTTATTCCTCAGTCAACTCATCATCACCTCAAATCACGCCTGTTGGGGATTCTATAAACCACTAAACGAATCTTGCCCCTTTATCCCTCACCACCATCACCACAATCATCAAAATCATCCCCTCCATCCATCCAAAATGACCGTCAAGATCACATCTCTCCTCATGACTATCCTCTACGTTACGGGGTTGGTACTAAGTGCCCCTACGCCGAAAAACACCGTCTCGGAGCCCCTTGCCGCCATCACAAAGCCCTCACAACCCCAGACCCCATCAACCGAGCGAGCCTCATGGGTCAACGAGAAGCGAGCTCGCATCTTCAGAGTCGACAGGGCCTTGTTGGCAAAACTTTCCAAGAGCAATAAGCCATCAAAATACTTCCTTGATGCAACGCTCGATCTTATTGAGACGAGCCAGGACATCGAGGGGGTTCCCGTCTTTGCCGGTGACAAGGGGAAGACGGTCACCATTGATCCAAACGGCGACCTGATGGCATCATATGGCTCAGAGAAGTTCGTTCCTGTCTGGGGCCACGAGGGGAAGCACCATAGACATCATCATCGTCGTCCTCCTCATGACCTTGGTCAGAAATTTGCCTTTTTCATCTTGGGTTTCTCTCTTGCTCTTGCCATTATCTGCTCCTGTATGAGAAGGTAAGTCAAAACAACAGCACTCAAGGCATTCCAGTATGATTTTGCTCTCTCTCCTAACACCTCCATTCTAGTCTATGTTCTCAGGAAGATCTCGAGACGACTAGTCCTGCCTCTGATCCAAGTACGGCCGAAAAAGGGACGTCCTCGGAGGTCCGGAACGAGAAGGTCTAATGGATAGCAGTAAGCCCCATGTCTGACGGAAAGAAAAAAAAAAACAACGAAGAAAGAAAAGAAACGAAGAAACTTAAACAATAGATACACGCCAACTACATCAGTGGCATGGCCATCATTCTGCATGATTTCAAGAATTGATTTACGAGCTACAGTTTTGCTCTGGCGTTGAGCTACACAGCAAGAGGAGGATTTTTTTTTTTAAGAGCGGATGGATAAAGAGCAGGCCTGTGGCAATGGATGGGCCGCGTCTATAAATTCCATAACTTTATGGAGTGTATACATGAACATGTAATAATATTTAATCAGACATGATGAACGCAAAGAAGGGCAAGATTGAATACCCAAATTATTTTAGATATTTCTACCGATTTCCAATCATCTCAATCCCCGAAGCGAAAGGTGCCTTATTTTCAACTATAGCAAAGCAACACGCAGTTTCAGAAGGCCTCGTATTTTCCTCGTAGAAGACGAGGCTCAGGCTCAGCCATTTCCTCATGCCTGTACTTGTATACATTAGTATTTCACAATTTGAGCCCTCGTCAATCGCCGCATTGGGACACAGCGCTAAATGCCAAGAGGCTAGAAGCGAGACGGGCGACGCCTATTAGCCCACCCGGTTCCACATTCTTTGATGAGCCGAACTTTTCTTTTAACCTCGGGCCAAGCCTCGTAGCATTCGTAGATGCTATACCACTGCCAACATTGGAACTGCAGTGTGGTTTAAAAAAAAAAAAAAAGAGAGAGAGGGAAAAGAGAGTAAAAAAGAAGAAGACGAAGAAGGCAAACCAGAAGAATACATCAAAAGAGTAAGCTGGAGATCGCGACGCGCGGTTACATGCCTAGCCGTGAGTCTTCATCCACTCGTGCTGCCGTTCTGGTTCACAACTGAGGGGAATTGCCCACGCGAGACGGTGGGTAGATACGGCGCTAAAAGCACTATAAGTGCGGGAGTAGTTAATAATATCTTCGGACTATGGGGTAATCGCCAGATATAACTACTGCACCACCGCCAAGAAGACTCTAGAGCTCCAGTTGGCTGTTGCTTTTTGTCCTTTCTTGCAGGGCACGCCTCGAGACACGGGCACGAGGACATCTACATATGCACTCCTTGTTTGGATTGTGTTGGGTCTACAATTACAGATTACAGGTTCATTTATAAACGCGGGTATGGCTACTTACCAGGCGGCCAAAACGCAGTTTGTCAAGGTAGACGGCTGTACCTTTGCCTATCGACTGCTCGGCCAATCGCATGGCATCCCGCTGGTATTTATCCCAGGGTTCAAGTAAGTAGTAGTGCCTGAGTGGGTGGTCGCAGTGGCCGCCTTCTACCTCCCAATTCTCTCCCACAGGATCCGAAACAGTGGAGAGAATCTCTCTTGAGAAGACTATTTGCTGATACCTGCCGGCTTGGTCGCTGCGACACAGACAGACCATGGATTACTGGGATCCAGCGTTGGTCAATCCTCTTGCGGCTCAGCGCCCAGTGCTGCTGATTGATAACGCTGGAGTTGGCCGATCTGAGGGCAAAATTCCCGATACCTTTGCCGGCTGGGCAGAGCACTACACTGCCGTAATCAAGCAGATTCTTGGCCAGAGCAGCAAGGTTGATGTTTTGGGTTATTCGATGGGCGGCTGCGTTGCGCAGCTTATGGCCTTGAACGCGCCAGAACAGGTGCGACGATTGGTGCTGTGCGGGACGATTCCCAGTTCCGGAGACGGCGTTAAACCGTCTCCTGATGGCAAGGCATTCAAGCGTCTCAAAGCGGCCAGAACTGCGGAGGAGGAGCGGCAAGCCTTCCTGGATGGGTTCTTTGTGCAGCGCTCTGAGCGTAGTCAGGAAGCAGGCAAGAGGGCATGGGAGCGCATTATTAACAACAGAAGCGATGCCGGCGAGGTGAGATGCGAACCAGTACCCCCAGGGCCAGCTCATAAGCAGGCGCTTGCGTTTGTCAGGTTCATGGATAAGAAAAATGCCTCCGAAGGCAGCTATGAGCGGCTCCGACAGCTGCGTCTGCCCGTGCTAATCGCCAATGGTGAGTCTCTTGCTTCTCCTTGCCCTTGCCCTGCCTTCCCCCCCTTAATCCTTTGCGTGCCCCCCAGCCAATGGAGTAAATATCCGCCTAGCCACTCCATGAAGAAAAAGAAAGAAGCAACCGGATGCTAGTATGCAGCTAACTTTGTTATACGCTCTGTAGGTTGCGACGATTTGCTGCTACCTACTGACAACAGCATCCTGATATGGAAGATGCTTAGCTTCGCGGATGCACGACTGCATCTGTTTCCAGATTCGGGGCATGGGTTCCTGTACCAATACGCCGATGAATTCGCGAAACTTGTAAATGATTTCCTTGGCGCCAATGGCAGCAGCAGCAGCGGCGGCGGCGGCGGCGGCAGTAGCTCGATTCGCGACAGTCGGCTTTGACTGCTCAATGCTGTTTGATAGGACTCCGTACTAGTGTCCATGCCTGTCTCGCATCTTAGTGAGCCTGCAAGGCGCGTCTATCGACGACGACGACGCGACGCCAGTTATTTTCCTTATTGGTCCTTCTTTGCTTTTGGGGTCACTGCAAGCCCCGCCGTGATCAGCTAGGTCGCCATGTAGTAATGAGCAAACGATGACCAAGGGGCAGCTAGATGAAAGGTAGCATTGCAACAAAACAAACACGGGGTACTCTGAATGCTGCCAGCATGCTTCGTGTATTCTTGCCAACTTTCTCTTGTGCGCTCCGTGTTTCCCTTTTGAAGCTGGTGTCATATGCAAGTTGGGCCATCCATTATGAAGCTGCACATCGTGCCCAAGCAGGGAGACAGCTAGCCAACCAATCATCTACAGAGGTTGACGATAAGAACGAAGCCGCTGTTCACAGCGCTGGCCATTTGATCAAGACGGCAAAATACTTCGTAGCTGTGTAGATAATTAAATTGCCCCTGGAAGTAGAAAAGGACCAAACTCTAGCTTCTTAATTGTGAGGTACCTCAACTTATACTCGGCAAATGCGACGGCTGCAAGAGTCCCTCTAAAGAGCGATAGTCGGAATAAACTCTCCTTTCTACCTGGGCCTCTTCTCTCTCCACACTTGCTGACAAGAGAATGGGTAACACGAATTTTTTTCCCCAGTAGCATTTTCCGAGGTCGTGATTGTGCTCTTGTGCTGGCCCTTGTACCAAGAATAATGCCCTTCCGCTCTCTGCAAGCATCCAGGGAGCTAGTAGTACTACTCATAGGTAAAGCGCCGCTCCCGGTATTTGCGTCACCATCGGCCGGTAAGAGCAGGCAGTTGGTAATAGTAATAGTAGTGGTAGTAGTAGTAGTAGCAGTACTTCGTATGAGCAGAAGCCGGGTTGTTAGTCATGCCGAAAGAAGTATTGGGCAATGACGACGACTTTTGTCTTGAAAACGAGTCGGGGGCATCGCGGCCTGGATCTGACGCCGCTCCGGGGAAAAGCAATTGGTTGGTTGTTTAGCGTCGTCCTGTCAGAGTTGGCTGGCCACCAACCTGCAGCTCCGTCCGCCTCAGCCGCTCTTATTCACGAGGACAAGTCAGCCACCTGCCCGCTCCATCGAGCCGAGCCTTGGTAGCCGTCGACGAACAAGAGAGCGAGACCATGGGCAAGATAGGGGCGGCTACCGGCGTCTGTCACGCCACCCGGTAGACCCGTTGGCCGCCATCACTATCCTGCTCAGGGAAAAGCAAGCGCACGAGACACAGCAGCGAGTGACAAGGCAATTGGGCGGCTCCCTCTGCAATCCCGAAGAAGCAGAAGAGACGCGATTGGGAAGCGCTGCACAGGTGTGGAAAGACTTTGTTGGATAATCGGTCTGGTTCAGGCAGAGGAGATGCGCATGCTATGGATACTTGGTACGCCCGCGGGTAAAAAGGTCCAACTGTGCCCTTCCGTTTTGGCTTTTTTGCCCCATTGGCCTCGTTCGTAAACCTTGAGGTCGGCGGAGGCCCACGCAGCCGATGCAGATGATGAGGTACGACAGACGCAGGCTGCACGCCTTCGAGATGGTACCTACATAAGTCAAGTAGCGTCAAAAGCTGTGCTCCAAGCTGTGCTCCAAGCAGCACTTCGTACTCGTAAGGGATGGCAAACAAGATGCAAAGCTGATGGAAAGCAGGGAGGGCGAGACAGGCGGCCAGCCAGGCAAGACGGAGTTGAGAAAGGCATAGAGAGGCAGAGGCGGCAGAGAGGCAAACGGCAACTTTTTGAGCAACACCCAAGAGCTGAGCTGCGCAGGAGCCGACATCATAGCTTTATCATCACCATCAGAATTCATAACCGTAAACACACCGGCCGGCAGCAGGACCTGCTAGTGCTCCTGTTGGATCTAATCACTTACTCCTTTTTGACTCCATGCCCGTGTCCGTGCTGCGCCCGCGGCTGCTGACACTGGAAGCTGAAGCTCATTCAATATATTACCGCGGCATCCAATTGGCGATGATGGCCAGGGAGTGAGCTCGCATCGTTAAGGGTTGCCCGCTGGTGTCCAGCGCTGTCTGCCAACCACGCTGGGAGGCTGGCATCCACTGTAGGTGCGCTAGGCTCTAGCGGCATCCGCCCAGCAGGCTATGTACCTAGCGGGCGAGTGATCAGCGCCTAGGTAGGGAGCAAGAGCCTGCAAGCACCCGCCGTCACAACCCGTCGGTGAAAACATGGATGGATTTGATGCTATCAAATGGGCGGCATCCATCCTTGGAAGGGCCATGTAAGTATGAGTACTACTAGGTAGTGTGGAGTGGTAGTATGGGGCAGTATTGCGTATTACTGATAATACTCGTACGAGTTCGAGCATCTACCTGCCAGGTAGCAGTACTATTGATAGCAGCAGCGGTGCTTGGCCTGCAACAACCCTCCTACTGCCTTAGTACCTACTAGGTAGATATGTAGGTAGCAGTATCACTGTACTCCGTTGTGCGTCCTTGCTTTAACAGCCGTATGGGATGGCAAGGGCTAGCTTTGCCGGAACGTGGCTTGCTCGGCTCCCTTGGCTCCCTTGCACCTGGCCAATCTCGTTGCTCGCCGTCCCTCCTCCTCGCAGCAGCATCTCTCTTTCCCAGGTAGGCTACACATATCCACACTTGTAGCAAACATGAAGGCAAGTCGCAGGCAAGTCGCAGGCACTTGCACCTGCACGCGTGATGGAGTAGCATTGGGTTTGGGAAGGAGGTGCGGATGGGGGCTCTATCGGCCGGCTTCCTCCTGTCTTCTGCTGCTCGTCTGTACAAGCAACACTGGTATTTATACAGAGCCTTGCACACGATAGCTGCAGGTCGCTGTGTACCGCACCTGTCTGCCTGGGTGCTCTCCGTGCTTCCCTGCTCCCGTCCCTGCTCCCGTTCTTGCCCTGTCCCATCAATCCTACCTGCCTGCTGTGCTAGTCGTGGCTACAGCCAGTTAATGCCTGTAAACAGTGCTCCATTGAGGCGGCCCGCGGCCTTGAACTACGGCTAGGACTGGCAAAAAGCCCGCCATCGAGACAAGGCTTTGGGCGATTCAGGCCATGCAACTTGTGCCATCAGCCGCTCGAATGGCTCTGCCTCTCGTCTCGTCTCGTCTCGTCTCGTCTTGCATCGCATCACATCGCCTTGCATCGTCGCGTATTTGCCTTTGCATCGCCTTGCATCGCCTTTCCAAGATTGTGCCTAGCTCTCCTCGCCTTGTCCATCTACTGGTGCTTGGTGCTGGAGGGCTCCGCTTTACTGCCTGTCTTTGCCTGTATCGGCTGGTCATGTTGAAATTCAGCTGCATACGCTACGTCCAGAACCAGAGAAGCTTACTAGGGGAAAAGACAGCTCGTCTTCTCTGGTCACCGGCTTCAGCTGAGCCCAGCGCAGTCCGGCTTGGCTCAGCTCAGCTCACTTCAAGGTTTTGTCGCTGATGAATAGCGCCGCCACCCGCTTGCTCAATACGCAGCGATGCTTATCCACCCGAGCCCACGATGGCCTCACGCGCCGGATCCAATAGCCAGGTACGGAACCCGCCAACGACGAGAAATGGATCTGTCTCCGGTTCTTTTGGCCCCGTCGTCGCCAATCCCACGCCCCCGGGATCCCTAGCCTCATGCTTGCACCTATCCGCTTTGCATTGCGACGGACCACCACCACTGAAATGCTACATACCGCATGCATAACAGCCGACGAGCACGCTCGCGCAGAGCCAGCCATGTACGAGGCATGGACCAAGTGGTATTAGCAGTATTACTCGTACATGCCCTTACATGGACAAGGCCTCGTACGGACGCCCCCGTTTTGGTTTCTTGTGCTTTGCCCGGCCAGGAATCCTGCTTTGCCAGTCGCATTGCCAGTGCTGCTAAGCGTGGTACTTGCAACCGCCGGGCCTTACACTGCTTATACGACGCAGACATGCGCATTGCCTTGTACCTTGCTTGCTCGGTATGACCACCGTCCTGCACATATCCACATCCCAGGCCTCTCTCTTGTGCTTCTCTCACGCGCACATCCGCCAGTCCATCCTCTTTATCCCACTCATCCATCCCTCCAATCCCTCCCTCCCTCCCTCCCTCCATCCATCCATCCATCCATCCATCCATCCATCCTACCAAGACCCCCCCTAGCATCTGCCACGCCGCATATAGCGTCTCCCCAACAACGTGCTCCGTCCGCCTATATGACGCTGCGCCCGACCTCCGGCCTTGTCGCACCCCTTACATTATTAAAGAGACGGGGAGACCCTGCGGCTGTCCTCTTAGCTTCTTTGACCTCCGCGTGATTCGAGTCTTTTTGGTGATAGTGTCTCTTTACCGTGTATGAGACTTGCGAGTCGTGATCCGACATCCGGCTTGTACACTTCTTCTCTCCGTTTTTCTATTCCTGCTCTGCGCCCATATCACACGTACGCTTACGCATACGCATACGCATACACAGACGCACGCGTACAGGCATACATACGTACATATCTATATATCTATATCTATATATATATACGGCATCTCACTTGTGCTGTAGACAATCCGGTTCGCAATGATACCGATTCATTCGCTCCCCAGCGCTGCCGACGGCGAGGCTGATGACCAGTCCAGTTTTGACGATGACCACTCGTCCGCCGTCTCGGGCTTTACTCGTCTACCCGCAGAGCTTCGTCTCAAGATATGGTCTTGCTCGGTGGAGCCGCGTATCGTCATACTGGACGATCTTGTCCACAAGCCAAACTCGTATCCTATCCCTGTTGTCACTCGCTTGAACGCGGAGGCTCGCATTGAGACTAGAGAAGGCTACGAGCCTGTAGGCCGTGGATCTCATATTCACTTCGCCAGAGACATTCTGGTCTGTGACCCCAACATAGCTGACCAGAGCTCCAACACTCCCCTGGAAGAACTGGCCCCGCTTGTCGAGAGGCTCGCCTTTTGGGACTGCTTCCCTGACGATGGGCGTATCGAGGAGCCTGGCCACTACTCTGCCTATCTAGAAAGATGGTACCCCCAGGAGAGGCCTGGAAAGGTCGAATTTGACAAGTTTTGGTTTCCAAATTTGAAAGACTTGTGGATTGTCAAGGTTGGCGAGGTGGACAGGTCATGGATGGTTGGCGTGGACCAGAACCTCCCCTACGACGTACGACTTAGAAAGACGGCCCGGCAATTTCGCTACTGGATAGATGAGAACATTGTGGAGATTGCCCCCTTGGACTTGGATGAGCCGGAAACGAAAGCTGTCTTGCGAGAAGGGCGATGTGGCAAGGAAGATTGCCAGTCGCTGAATCATGGCCGATCTAAAATGGTCTCCAAGGTCATCTTCATGGATGGCAAGTATCGCAAGATGGAGAGCTCAGAGGGTTGGCAGCGCATTCTACCATGGTCCACCAAAGTCACTCAAGCTACAGAGAAAGACACGTCTGAAAATCGAATGAGATGGATTATTGTTGAGAGGATATTAACCTTTTCTCTAAGATGGGAGGGCCCTGATGATGAGGTAACGATTTCGGCTCGACGAAAAACGCCAGAAATGCCATCACGACGGGCAATCTACGAGACAAGATAGGGGAAGGCAAATTATCCCTTCTCAATCTAATACTTTGATGGCCTACACAGACGCAGGTGGCAACATTTCTATGATTTTTCATAGATATTTGTCATTTTCACAACCCAGCCTAGAGCTATGCCGGATTATTGGAATTTAAGCGCTCAACATATATTAATTTAATTTCGATCCACATGGTTGATGGAATCAAGCGCATTAAGCTTTTACCCAAGAGGACGAAATTTTCGACGAGCGTGTCACAAATCGATGCGATTATTGAATCATACGAATAACTGGAGCAAAGTGAGAGGCGCCAAGCAAAATTATATGATTTCAATGAGCCAATCATTATATCAGCAAAAGACGTCAAGAAATATCATTTACATAGTCCGCTCATTTTAACTGCTCGCTTTTTCACTTCATAACGGAGGGATCTGAGCTACCTACCAAAAACTCAACCGTACGGAACATCGCCCGCCTGGATCTCTTGATTAGGGCGACCAGCCTTTAGCTACACCGACGCTGCTTAAATGGAAGTGGTTTATAGAAACAGGGAATTGCTGCTTGAAATTAACCATAGAGACACTAATTCGGTCGATCCAACCTAGCATCTGCTTCTCCGAGCTCGATTAAGCACTAGCGATTTTGTTTTATCCTGCCATGATATTCACAAGAACGCGATGTGTATTCAGTTCACAGAGGGACAGGAATGCGAAGGTACTTATGATTTCTCCATACTCTTGCCTCACAATTTCTCTCGATTTCTACTCTCTCTTTGCTATGCTATTGTTTCTTTGCTATTTCCTTCTTCTTTCTTTTCTTGTCATTTTGTCTTTATTTTGGAGTACACGGATTAGGATGGAAACAAGATTGCTCATTTATTGAAGGGAACTATATGATTTCCTTTTAGAGAAGCGTAGAAGTCGCATGGGCGGCCCGAGATCAAACACGGAGAAACTGGCAGACTAATAGGCCCTTCGCAGGGATGAATGTACGAGTTTGACGATTTAATGGTAAACGAAGAAAATGCTTCATAAAGTTCCATCTTCGTTTATATATACATACAGACAGACATATACACACAAGTCCTGAAATCGCTTCCCTATGTGAGAATACCATCGAGTCTGGGATCAATTATTGTAATTGTTTAATATAAATTATGCAATTTTGCTTGATAGCTTGGCTGGAAGCTAGCTTCATTTGGTATATATCTACGTTATGCACGGCTATAAATTGCAAAAGCTATGGTTACAACTGCTTACAATATCTTGCACTCTCCTAGTTCACCGCTTTGAGAAGTTCGACCGTCTATCGTTTGACTCGATTGAGCAGAGGCTCCCCTTTATCCCACCTCTCCAGATTCTCTAGGATGATGGCTGCTATGCGCTCAGTTAAGCGTGAAGACTGCCAACTGATATGGGGCGTGATAAAGACATTTGGAGCCTTCCATAGCGGGTGTCCCTTTGGCAAAGGCTCTGGATCCGTGACATCAAGAGCGGCTCCACGCAGGAGGCCAGTCTCCAGAGCTTCAACTAGAGCAGGAGTGTTGACGATGGGGCCCCGCGCAACGTTGATGAGAAAGGGCTTCTTCTTGCCGAGGATCTTGAACTGCTCGGCTCCGATGCATCCCTTGGTCTGGGGATTCATGGGAAGGCTGAGAAGCACGACGTCCAGGTCCTGGCTGAGGAAGTGGTTGACAGCTTCGGGGCCAGAGCCGGAGAACCATTTCGCAGGGAGGAGGCCATCCGGGTCGCTGGTTCCGGGGACGTGGTATTCGGAGAGCTTCTTGGACTCCGGGGTGGGCCGGGGGCTGAATGTCTGAACGTAGATTTCCATGCCGAGGGCGTGGGCGAGACGGGCGACTTGTCGACCGATGGTGCCGTATCCCAGGATGCCCCTGGATATTTTGATAAATACATAAATATTGATGAGGGACCAAAAAAACAGCAAATGGGAGAGGAGGAGGTGCCTCGGAGACTTACATTCGAAGACCAGGAGAGTCGGTGGTTGTGCCGCTGAGACTTAACTTCATATCCCAGTCTTCCTCGTCTTGTTGAGCCATGAAAGTCCTGAAGTTGTGTGCGTGGGCGAGCCATGCGCCAATGGCCCATTCAGCAATTTGAACTCTGTGTACGAAAGGCAGTGATTATTAGCCATGCTGGTACGTTTTTTTTTTTTTTTTTCTTCTTGTTTTTTTTTTCTCTCTCTGTATGTGGAAGAATGAGAAGAAAGAAAATTGAAAACACTTACGAATGAGCTCCGCTTGTGCAGCAAAAGGTTATATCCTTGTTCGTATACGCCTCGTGCCCAATCCAGAGATCACTGCCCGCAGACGCCAGCTGGACAAACTTGACATTCTTCATCCTCTCCGGGGTGGGCGGCGGCATCACGCACAGCATGGTGACGCCCTCCCAGGCCTCGTCGGGCAGCTCGTCCGAGTTCATCAGGCGGTGGTTGACGACGGGGGCGACTTCATAGTGGATGCGCAGCTGGGGGAAGCGCTCTGCGACGGCGGTGAAGAAGGATTTGGGGAGGGGCATGGGGAGGTGGAGGAGGAACTTGTCGTCTGCTGTAATGGCCCCCATGATGATTTTTTTGGAGTTGATTTTATCTTTCTTTCTCTTCTTCCTTCTTTTCAATTGCTTTGATCTGTTTCGGTACAAGATGAAGATGAAGAAGCGATTCTTGACGGCGACTGATGAAAAGGACGGAGTTGAATGGGGTGAGTGAGGGGAGACAAGATGACTGTTGTGCTCCTATATAACAAGTCTCTCCCTCTGGGCGCAGAGAGTGCTAGGTATAAGAGAGAAGCTGCTGTGCTGTCATATACGAAACTTCAAGCTACAGTGTAATAAGACCTAGCAAACTCTAAGTATAACAACGGCGATAAGATTTCAAATTCCGGGACGAGAATCGGACACTGCTGGATTGGAGGATGAGATTGGATGAGATGAGATGAGATGAGATTAAAGGAAGAAGGGAAAAGACGGCTACTTGAGTAAAGAGGATATACCTCCTATGTACGCGCTTTTTTTTTATCACAATTGATTAGTTATATTCCTGCAACCCTCTTATCTCTTATACTGCCGCCTCGTCTCCTCTTTTCTACTACCCCATGCCCCAAGCATACGACGCTTCCGCAATACGGCTCAAAGCCACACCACGGAAGGTGTTCCGACTTTTTTTTTAATCGAAATTTAGCCCAGTTCATGCCGAACATTTGTGTGTGGGGGTGGAACAAGACTTGCTTAGGAATATTACAGCACCTACGGAGTACTACTAGTAGTATTCAATATCCTCCTGTTAAAGGCGTCATTTCGGGGGGGCATGTGACAAATGCGTTCGTTATACATACTACTACTAATATCAAAGATCGATCTGGCGCGTGTAAAAATAACCGCCTTGTTTCGTTCGAGACCCACCCGTAAACTCCGAATCTCCGTCACATGTTTTTTTTTTGTTTTTTTAAGAGAAGTTGAATGTAATAATGCCTACCTACTACTACTACTACTACCTACTAGCAATATGATGGGTAATAAGCATGAGATTACAGCTTTGTCATAATGTGGCTTTGGGCTTGTAGGATAAAAGCCACCGTGGAGACTGGGCTACATGGAAACTCTAAAAGTGGCCAGACAAGTCTCTTCCTTTGACTCGAATTGTCAGATCTTAGGGCTGAGTTGTTTTTTATTTTATTTTACATGCTTTGCAGAGGCTAGAGCTGATGGAGCCTCCTGTGAGATTTTAAACAAGGTCCTTAGGGGGGCCTACCATACTCAATACTTGTGGGTTTGGAATCCTCGGGTTTAACTGAGCCTCGCGTCTCTACTAGCTAGTAGCTGTACTTCGTGTTATATTAAGTAGTAGGTATTTAACCCGTAAATGCCCCGTATGAAGAGGATCGCATGTAGCCGAATGCAATGTTATGCCGTCTCTTTTTTCCAGCCCCGAGATGCCATGCCAGATAGGTATTAGGAAATACAATGTGTTGTTCATTCCGGGCATCCAGTATCAGTCCGGCGTTGACTCCAGGATACGATTATACGGCAAGATAGCGCTATAGTATTTATTACAGGGGGGGCCGGTGGCGGAAACCCACGGCGCGGGCAGCGTTCCGCAGTGTCGGGCTCGGTGTAGATGCAGCAGCCGTGGCTCTCTTTCCTGATTCAGCATATGCCCAACTACCGCTTCAAGAAGCACGCGTCACATACAGCCATGACAAATACATGACTCATGCAGCAAGAGGGCATCTGGATCGATTCAATCTCACTTCCTCTCTCTATTCAGAAAGACGTCTATCAATAGCAGCAGTGAACCAACCACCTACTAGGTAGCTGTAGGCGATTATAGATGCACAAGTTTTATATTGCTTCATTTGTAGCTTCAAATCATCAACTGCCTGCATCGACATGCCATGAGCTCTTGTAACCACTGCGGCATACATGGATATATCCTCATCCATCACATTACAACGTCTTCAATTTCCCCTCTTCCCATTTCGCCTTTGGCTCGACGCCCTTGACCATGCCCCCGTTGGCGTTTTAAAGCGTACAAAACTCAACCCTGGAGTCGCCGCCGCGCCCTGCGCTCTGCTTGGCACGTTCTTACCGACCCGTTCCCAGTCACCATTGGCGTCGTCCCCGTTATTATTCATGTTGGTCTTCCTCTCGTACTTGTACCCTTCGTCGTGGTCTCCCAACGCCGGGCCCGGCAGCATCGATAGCTTGGACTGTGACTGTGACTTCATCACGGCGCCTCGAAGAGCAGCCCACGATTCCACTTGGCCGCTGGACGCCTGTTCGACGCAGTTGCATTCATCTCCAGCAGGGCAAAACATCTCGCCCGCCGCGTGCCATTCTGCGAGGCAGTCTTCGTGACTTGCGCAGCCGCACGTCAGACACGGCGGGAAGAGAGCATCCACAGGTTCTAAACAGTATACGCAGCGGAGCTGGCTCTGGATACGGCGGCAGCGGTCGCAGTTACCCACAGCCCCGCCAACTTTAGAATCGGTAGAAGTGTATCTTAGGGGGTCTAACTGAGTCTCATGGACGCGGCAAATTCCCGTCACGTCCAGACCGCGACCCGATGCTGCCAGGATCTGCAGCTGATCCTTCTTGCCCATGATGATGGGCGACGACCCTGTCTTGAGATGGTTTGTATTCCCACTTGCACCATCTGGAAGTGTAAATGAGTCGTGGAAACTTCCTTCTGCTCCAGTAAAGGGCGATTCATCCTTCAAGACATTGAATTTCATGACTTCAAGTCGAGCAAGAGGCTGTCTCCACATCTGGAGCATCTCTGCATATGCGTAGCGGTAGTTGGCATAAATGTTGGCGCGGCTTGGCTCCAGCAGCGGCTCACTTAACCAGCCGTCATCATCAAACATTGTCTGATCTTCCACAAATACAGAAACGCTTACTGGTACGAGAGATAGTGTATCATCTCGACGGTATTCATCATCCGATACGGAATTCCTACCTCCACTGGAGTCTCCCACGGGATAGGATGGCCCAGCGCTGGCGTACCCGGTACGTGGAGTCAGTGTATTCAAGATCATTTCTGCGGGGCTTGGCTTCTTTCTTAATTGCCCTGCAGGTGGTGACGATGAGCTGGCCCCGGTGAATGACCGCGGGAAGTTGGTTGAAAAGGCTGAACTAAGTCCAGTGCTAACTCTTGAAAGAGGTCGATTGGAGGGGGACCGCGATAACATCGTTGGAGGGGGGTCTGCATCGGCAGTCAGAGGCCTCGCTTTTGGTGGTGGGGTCTCGCCGCAGGAATACGAATTTGTTCCAGGCTCACCCGTCCATGTCATTCCATCGTCCGACGCGTGTGAGCCAGCATAAGGTAGTGGTGTGTGGAGAGTGCCGGGCGTAGTCACATTTGAGTGCGGTATGCCTCGGCCATAGATATTCCACATGGTAGCATCCGTAGGGAAATAGTCTAGGGAGAATGACGGTGCCTTGAGAGGGAGCGGTGTTTCCTGAGAAGGAAGCTGTGATTCCACATAGGCAACGCTATCATCCGTCGAAGACTCGCTAAAGATGCATGACAGCATCGCCAACATTTGTACGTCGGCAATCTTTTCAAAATAGTTGAAAAGTTCTTGAATAAAATCCTTGGCCAGCGGGTGCCGACCCCATTTCACCCGACCTAACAAGGCACTGTCTCCTGCTGGGGTGATGCCTTGCTCATCATCGATGGAGCGAGTCTTGGATACAGTGTCCCGGGCAATGACAAGGATAGAGGCTCGTCTCTGGTTGCTAGCCAGGACTTCAAGCGGTATCCCTTTCTTCAACAGCAGAGCCAAGTACTGCCATACGCTCATCAGATCAGGATAGCCATATTTCTCTGCAACTCTTGCGTTATGTTCGCAAACATCTGCTCCGTCGCCAAAGATAGCATACTCCTGAGCAAATTCCCGTTTGGAAGGCAGATCTGGCCGCAGGTCATGGATAGAGATTGCGTTTCGAGGCCGACCAATCCGCCGGCGGCTTGTCCCAGTACCTGTACCGGTGCCGATTCCAGTCCCAGTTCCACCACCACTAGATCGGATAGATCGATCCTCGCTCCAAGCCTTCCTAAGATGTCGGCTTGAGTGATACCATAGACTCATTTTATTTATTGATGTAGACTCGGAGTCACTTGAAGAAGAAGATGACTCGCCTGATTCATCAGAGTCCGACTGATCATCCGTAGCGGATGCCTCCTCAGTAGTATACTTGTACCGCGGAGGTGGATCATGTGTTAAGCGACCAAAGCCAGCGAAGAACGGCTGGTCCAGCCTCGGACGGTCTTTGTTCGCATCTGCAGATGTTTGGAACAAAGCGCGTGCCTTTTCCTCTTTTGTAGGGAAAAAGCAAACAAGTCGTCCATCGTGCGAGAATCGAGCGCCACAGGTTAAAGGAGGCGGTGGGACTATAGTACGAGCCGGGATGGCAATTGCAGTGTCTGCGTCAGCAGGAGGCAATTCCTGAGACATAGATGCCGAACCACCTGCTGGAATATCCTCTTCTTCGTCTGTGGAACTATCATCGGCAAGTCCATCGAGATCATCATCTAAGTCACGAACGTTCTTGAAGAAGGTGGTGCTGGATTCAAGATCGACTTCACCCAGCAGATAGGTAAAGATTACTTCCAGGCAATTTTGTTTTCTTCGCAGGAATTGATCTGCAAGCTCGTGCAGCTCTCGGTCGAGTCGCTTGTGCATTTCCTCTTGCATAAATGAGCTTCTCTCGATGGTGAATTTCGGTGCCTTGAGCTTTGGATACTCTGTAGGTATATCGATTTTCACCTTGATAAAGATGTTTTCTCCATCCTTTCCCCAAGGACCATTAAGCGAGGCACTCAGCGTTAGGTTATCCATATCGATGTTGTCCCATTTGACTTTTGGAATCTGTGTGCTGACACGCAAGAGCTCTTCCTGAATTGTGTCAGGCTCGCCCCATTGGTCATCGGGATAGCCATGGCCCATGATGCCAGAATCCTTGGACATGAGCCGTCTTGGGCCATCCATCAGGCCTTTTCTCTTCGTTATACTAATACCTTTCATCCATCCAATTTGAGCCTGACTTGGGTCCAGTCTCTTGCCCAGTGTATTCTTGGCTTTCATTGATGGCCCGCGCCACGATGGCCTCATCTGACGGCCAAATGGAACAGAAGATCGTGCGGCAGCTGTAAGGGCGCTTTGCTTGTGTCCCAACCCGCCTGTGCTAGTCTTTGAATCTTTCATCGTACTCGCTCGTTTATCAATTGTAGAGGCATCGTCAACTGCCCGGAATGTTTTGTATGTCGCCCCCTTCCGCGTAGTGCTGATTCCGCCCAAAGCTGTAGATCCCCTTTTGTATCCCACGGCCGTGAATATGCTGGGATCAATGCAATGAAGCCTCAGCTCGTTATCCGTACCCCAGGATACAAGTTGGAATTCTCGCTCGTCAATGCCATCATCCGTAACCCCACCTCGAGTTCTCCAGAGAAACTCTTTTGCTTGATGATCTCCATGACCAGGAAACAGAGCAACTGGTGTCCGTGTCGCTTCCATACTCTCGTCTTTTGACCACAGTCGATCATATAAATACAAGTCGCCAGGTTCATTCTGCGGCATCGCAAGGAGACCATAGCCAAACGGTGTATGGCGAGCTCTCCAAACCGGGTATTCCGTATGAATAACATGCTCCAATTCATTGTCGTCCTTGCTATAGTCCCAGAATTTGATACTCTGGTCTAATGAGCATGTAACAATGCTGGTTTCCTCGCTTCGATTCCAGTCCAATCCATAAATCTTCGACGTGTGTGCGGTGATCGACTTGACGGGCTCAGAAACCTTTCGCTCATCCCAAATCCGCAACCAACGATCATGCGACGAAGCTAGAATATGAGGGTTTCGGCGATTATACTTGACCTGAGTAGCTCCGGCAAAAAAGTCGCAAAACGTAAGCACCGGCTGGCGAGGCCGACGGAGATCCCACCAGTGCACATAGCCATCTACAGAGCAGGTTGCAAGGAGATCAGGGTGATGGGCGGAAAAATTGACGTCCGTGATGGCTCTGGTATGGCCCTGAAGGGAGTGCTCGATTGCTCCAGTGTTTGAATCATCTCTGAGATTGAGATTCCACACCAATGCGCGGTGATTTGCTGTCGAGACGACCCAATAGTCTCGAGCAGTGAATGGGGACCACTGCACATCTACAACCAGCCATGGCTGGCCAGAGCCTCGCAGACGCCGTGGCGGGCTGTATGGTGAGTCCAAGTCAATAATCGCAAGACCTTCGGGCCTAGAAAGAGCCATTAGTGGTCATTACAGAGCGCTTCGACGCGTTGTCAACTCACGATGCCAGAGCAATATCTCTTCCTGAAGGCGAAATTGTAGCAGAGCCGACAACGCCCTCAACATGGATTGAGCCATCAGACTCAAAGCTCTCGCTGTCATACTCCGACTTTACGATTCGGCCCTTCTTGGGCGAATCCACGGGCTGGTCAAATGCCGGCATCATCCTCTGTTGTCTCCTGAAGATTGGCTGTGTCTCGCATGTCGCGGCTCATTTGCGAGCCTCGGTGGCGGTATTTGTCCAAGCTGAAGTGACAGTCGTACAGCTGCCGGCAGCTATGCGCAGCTCTCTTTACCCATCCGACGACATAAGAGCGATATGAGATTTCAGTCTGGCCACAAGGGATCCAATACGATGATTCCGGCTGGGCGTCGTCAGATGATGCGAAATGGTGGTTGAACTTTCGTCTGGATGCGCGCCAAGCTGAGAGAGAGCTAGGGAGGTCATTGATCATTGATGGCCAAGTACCCTGTAGGTCACTGAGCTAGGAAGTTGGGCTATGTCAGTACCTGGCCTAAACCTAGACAGCGCTGTAGGGGACCTATCAAGGTTCTGGATCACCCATCCATCCACCCTGAAACGCTAAGCCATATGCACTACAGCACTGTTTAGCACACAATAAACTCATTGCGTACCTTGATCATCAGCGCAAGTTGGAGAAATCATCTGGTCTGGTGCAGCAAGAAGACTTAAATCAAGAGCTCGTTTAGATGAATGTCATACTGTACGGCCAGCCGTAGGAGAAGGGGGCAAAATATCATTGCATTAAAAGTTTGTCTCCAGCCTTTTCTTACTCGCTCTGCCTTGCTGTTTGCCGTGCTCTTATCGCAAACAGCCCCTCGGGCCTGCCTGGGGTCTTTTCAGTGTCGCATGCCCCGCCTTATATTTCCTCCCTGCAACATTCTCAGTCATCACGTCCTCTCTCAAGCCCACCTAAACTAACGACTGCAACATTATCAGTTGGAGTTGTCGGCGCGGGGCCTCCAGACTCCCACTCTCTTTATTTTCATCTTTGCATCATACCAAACTGTATCATTTCTCAGGACAGCAAAAGTTACGCCAAGATGGCCCTCCCAAAGCGCATCGTGAAGGAAACAGAACGGCTGATGGCCGAACCGTGCGCCCCTCCATGCAGCTGCCTTCTGCCATCCAGGTCTTACCTGAGTCGCTGACGTTTTTTTCTTTTGTGTAGAGTCCCCGGAATCAGCGCTGTGCCTCACGAAGATAACCTGCGGTACTTTGACGTCGAGATCCACGGCCCCGCATCCTCACCATACGAAGGTACATGGGCAGTTTCTGAAGACGTCGCAAGCAGAAGTTTAGGTATTGACCGGATGTATAGGCGGCATTTTCAAGCTGGAGCTCTTCCTCCCAGATGACTACCCTATGACTCCTCCGAAGATTCGATTCCTTACAAAGATCTTCCACCCGAACGTTGACAAGCTGGGTCGCATTTGTCTAGATGTGCTTAAGAGTACGTATTGAATGCGAGTCCGTCAAAGTTGAAATGACCTAGTACTCATACGTCATTGCAGATAACTGGTCGCCTGCGCTGCAGATTCGAACGATTCTGCTTTCCATCCAGGCCCTTCTCGGCGCTCCCAACCCCGATGATCCCCTCGCCCCCGACGTTGCTAAGAGCTGGAAAGAAGACGAAGCTGCAGCCATCGCGACGGCAAAGGACTGGACCCAGAAGTATGCAAAGGCATAAATAAGTACAGAAAAAGAAAAAGAAAAACGAGAGATAAAAAAGATATATATATATACGTGTCGAAGACTTGCGATAAGATTCGGGCATGCGTAAACAGGTTTTTTTTTTTTTTTTACTTCCGGTGTATGAGCATTATTACGGGAGGAGTTGAGAGATTATTATGGCTTGATTTCACATATTTCTAGAAGGTTCATATTGTTTCGAAGAAGAGTATAAACAAGGAATACTGGCAGCGGTTCCCTAGTGTAGGTTATTTTAGTATTTTAAATGACCTCGCAGACAAGATAGGGTCACTGGGCTACATATCATCCTATCATATTGGCTGTTAGAAATTTCATTATTATAACCTATCTCACTCATACACTCATGCGAAGCTCCTCCACCGTTTTGAATCTTTCGCCGCCTCGATGTTTATTTTTATATCTTCTTGTTTCCCCTCTTCTCGTGCACAGGTACATAAAGGGACGCAGGAAATGGACAATTAGCAGAAACTGGACGCCCCTGCCCCAAGTTCTTGTATCTACAATGCTAGAGTACACAAAGGGAAGTCGAAATAGGGTAAAAATGAGTTTCTTAGACCATGGCAAGATCGCCAAACTTCTCCTATAGGGGGGATTAGCGTTGCATATCAAAATAAAATCCGGAGCAAATCCACGAACCTTGTAGCCAGGCACCATCCATCTGCCCTTGGACACCAGCTCGGCGGTCTTCTCGTCGATGGACTTCTCAGCGGCGGCAACCTCGTCGACGGTAAGCTCCTCGAATGGTCTAGCCTCCTCAATGTTCTTAAGGGTAGCAGCAAGATCCTTCAGCTCCAGATCCACGGCCTGCTTGGTGGCCTCGGCGTTCTTGACGGCCTCGACCTCGAAGGCATCAATGGCCTTGATCTGGCGGCTGACATCGTAGGTGGTGGGCTGGAAAGCCTTGAAGCGCTTCTCGATCTCGTCAACGACGGCCTGGTTCTTCAGGATGGAGCGGTACTGGGCGAAGTCGACGGTGGTGGGCTGCTCGGTCAGCTGCTGGACCTTGCGGCGGGCATCCTCGTTGCGCTTCTTGAAAGCCTGGAGGGAGGCGACGGTCTGGCCGCGGAGGCCCAGGGACGAGGAGACCTTGACCCAGTCGAGCTTGAGAGCTGCGCTTCGCTATTCGACGAGAAAATGAAAATTAGCTCATGGATCCTCCCAAGAGTGATATTGCGCATAAATGGTGGTTGAAATTCTTCATCGGTCGCTGCATTATCCGTGCGATACTAGAGATTCAAATATTCTGCGCCAATTAGGGAGGGAAACTAACCGTGGCCATTTTGAGATGCGTTGTGAGGTCTCTTTTAAAGATCAGAGAGCGAGATCTTTAACGGAGGTTTGATTGACTTTGCCGAACTTGCCCAGTCTGGTCCGGTTGCAAATCGTGGCACGTGACTTTTGGTGTGACTTTTTTCTTTAGCCGCACTACCGCTTTGGAGCTGGGTGCATGCCTTGCATAGTGCAGCACTTTTAGTCCCTATAGCTGCTGCGGGAATGAGCGTATAAAGAGCTCAGATCATCGAGTACACGCCTAGACGTATGTGTAGATTCCATAGGATTACAAGATTGGGGATTTCGGGATAAGGTGTAGCTATCGTATGGCCTTTATATGCTCATCGACTACACGGGCACCAGCAAAACTCCTGTCACAATGGCATGATAGAAACATGTCAAGTACGCAATAACTTGCTTTCTTAGAGGACGAGTAAAGCTCTTTGATGAACAATAATACAGATCCCTATGCGCATTTATTCGCGCATACTAATGATATAATTTCAAGCACCCTGCCCATATACCCCGTCATCAGATACTCAGATACTCAGCGCCATAATGGAATTGACAATATCATTGTCGTTCTCCTTTAGTGCTTTCACGGCCTTCTTCCGGCTGACGTTGGCTTGGGTCATGACGAGCTCGATATCCTTATCCTCAAGGCCCTCGGCATCGACCTCCTCACCATCATCTTCCTCTTCCTCCTCCTTCTTGGCCTCAGAAGACTCGCCCTCCTTGCCGTGGTCGTGGTCGTGATCGTGATCGTGGTCGTGGTCGTGGTTGTGGCCGGCGTGCTCAGCCTCAGCGTTGGCAGCAGCGAGCTGAGCGGCAGCAGCCTGCTGAGCAGTGGCGTTGATGTCCTCGATCTTAGCCTCACCAAAGACACTGATAAAAATGTTAGATATTTTACGTCCGTTTTTTTTTTGTCACAATGCCATTGCTCACATGTAGGTGTTGCTGTTGGGGGACTTGTAGACTTCGGGGTTGTTGATGACGAAGAGGATCTGTACATATCCGTTTTAGCTCCCGTCTGCCAATTTCCAGTTTTCCCTCTCAAATATGGAAACCTACGTTCTTGGGGCGGCGGAGGGTGACACGAGTGATGCCAGGAACTCGGATCAGGTTCAGCTTCTCAAGAGCCTTGCGGGCCTTCTTCTCCTGGCGGGAGTGGACAACGGCGGTAGAGCCAGCGGGGAGAGTCTCGCCGAGCTCTTCAGCTTCGGATTCGTCGCTGGACTCATCCTGTTCCTCGACCGTGGGCTTGGTCTTGGTCTCGTCGTCGGGGAGCTCTTCAACTCGAGGGTTGGCCATTTTGATGTCTCTGGTGGGGGATAGTGGTATTAGCTTGTGTCCCCTCTTTCGTTTTCGCACGAAAATATTCTTCCTTGGAACGAGACGAGCGAGCTTCGTTGTCACCTGATGGCGCCCTAGCTGCTTCGAGAAGAGGGCAGAAAAAAGTCCAGCGGCCGGATACTCACATTTTATGCGATTAACCTGACGATTAATTTGGTTTGTATCTACAACGTGACACTGCGCAATGCCGATTTGTGTTGGAGACTGAGAGCTGCGAATTTCTAGGGTTTGGTGGATGGCGCCGGCTAAACCGAATTAGGTAATCAAGGCATTTGGTTTTCGTCGCAGTATGATGAGCCAGATTTTGGCCTGCGTGATAGGACTCGCGGAATTTAACGTACGCTACGGATCGCATTTATCAAAATGTGAAGGAAAAGGGCGCGATTTTGTAGTGATTTTACATGCATTTCATAGGTATTTTTTTTACTACACGAAATCACAATGATCCACAATGAGAATCCTCCCTATAAGCTTTTGAATTCATTTTGTCTGAATTTCCGTATTGACGCCGTTCATCATAAACGATGATATGTGACAACATACAGCCCTTCCAGAAAGGGAGTGAAAATGAATCCAGCAGAACTTTTGCTGCTGTATATGCGTTTCCTGCCCGGATCCATGCCCTTCATTCTAATACCATCCGATCAACCTCTCCGTGACTCCAGATCGAACAACCAAATTATGCGGAGGCCTTGATCTTGGCCAGAGCCTTGCGCTCCTCGAATCGTCGCTGCTTCTTGAGGCGGAGGACCTTGAAGCGGTCGAAGTCGGTCAGAGCCTTTCTTCGCTCAATCTGTTCGCGCTTCTTGGCCCAGTTGCTGCCCTTCCACTTGGCATCGATCTCAGCCTTCTCCCAGGCCTTGGTAAGAGCGGCCTGTCGGGCGCCTCGGGGCAGGTTCTCGATAACGAACTGGGAAAGGAGAGCCTTGGTGAGGTGCAGGGCTTGTCGGGGAACCTTGAGCTTGGGGTCTGAAGAGGGGCCCTCAACGAGAACCTGAATGTCATCGGATTAGCCATCTGCTTGTGAAGAGTCGCACGCCTTGAGGAAATACGTCAACGTACTCGCTTGTGATCGATGATCTCGACGATGGCAGCCAGACGGCCGCTGTAGGGGTGCTCGCCGTTAATCAGCACAATACGGCCGACCTCAACGAGGCGCCAGTTTGAACCCTCAATCAGTGCTTCGCCCATTGTGACGGAATCTATTTCGATGGCGTGTTAGTCGGATAATGTTGGTTCGAAGAAGTCGCAATTCATTCGGGATAGGAGTGAAGTGGAGGAGGGCGCATATCATACCAACGATTATCTGCCGTTCGGGTTTGTTCTCGGAGTAGCGGTTCACCTCTGCTTTTTTTTTGATTAAAGCATCTGGTGGGCAGAAAACCCTAAGTCGGATAATCGCGGAATTTTGTTGTGCCGTGCTACCGAATGCGCGCTAGTCTAAATGTGCGCACAGACCAATCGCCGTTCCTTTTTCTTCGCCCAGCGTCGAGCTAAAATTTTCGAGCTCTTTGTCCAACAATTTTGCTGGCATTTGTGCCGAAGACGCAAAGATTCTTCACAGGGAATTGATGCATTCCTGTCATTCCTGAATCTTTGAGGTAAGGTAAGGACGATTGTCTCTTTTATTTCTCTGCCATTTTAAGCGCTACGCCAGTACTATGATGAAGTAATTTGCGGTTGATCACATGCGGTGGCTCTCTCGCCGGAGATGCTATACCAAATGTCTAAATGAGAAACTTTTCTTACATATTCTGAGACTGGTGCCTATAATGGCTTGCTCTTCTTTGTTGGGCTCGAGCTTTTCGCTAACAGAGACCATTACAGATGATAGATACATTAGTATTGAAATCAATTGAATATTCTTCGCTCGAGCCTTTACTTGTCCCATCCACATGCAATTGTGACCGTTTTGGTGATTTAAATATGTTGCGCCTTTGTATGAGTATAGTACAGGTGATATATATGAATATCTATATCATGTACGAGGTACTTTGAGAAACATTATCGAATACCCAAGGGAGGGCAGATATACAGAATCCTAATAAACATATCTCCAAAGTTCGTCTCCGACTCGGTTCTTGCATAGCCGTTCAGTTTGTTTACGCCTTGCCTTTCCGTCTCAGGTACTCTTCCTCATCCGCCGCTATCTGAGCGTCGACCTTGGCTCCTCTCGATGGTTCATTGCCGTGCATTTTAGCCTTCATCTTGTCAGTGGTTGTTATAGAGTCTGGAGATGAGCACTTACAGGAAGTGTCGGGTCTTCTTTCAATAAAGCTGTTTCTCTGTCATCGCTGGGCTCTGACTTTCGCTGTGGACATGTTAGTCATGTATAAAGAACAGAATCAAGTTGCGTACCTCTTCCGCGGCCAGCCTGTTAGCGATGGAGCGTTCGTCTTCTAAGAAATAGTCAGTATAAACGGCCATGTACAGCCAACATGGTCGGGAATTCATACTTGAATCATTTCCGATATGTGATCCCGGCTGCCCTTCGTTGTATCGCTCAGCGTTTTCCATCTCGGATCTCTTGACATTCCGCTGATCACCAGCTTCATAAACGCCAGATGTGCCAACGTTGGAGTATCCCGACATGACTGCTAGTTATGTTTGTAGTTTATAGAAATTCGAAAGATTCGATCAATATAGTGATTTACTTTCTTTCGTTTTTACTTTTAACTAGAATGCTGCGGATTTCGTTTCCTTAAATATTCATCGTCTCGAGCAATGTTCGATAGCATTGTCGCCATAAGTCTCCACATATTGATCTCATCATACGTCATGATAGCTGAATCGCGCTGATGGACATGAAAACACTGTTATGTGGAATTAAACGTCATAGATATACATAGGTAATGATGCGCTGTAAAAGCTGTCCAGGTAAATTGAGTTTAGGACAGCGTTGATGTAAAATTGGTGTCAGAGATAATCTTAGCAAGCTCAGATACATGGTGGCAAACGCGCCCACCTACTCACATCTACCGTAGTTGAGCAAAAACAATATCAGGATAGATAATGTTTTAAAGCAACTCATACTGTTTCCACCTTTGACCAAAACATCCACCGTTCTTTTTTTTTCTCTTTTCACATGTCACATTTTGGAACGAGTCGCTAGTTTCTCTGCAGTTGGGTCCTATTGCTGTATTACCCTGCACGGAGACAGCATATGCCAGGCAAGGAATGCATGCTGCACTGTCGCCTAGGTCTATCTATGTTTACGCCTTTCACCTATTAGACCTGCTCTCTCTCTAACCGTTCTGCACTTCGGACTGGAAAAGCTGATGATAGTACTACTACTATGTCTCGGATCTGAGACTATAACATTTCTACATGCAATGTACTTGTGTTATTCGACTGCGGCGCTAGTGACCCTTGTCTTGCCCCCTTTCAAGATGCGCCGCTGAGCGCTGAGCGAATGAGAGCTGAGAGCCCTTCTATTGGTTCTAGAATCAGGCGATTTAATCTGCAACGCTGCTTAGAATGGGCAGTGGCAGACGCAGCTCAGCCCCGAAGCAGTACGCGGACAGGGTTTTTTGTTCTAGGCCAGGGAGCTTCGGACTCTCACAATCTGCCATAGAGCTCGGAATATGAAACAAGGCCTTCAAGGCGAATAGTACTCAGGAAGCATAGAATGACGGCATATATGATACGCTTCAAATGCGTGAAGGTAACAGTTTTAAAACAAATATACACGTCGTCGCGGGCGCAGTCACCTAGCACCAGTCATCAACTCGTGCCATATTCCGTGTTACCATTTTAAGACGACGGTACTTCAATTTGGCCCAGATTCACCGCAACATTGCCCAAGTTGAGATCCACTATTAGGGGACCAAGTTGACCAAATCTGCCAAACAATGGTCTCCTTTGCTTTGCATCAGGCCAAAGTAGCCTGGAGGACCTGGCCCTGGCAGAAAATCAGTGGAGACGCCAGAGCAGCCGGGCAAAGATTTGGCGAAATGGCTTGGTAGAAGCCATTGCTGTCTGCCAAGTTATTAGGCGTAGAAATTGAAATAGTGCCGCAAATACCACGAATAATTGAAACTATTTGGACTATAAGTTCAAGCCATACGGCTTGTAGTGGCTTGCGTAGGTTGGGCTAGGTCTCAGAGCTTAAATCTACTAACACGGCGAAGGCGTGAAGGATAGCAAAATGCGGAGACCCATGCAATCTCGCTGGTGGATGCGCTGGCAGGCCTGTCCGCAGGAAGCGGTTGAGCGATAATTAGGGGGGCTTTTTTTTCTGCCGTAGTTAATAATAAACTCGGTGCGCCGTTTTGAAAAGCTTTGTGAGCTTTTTGTAAATATCTGGTTGCGATAAGCTCACCATGGAGAGCCAACTGTTTTACGACAGCGGTCTCACCCGTGCAGACCATATTGTGCTGAAAAATTTGGAGAACGACATCATCAAGAGACGGGAGGCTCGCTCGGAACTATCTAAAGCTGACAATGACTGGCACCATGTCTCAGCAGAGGCCCAGGCTGAACCGCAAGACGAAAAGGACTCAATTGAGGCTACCAAGGACATTGCTCTCCTCAAGTCTCTGAGAAACCCCAACGATGCTCACTTTGAGCCAACCATATTTGTATCCATTGACGACCTTCCAAATCGTCTTCCCAAGTCTGTCAACAATCTTGTGCTACAGCCATTCGTTCGTTGGGCCAGGAAAACAGCCCGATATGACACGGATGTGGTGATGATTGTGCATTTAATACTCTACTTTACCACCTCAGTACCAAGTGCAATCCTTCTGTTCCGGAACTTCAATCTCATCCACGGATGCATCCATGCTGTCATGCAGGTATACTATGTTGGCACCTACACCCTTATGATGCATCAGCACATTCACCAGCGGGGAATTCTGTCCAAGAAGTACGCCCTGTTTGACAGGCTATTTCCGTACATCACGGATCCTTTGATGGGACACACGTGGAACTCATACTTCTACCACCATGTCAAGCACCACCACATCGAAGGCAACGGTCCAGATGACCTGTCCTCCACGATCCGCTACCAACGGGACGATATCTTCCATTTCCTTCACTACGTGGGGCGTTTCTTTTTCCTCGTCTGGCTGGACCTTCCATTGTACTTTATGCAAAAGCGTCGCTGGGGACTGGCTTTACGAGCGGCGGGCTGGGAATTCGGCACCTATTTCTTCTATTATTCCATGGCAACATTTGTAAACAAATCAGCCACCTTTTTTGTGTACATCATCCCTTTCTTGCTGATGAGACTGGGATTGATGGCGGGCAATTGGGGTCAGCATGCCTTTGTCGATCCCGACGAGCCGGACTCTGACTATCGATCAAGTATCACCTTGGTGGATGTTGCAGTAAGTAAACCCTTATCGTATTTCTGCTGTGGTTCCAAGAACCTAGTAATTGACACGTTTTTGTAGAGCAATCGATTCTGCTTCAATGATGGCTATCATACTTCACACCATCTCAACCCGCTCAGGCATTGGCGGGATCACCCAATCTCTTTCTTGGAGCAGCGGAAGACCTATGGCAAAGAAGGAGCAATCCTATTTCACAACATTGACTTCTTGATGATCACTTACCGACTGATGGTAAAGGATTATGAAACCCTTGCCAAGTGTATGGTTCCCCTTGGAGCTCAAGCAGATCTCACGATGGAGGGTCGAATCAAGTATTTGAAGAGCTTGACGCGCAAGTTTTCCGAAGAAGAAATCCAGAAGAAATTCAAAAAGCAGTCCTAACATTCCACATCGGCTATTATAACGGTGTTGGCACTGAATCCGTTCTAATACTCATTGATGTGGATCTGCTTGCCCGATTACTTGGAGAAATATGGTTGTATGATAGGCAGAAGATCACCTTCCGAGGCATTGAGAGCGCTCTGATAGAAAGGATATATCTGGTTAAAGCTGTACGGTATTATGGTTGGCTCACTGGGTTACTTATTGCATATGATTGCAAGTAATGGCGGCGTTTTGGCATAAGGATGATACGGAATGGCCCTTGGATTGAATCAACACATTGATAGAGTTCACATAGCAAGACACATTGCCAGATGGATAAGAGAGACGAGCATGCATTCGGATGAATTTATAGCCTAGCCAGTGCCTAAGACAAAAACTGTATCTAGGTAACTTTTTCGTCCACCACCGTTAGAGAGGTGCATACCTCAATTGGTAGGTGCATGTAGCTGATGCCTTGGCGGCTGCATGCCAAGAGCTGCTGCTAAGACCCGCACGGGCCACGCTATATGTAGCTTAATCTGCGCGCGATAAGTTCTGAACGCAAATAACGTCATTCTTCACTTCTGCCTAAGTTGCACAACCACTTGCGGCTTTCCGACTCAAACACCAGCAGATATCTTGCACAGCACCACTGCCCAATATGTTTGGATTTGTAGGTCGACTAAGCTACTCCGCTTATCTGCTACAGTGGCAATTGTAACTAACGTGGCCCTGCCGTATAGCGCAAGACCCTCGACATCATCACGCTCTTCCACAAGGCCAGCTCTCCGGCCTCTGTGCGAGTGTCCAATCTGCTGAAGCAGGCGTCCACGAGCGCCCAGACAAGTGCTGTCAACGATGTCAGTGCTCGCCGTGACCCATTTGAGCTGAACATTACCGAGGACGCCCCGACTCTCGACCAGGTGCAGACAATCCTGCAGTACGTTGGCCAGAACGGCGCCTCTCAGGTCATCAAGGGCGCAAGAGACGACAAGGATGCGTTGAGGAAGTTTAAGGAGAACAAGGATAACTTGCTACGGCCCCTGGTAAGCGCCATGGCAAGAAACAGCTCATGGGTATAATGACTAATCGTTTTGCAGACGGTTGACTGGAGCAATGGCAAGGCGATTGCAGGAGACAACGAGTCCGAGATCTTGAAGCTACTAAACGCTCAAAAATGAGCATTGCTAGCAAGCCATCATGTATAAACTAAGCTTTAGAGGCTGCATATTCATATATATACCCCACTCTTTACCATGAAAATATTTAGGAATTATAGACGGCAGTAGGAAAAAAATAGGATTGTTTTTTATATTTTTAAGGCCTCTGCTTTCTATCTGTCTTTAATCTTGATGCCGTCGAACAACTTGAGCCTCTGCAAATAGCGCATATTCCACAGATGGGTGAGATCTCCGACAGGCAAAATAACTCCGTTGAATCACACTTCCACCTCTTTTGCTCACTTGGACAGCGAATTCTGCTCTGCTCAATAGGTCAATATAGGACACTAAATCGTTAAGGGTTCTATGCTATATGGTGGTGCTATAACCATGCTCTGCAGCGACAAACAACCTCGTTACAAACAGCCTCTTGAGGGTGTTTATCTCATGGAGCTCCGCCGCTGCCAGCTGCCATCCAGTTGTCAGACCCACGTTACGGGTCTGTCACTGTTGATTCACTTTATCATCTCTCTTTTTCTATTGCTCTCCCACATCGGATGAAAATTTAGTTCATTTCACCCAATTTATTCACTCAATTTACTGAGCCCGCCCTCTTCTTCTATCTCTTCTACTCTCTTCTCTTCCCTTCCCTGCTCTCACCGGCAACGCACAGTAACTGCAAAGCATTTCATTGCACAACAGCAAAGTCGTTGGATACGCACACAAGATCCTTCCTGTTCTATATTCTATTTAAGACTTGCATCAAGCCTCTTTATAGGTAGCTTGTGAACAGTTTCTCATCGATCTCTTGTGCGCTCCAGAAGCTCGCCTCTATCTCACACTAAGCGAATCTGCAGCTATCTAAGCTCGCCGCACCTTCCTCATTAGAAAGAAGAGCTCGCAAAAAGGTACGTCCATTCATCATCATTCTCCTCGTCTTTTATTTTCTTTTTCTCCCCTACGAAACGTCACGGCCTTTCTGTTTCTCAATCTGCATCTCTCGCAACTTCTTTTTGGATTTCGTTTTTGGAGCTTTGTCAAGCGCCGTCTTTCCCTGCCAGCAATATTTGATGCTCGCGTCCTCTCGTTTCAACGATTCACTTCGCCTTCTATCCCTTTACGCTCGCTTCTCTCTAGCTTCCCTTGGAATATATTGCAATATCACTCTTACTGACAATGGCCAAGAACTCCATCATGGCTGAGGCTATTCGTATGAACCCACTGCCAGCGCCGCATCCGGTTCTCCCTGCGGCTGCCTTCCCTCGTGTTCACGCCGAAAACTTTCCCCATGGAGACCGAGAAGCATATGCTAAATACTATCCATATGGAATTCCCGTCACCTACAAAATGATGTATGGCGTATACTCGCAAGGAGTGGCCCAGACATATCTGGAGGACAATCTTCCTATCGGGTTCTACACCAATATACCTCCAAAGGCGACAGCTATCATCTCAACTTCGAACGGAAGTCGACCTTTCCGAAAGTTGGATCACATTCTACCCCAACGTCGAATCCACCTGTGGTCTAAAGACGAAATCCAAGCGATTTGCAACTCACTTCGCAAGCTCCATTGGGATGGGCTGAAGAATATGCAGCAGCCTTACTGCTGGGATGATTTATGGACATACTTCGACGCCTATGACCTCTATCATAACGGCTGCCTAAACCTCTGGAATGTCATCAACACCATTTGGGATGAAAATAAGCTCATTTCGATCGATGTGAGGCGTGAAATAGCCGCTCATATTGGCCATTGGGCGGACGAATGGTTGAAGCTAGAGAAAAACCAAGACAAGTTGATGCAGTGGAAAGAGTCTCAAGGCTCTATCTATCGTATTCTCGATGATGAAGACCATGAATCGCTGGGCTCGCTGCAAGATGACGTTGTGCCACTTATTGCGAGCGCATTGAAGGGCCGCCGTGCCTATCTTCTTTCTAACGTGGAAGCAGAGAAAGCTGAAGAGCCTGCTGATCTGATAACGGCATTCCGTACAAATGGTGTTGAGAACTGGCTTAGTAAGTTTCCTAACCATCTATATCTCGTGAGACTCTGGGAGCTAATTTATATCTAGCCGGACAGCCTATTTTTGACTGTAATGGATTGCCACCGCCTCCAGTATCCGAATCTCACCGGCTGTCAAACGATCCAGCTCCCTGCTTTGAACAAGATGGCAAACACTACTTTCTTCCGTCAAATTTTTTCCCGCCTCCAGAGTCTTTTCAAAACTCTGTCAAAGATTTTCAAGCTTTGAATAACTCCCCCGAACCTGTTTCGTCTCCAGCAGAATTCCCCAAATCTGGCGTAGTAATCGTCAACGGTAGCAATGTACCAAAACTGTCGCAAGAGCCAATCAACAGGGCCTACCAGCAGACAATCGACGAAGTGCAAAGCAAAAATGGTACTCGGAGAACCTCATCGATGCCTGAGACGTCATCTCCTACGATCTCTGGCGGCAGCCAGGAGCTTGAGCGTGGATGGTCCCCGCTAGCGGTGGATAATGAAACTACTGCCAACGCTGATGTTAGACGAAGCTCTGAGCCGGCAGCTTTATCAATCACTGGGCAAAATCTATCTGATAATCCATCATGTTTCAAGAAAGAGGGATCAGAGGCTATGATGGACAATTCCATAAAGGAGATTACGGGAAAAAGGCAAAGAGAGCAAGATGCTACTCATTTTAGACAATCAAACGATGTGCGAGCAAGTTTGGCATCGGTGAAACCCCACCACCACCACCACCATCATCATCATCATCATCAGCAGCAATCTCAGGCTATTGAGCGATCTGATTAGTACTCAGGAATGGCTCAAAGACGTGGAGGCAGATTTCAGCCAGAAGTTGAAAGTCCTTTCCCAATGCACGATACCGCGCGATTCGATCAACGCCAAGCTCCGAGTGCGGTTACAAATCTGGTTGGTTCTACGGTCCCGAAACAACTACCGCCTACTCAAAGAGCTCGTAGGCTATCTCAAGAACAAAGAAAGCCTACTGATTTCTTACCCGGCGACTCTTTCAAACAGAGCTTCAATCCATCCACTCTGCCATCAGCAGAGACTGCAGCTTTCTATATGCAACCCGAGAAAGGAGGCATGCAACACCATGTAGGGCCCCATGGGTTCCCGTATCAAAATCAACAATTCAATTCTGCACCAAATAAACCAATTCCTCACAATATGACATACAGAGAGTTTTCTGGAGCTCAGCAAGGCATGTCATCTCATCAGTTTCCTATGGGAACACACTCGCACGCAATGCCATCTACTGTACCATACAACACTCCCGCCAATGGCTCTAATGATAGTATCCACCTAGCTCAGCAACCGAGACAGGAATATTTATATGCCTCCTCAATGCCGTCAGCGCACAATGGATACCAAAATAGTGACCGTCCGTACTACAATAACAACAACAATAATAATAACAACCGGGTAGGACACCGTCGAGGATCTCAAAGCCAAAAGCCTCATGGATATGTTCCTGGCCAGCAGCCTCAAACTGAGCACAATGCTGCATTCCAAGAAAGCCATTTAAATAAATCTTGGAGGCGAGGACCTCCACATGACAGGGCCCGGCAGAGCTCTTGGTGTCGCAACACGGCCGGCTCAAACATAGAGTATTGCCATTGCACCTGTGACCAGTGTAACGAACGCAACAGAAGTGTTTGGGTGAGAGTGATTAGCCCTGAATCTTTTGTGTCGATAATGGAAATACTATCATTCCTTAAATTTGGATTAAGCACTAGGTTTGGCAGGGTGGAAGAGGCTTATCCAGCACCATCAATGAGGAGGGATGCGTTTATCGTGAGGTAAGATTTATTATTCAACGACGGGTTTGTTCACACTAACGCCTGATAGATTCGAGAGCGAATCCTCGGTTTCACAAGCTCTTGCTTTTGGTGGAGGCATGGTTCCAGAAAAAGACGTCAGAATAACCATTCAACCGGTCCATCGATCAAAGTGGATGAAGCGCCACCCGCAACACCAACCAAGAAAGCTTCTGCCTCTGCCAATCACGCACCAACAGACATCGCAAGGCGAATCTCTCTCGCCAAGTAAAAGTCTTGTTCATATTCAGGCGCCTCCTAGTTGTTCGCTGGGATCAAGCCATACGTCCACACCAGAACCAGATCAGCACGAGATTCCTTCCCGCCCTCTGAGTGTCTCAACTTTACCCCAAGCGGATTTATCGAGTCAGAGCATGGAACAGCAAATAATCTCGCCAACTGCTGAGTTTAATTGGGATGCAAAGTCTGACAAAGTGCCAACTCCTTCTGAAGTGCCTGTGGCCAATTGCAAACACTTCGCTTCTGAAGAATTGAGGGAATATGCTGCCGATCCAGCTTCTCTCTCTCTTCAAGCTATGAACTATCCAAAGGCGGAGAAATTTGAGAAAGAAGGTTTTCTATATTTAGAGTCACTTTCTGAGGAAGCCGTTATTGAGAAGGGCATCAGATGCGACATTACAACTGCACATTGTGACAGCAGCAAATGTTTGTCGCCAGAGAAAGTCGACAGTACGCTACCAAGTACGCCTATCAACTCGGTCTGTTCTTCAAGTGATACACCTAAAGCAAAATTTTCCAACAAAATTTGTCCAACTACAGGGACGAATACTCCGATGTCGAAGAGTAACAATAGAAAAGCCAAACAATCCTCTTCAGTTGTAATGGAGGACCGTCAGTGCCAAAGTTCTGGAGTAATTGGAAAAGTTGAGAATGCAGTAGGGGTAAAAGAAAACAGTGATAATGAGGCTATAAGAGCACCAAGTGACCTGAGGAAGGCGCAAAATCCCACCAAAGATATTGAGAGACCACTGCTGACCGCAGCATCATCTGAGAAGCACATTGAGTCTAGTATAAACAGCCATGCGCAAGCTTCTAGCTATACTGAGAAGGAGATAAAAGAGCGAAAACAGGCCTGGAATAGGATTCCTATGCCATTGGATCCACGAAAGTCCAAAAAATTAGGAATAATAATTACGTCTAGCCAGCACTCTAGTCTACCAAGCCGAGATGCGTCATCGAACAATACAACAGAGAAGGCGGGTATTGCTAAACCATATATCGGGAAGTGGGATCAACTTGAGTCGATTCATACGCCACGGTTGGACAAGGTAAAACCAGAGCAATTAACAAAAGCTGCTGAAGTATCAATCAAAGATAAAACTCATAATCTTACGGAAGAGAAACCGCTGGACTATGAACTAAGATCAGGCACATTAGCTCAGCTACCTATGGTGCCCCTAGCAAACGAAGTTTCCACCAATATGACGACCACGGGAGAGCCTCAAGCCTCAAGAATGAAGACATCTAGCTCATATCAGACTGCATCAGAGCATACCAGTGCTACTGCTTCGCATTTGCAGCTACCCACTGGTGAAAACAAAACGAACAATACGGAAAATAGCCAAACCAAGCCAAGACCCAAGTGGAACAAACCCAAGAAAAGCAAGAAACGTCTAGCTTTGGCATCGCAGATTGTGCTGCAGAATGAAGGTAGTAGCCAAGAGATATCGCCATCTGTCTCGGAGACGCCCTCTATGGTAAAGGAAGAGCCGCGAGCAGATTACCATATGTTTACGTCGGCTCCTGCAATATCCGAATATCACTCCCATCCTGTTCATTTTACGGGAAAGCCTGACGAGACAGAGCTTTTCAAGGGTTCTATAGAACAGGCTATGACAAATAATAGAAGCCAGTATTCATACGATACTCTACCTCGGAGTCGGCACGATTTCAGAAATAACGCAGGCGGCTCATTAAGGGTTCCCAAAAAGCGGAAGAACAAATATCCTGCAATCACTTCGAAGACATTCGAAGTTTCTCCAACCAGTAGATTCGAACCATCACAACTTGAGTATTCTGAAAGTGGCCAGATGCCCATGAGGAACACCGATAATACAAATATACCGGACCCAGCAACACATATAACGGAACCAGACTCTTCCAAGAGAAGTCGACTTAACCCGCTTGCAACGGCTTTTGAATCTCCCCAAAAGACCACTATTGCAGCAGTGGATATCGGCATAACACCAAATCTTTGCAAAGCAGGCTCACCCCGAATCGGGGAAGGAGAAGATTTGCTCAGAGAGAACCGATCACCTTCAAAGTTTAAGATTATTCAAAGGTCAACGACTACGCATGAATCGCCTACCAAATCGCAGCATCTGAAAGAGAAGCTTGTTCGACGCATTGATAGCTCAAAAGTGAGCGGTAGCCTTGAGATTTCGACAAGGCAGCGGGAGAATAACCCTTCCGAGATCCAGCGCAGCTGGTCCAAAGACAAACATGGAAATGACAGCGAAATCAGGGAGCCAATCAATTCAAAAGCTACATCACCTGGAAGAAAAGCTGCCCTTGATAAAGAGGACTGGCCTTCGTTGCCTGCATCGCGTATAAGATCTGCTACTCTCCAGTAACGGTCTTTCTTTTAGGGGAAGAGCATGCATGCTAGACACATATGATCAGCTGTTACCGCATTGTTATTTTCGTTCTACATTACGATATATCATAGTAATTAAAATATTGTTAGATGAGACGGCTTCTGTCAGGATATTGAGTCATGGGTATATAATCGAGCATTTAGCTATGTAAAAAATCAGACCATTTAGCATTGTTTATGACCATATTGAATTATTTTTGTGATTAGGTCGCTCAAGCCTTTCGTATTATCATCAATAGTTTGCCTGGCTGCTGGCACAAAATTGTATTGTAGATAGGCACAAGTTTGGCATCAAAGTAGTAGTTTAGTGTTGTATCTAATGCGGCTGAACTTGTACACTATAGCGTCTATGTCATTACGCCATATTGAGATCTTGTCCTCATCTTTACTGGGATGCAAGCCAGGAGCTTTGCTCCGACACAATCTCCGCTTTTATTATTCCATTTTAATATATACAATTTTTCTTTCCCATTTATGCCTTGCTGACCAGCCCTGAGACGGTATCCTCGATTTGCTTGTCTGTCAGGCCCTCAAGAGACTGTGACTTTTCATTGCCAAACTCTAGAAACGCATGTGTCCGTTAGCACATGATCAAAACATCTTCTTCCTCTTTTTCATTCTTCCTCCCTCCTAAATTCTTCTCCCACTCTTTAAAACTTTGAGTTGAAGATGGCATTGGGAAACGTACCGAATCTGGCGTAGACTTTGGGAAGAGTGCCGGCGGCTTCGCGGAGGAGGATCGGGGTGTTGGGGTTGGCCTTCTTGATGGCTGGGTACTGGGTTGTGAGGAACGATCTAGACGGAAGCCTCCCAGTTAGTTCTATTTTTGCCTGGATGGTATGTGTATGCATGTGCATGTGCATCTGCCAATTCCTCCCCGCTGCGGGAAAGATTGGAAATGCGCTCTTGGGTTCTGGAGCTCGACATGGGCGATTGGCCAACGGTAGCTGCCTTGGCAACCTAGCAAGGTGGATAAAACAGCTATAGCACTATGCGCAGAGTGCATATCGCGAACCTTTGCTGCTGACTCCATCGATTGACAAGGGAAAGGAGAGAGGTGGTGGGCTGGAAGCGGGCGATATCAAAGGCTTCGACGTACCGAACAGCGGCGCTCTTCTCGGAGGTCTGGCAGAAGAGGAAGCGAACCTCCTTGAGGGACTTGGCGAAGGCGAATTTGGCGGACATTTCGAGGGTTTTGGGTGGGGGGAGAGAAGAAGAGGAGGAGGAGGGACAATTGGGAGTGCTTGGATGGAGGGTCTGGAAACTTGCGCCTTTCGCTGCTGAGTGCACGGTATCGAGATAAGTCGTTTGTCGTTGTTTTGGGGTGGAGCTTGGGATGGTTGTGCACGTGCATAAATTGCTAGCTTAATGCAGCACAGGTATAAGCAGCTTTGCATAACTCCCACTGCGGACTCGACGACTCGGGTGCATAAAGTAAAGTCCGGTGTCGGCTGAATCCCGGTGCTAAAGGAAACGTCCGCCCGCGCATTATTCGGAAGCTCATCTCCAACCACGCTTCCCTTTCTGTCTAGGCATTTACAGTAAACAAGTAACGACTGTTTCCATTGTCCAGACATTTGCAGTGAGTCCGCGCGCTTGCACTCCCACGGAGCACAAACTTTGTCTTTTTCGCTCACCCCTGTCGATTTCGAATTGTGCGAAAACAGGACAAGGGCAGCTTAGAAAACCACCGTCGCGATATATATATATATATATATATAGAAGAGCTTCAGCAATACTAATTCACGGATGTTTTCGCAGGCCATGGCCCCTACGAGCAACATTCTGCGCGCCGCCCGGCCCATCCTTCGCCAGCGCGCTGCCGGCTCCTCCCCCTTCTTCACCAGCCAGAACCAGCAGTTCTTCCGCCAGCAGTTCCGCCAGCAGGGCAAGCGATGGCAGAGCACGGCCTCCGGTGAGCAGGAGTCTGCCAGCTGGTTCAAGAAGGCGTGGGAGAGCGAGGTTGGCATCAAGACGGTGCACTTCTGGGCTCCCGTCATGAAGGTGAGCTTTCCCGACCCTTCCCTGATCCCTTATAGCTAGCTATATATATATATATATATATATATAGTTACTATGGATGGGTATTATACCTGTGGGTGAATAACTGGCTGACTCCTGGTGCTTCAACAGTGGGCTCTCGTCCTGGCAGGTGTTTCCGACTTCGCCCGGCCCGCTGACAAGCTGTCCTTTGCCCAAAACTTCTCTCTGATGTGCACTGGTTTGATCTGGACGCGTTGGTGCTTCGTCATCACCCCCAAGAATATGCTGTGAGTAAAGAAACTTATTTAAAAGAAAAAAAAACCCCCAGTCGCCGTAAAAAAGAATATACAAAACTGACATGGAACTCATCGCATCCAAAGGCTCGCCGCTGTCAACTTCTTCCTCGCCCTCGTCGGAATCACCCAAATCACCCGTATCACCCTGCACGAGATGAACAAGAAGGACACCGTCAAGGACGTCGTTGAAGCCAATGCCAAGGCTTAAAAAGTTGAAGTGCTTCTTAAAAGGAAAACTTTATACAAACCGTTATAAACAAGGCCTGATATATCATCATATCCGTCATATCATGGAAAATCTCTCCGTCTTGATAGACGCGACCATGCCGAGACTAAACAAAAGACTTTGTTAAGAATCATCAAAGGGGGGCAGATGCACAGATGCGAGGGGATTCACTTAATTGCGCAATTGCTATGGGCTTGGGTTTGTTTGTACACACTACTTGCTCGCCTCTAAGAGGGGTTTCAATTTTCAATTTTTTTCTTATTGTGTCAACCCCGATGGCCGACATCGGTATCGAGTAAGGGATTATGAATTCCGCAAGGAAACAAGGGAGAAGGAAGTTGGATTGCTTACGTAGGGCACTATAAGCAATGTTATGTTTTTCTATCCAACAAGAACCTGTCTATTTACCGGAATGACTGTGTAAGACCAAGCGACACCCATGCAAGAAGCACTGAATTTATCTTCTCCAAAAAAAAAAAAAAAAAAAAAAAAAAACATTGATATTCCAAAAAGACATCAAAAAGTGATATAAAGCACGTTCATCTAGTAGACATGAACTACCTAGACAGATCTCTTATTAAAGTCATCAAGAGAAAAGTGATAAAATAATGAAATTCATTCAGAGGCTTTTTGCATTATTCCCTCATGAGCTTTCTTCTTCCACTGTTGCACCCATCTTCTCCCAAGCGCCGTGCCAGAAAAAAAAAGGAGAAACAAAAGGAGGGGATATATAAGAAGTAAGGAGTAGGAGTTGTCAAAGTCCACTGCTCCGAGATACAATAGAAATAATAGAAATAATAGAAATAATAGAAAGATGAAACAGAAGAAAAGAAGAGAATCCAAGCCCTATCTGAACAGGATAATTAAAATAGAGCTCCCAAAGCTCGGCACTCATCGTCAAAAAGCTGCCTCCTTGTGCGTCTAGGTTTTAGTTACTCAGCATGGCCGTCGTTAAGAAGCATCTCCAGAATAATCTGCCTGCCCGACAGCTCTGGGTGAGACATGGCAATCTTGACAGTTCCCTTGGAAACGTCGCCCGCCGTTGACAGGCCACCATTTTGGTTATACACTTGCGAGGCCTGAGCCGCGTTGTCTCCCGTCGGACCTCTCACGCCAAAGTCAATCAACCGCACATCTCTTCCAGCAATGATTTGTCGTAGCCGTCCGTTGTCAGCGTTACGGACCTCGACGTAGTCCTCATTGTACAAGATGAGATACTGTCCGTACATGGTCGCACCCTTGGCCTTCTTCTGCTTGCCCGTATACTCCATGATGAGGGTTCTGCTCACTTCGCCATGTTTGTCGACGTATACGGCACAGTCTTCATATGTGAGGATGAATTCGTTTTCGTTAAGTCGGAACATGCCCAGAGGATGCTGCTCTCGGATACGGTTGGCAATATTGGCAATTGCTGGGGCCTTGAGATCAGGAATGGAGATTGGCTGCTTCTTGTCAAGCGTCAACATCTCAATACCTTTTGATGTAGACACGGCGATATAAGTCTGGAAAAGGCTTAGAGAGAAACATTCTGTCGGGAAAAAGAATTCGTCAAAGTCACGGAAGGATTCAGTGCTTCCTGAGGTACCCTTGCCCCTTCCAAACAATCGCGACTTCTTTTCCGACGATTTCTGCAAAATGGGCTCAAGCACCTTGAACATGGTGTGCAAACCTTCCTTTCGTTTGTGGAATAGCAGGGTTCGATCCTTCATCCTTGCCGTCGCAAAGTAGGTCACGTCCTTGGCCAGCCTCTGAGGAGCTTTTCTGGGATTATCATTGACAGGCGCGGCGTATTCTGAGACTGGGGCCACCACATCCAAAGGATAAGATATCAACGACTTGTCTGCAATTACAACACACACGTTGAACTCCTCCAGAACGGCGATTTGCGTAACTCTAGCGATTTGGACAGTCTAAATTTATATTTCGGTTAGTCACATGAAACTCTCATAAATTTGCAGTAAGTCGATTTACTTACCCGGGTCCATCCTCGGGGATTTGAAGGGTCAGCAATATAAATGCCATAGTCTGTTCCAATGGCAATTACGGCCTTGCCGAACGCTGAGAAAGCTGTGGCGCAATTCACCTGGGCACGACAGACGGGAGCCACGCCTTGCCCAGAGCCAAGGACGCCTTCTAATTCCTGAATTGCTCTGTCGAGCGGCGTACCCTTGACAGGAACACCAGCAGACCTTGCGTGAGGAGAGGCGATGTCATAGTTAAAAGAAGCATCGGCAAGTACACGAAGCCTGAATGGTTCTGCGTTCTGAGAGAACAACGCCTTCGCATGCTTTGTCTTCGCCTCAACAATCTTCGTACACCAGTCTGCTCGATCTCGAGCAGTTGATGCATAGAGTGTGTATACTTCATGGCCTAAATGCTTAATCTTGAAGGGATAGAGGATGTTGGCTTCGCCATCGTTGGAACCCGCTGGCGTGAGCGTCGTTGACGAGCCAGTGGTCGAGCCGGTCGCAGTATGCTCAAGGCCTGGTCGGATAGCATTATTTGTTGGAACTTTGTTGAGCTGGTTTATGGGTCCGGCGGCAGGCACAACGGCTGCTGTTCTGGCCAGAGGAGCTGTAATACCCTTTTGTTTGATAACGGGCTCGTCATTGTTACTTTCCAGGAACAAAAGAGGCATCGGAATTGGCTGTCAAGGTTAGCGCTCGTTTCTCGGAAACTGAAGGACAAGATATAGAAGCTTACCTCTCTGGATACATCATATTTCTTCTCTCCTCTACCATCTCTAGAGATGACCACCTTTGCCAAAATCAAATAGTGGTCAAATAGCAGGGCATGTGTATCCACCCATTTTATACCGCTCGAACTCAATCTTTGCAAATCACCCTGTATTTCAAGAGTTCTACCGAGGTGGTCAAGGTTAAGCACAGACTGGAAGCCTGGTCGCAAAATGAGCATTCTGTCGAGCTCCATCATTTCCACTCTCTTGTTGGTCTCCGCAACCTTGGCATCACATTCCAAAGTGACCACACGAATCTCCTCAATGGCTCGCTTGAGGTTGGTCAGCTCTTCGCTATCCCCTACCATCTTTCGCTCTACCGTTTCAAGAAGGAGGATATATCGCTGGAGACGCTGCAGCGGAGTGATAAGGAAATGAGTCCAATCTTGTTTCAGGGAGGCTTTGTCTTTCTGTTTGTCTTCCAAAAATTTCTTGAATAAGAGGTTTCTGCTGGCCTCCTTGCGTATCATATACGCGGCGCGAGGATATCCAGTAGCATACTCAATGTAGTCATTTTTAGCTTTACGAATCCACTCTCGGAAGAGATCGCTAAAGCCGACAATCCACGGCCCTTGCTCCTGTTGGCGATACTTGAGCTGCGCCAAGAGATTGTCCTTGTTGATGTGGACAACTGTGTCGAGCTTTCCAAAAACTGCGGTCAAGAACTTATCGCGCTTGTCGGGATGGATAATGGGCGGCTGCCTGGTTCGCAAATCGTCTCGGTAGAGTGTGCGGAAGATATCTAGCTGTCTAATGTAAAGCTCTTCACCGGTGACGATTTCGTGTAAAATGTTTTGGCGTTCCACCTCCTTCTTTGGGCGGGATTCGATGTCTTCTTTTGTAAGCTTATAGAAAACGTGCCAGTCATCAGCGGCCTTTTCGTTCAAGCCCTCAAGATCCACCTTTTTGAGTGTACGCATACAGTGGGTTGAATAGCAACGGCCACTGATCTCCACATCGTGAAGCTTGGGAGCGTAACATCCAGACCCGGTCAACTGCCATAAGACTCCCGAGATGTGGCCGCTTCCAAGTTTCACCCATTCCTCATCAGGTAGAAGGACGCCGTATTTGAGCATGTGAGACAGCACAGTGGTACTCAGAGCCTCGGCATCGGCAACATTCATAGTTGGCACTTTGAAAGTAAACATGATGGTCAACGCCTCCTCGATAATCTTCTCTCTCAGGTCAAGCTCTCCCTCGGCCATCTCACGGATCCAAGCTTCAATGCCGCTGAGTGCCCACGGCTCTGGACATCGCCTAAAGTCGGCAGGCGTAAGCTTTGACGGAATAAACTTCTTCTTTCTGCCTCCAGTGGGCAGGGTGATGCTGTCGAAACCTCCTACTGGAGCATTCATTCCGCCATCATATTCAGTAATTGGCAGGGACGGCTGATGCGGCACCCCCTGTTGCTTGGCCAATTTCCTGCGCTCTTCCGCCGCATCTGTCCTTGATCTTGCCGGTGTCTGCACCTGCGGCGTATGGCTATAGCCCGCCAGTGAAACCGATCTTTCAGGCTGATGCGAGGAGGAAGAATTACCAGTATAAAAGTTCTCTGGGTTCTCATACTGCTGGCTTCTTGAATCGCTACTTCGAGAATATGAATGGTACCCGGTAAGACTGGTGAGTTGCCCAGAAGTCATGGAGCTAGTGTCTGAGCCCGGGGCCGGGGGCAGGGCTGGTAGAGGTCGGTTCGAAAGACCTGGGTGATAAAAGAGGTCTTCATAATCATCTTTACTCGGGGATTCAGCTGTTGAACTAAGGCGAGAATGAAGGGAGACTCTCTCATCGCCCTCGTCGAAGCTGAGTCTCTTGGCACGGGGCGCCTGTAAGCCGCCTGTATCACCGTAGTCTACTTGAGCAGGTCGGCTTTGGCCAGGTGTTGGCAAAGGCCGAGGAGATCCTTGAGACAAAGAAGAGCCCGTGTAGTTTCCGATGCCATCTCCATAGGTGAGTGTCCCTGCATAGCCACCGCTGAGGCCTCCCAGGTCCATGAATCCTCCAAAGTCACTATCACTGCTATGATCTTGCTCTTCAGGCGGTGGGGGGAGCGGATTGGACTGAGGTGGGTGCGCAATAGTCGGTCCCTCGTTGTATATGAAGCTGCTTCCGCTGAATCGCCTCTCCTCCAGTTCAGCTTGCTGCATTGCCAGTACGCCGGCAGCTCCCTCCAAGTCATCGGAGTCATCCCCGTCGTCGTAGACGGCTTGCGCCGCAGTACTGCTCGATGGTCGGTGAGGAAGCGTCATCTGGCCGTTAGCCGGGAGCGGCGAGGGCAGTGGCCGGGGATCCGTCCTTCCTAGTTCAGCCTCGATTTCTTGCATGATGCTTTCTTGGTCGTAGGGTTCATCCTCATGGTACGGATGGGGCTGAGGAAGTGGGCGACCGTTCGCATCCCAGGGGGTAGCCTCCTCGGGCAGGTCAGCCATTGGTCGGCTGGGCAGAGGAGCATTGGTTGGGTGCCTAACTACCCCGGGAGATCCAAGTGGCTGCATATATGGTGATGCCAGTGAAGATGAGCCCTGTGAGTCTGACCGCCCAGGTCGAGTAAAATAGGCGGCGTCATTACTTGTAGGATATGCCGGCATCTGAGAGGTGGTTGGGTATGGCGCCTGAGAGTTGGAAGAATAAGCAGCAGGGCTTGGACTGCCGCCGTTAGAGCCATATGCCTGATACTGCCCTGTGCTGTAGGTTGGAGAGGCATAAGCCGAAGACTGAGTTTGAGAGCCAGTGACGGCGAACGACGACGGACTGGTGGGCATGGTCTGCTGATACGAGGCGTTTCTTGTTGGAGACTGCGTCGGATATGGCACGCCTGGGGACTGAGGCGGGAAGGACGGCGATGTCTGCCCAGCGCCAGCACCATAGGGTTGGTCATGGCTGCTGTTATGCCCGTGATACGTAGGATATCGCTGCGGCGCCGCAGAAGCATAGGCCGCGGGGTTGTATGTCTGAGGGGCGCCGTAGTTGTTCGGCGAGGGGCTGCTATAAGCGCTGCCTGAGCTGATCGGAGTCGCATTGTATCGTGTCGACATGGTCTGCTGATGGACATAGGGCACGTTGGTAGACTGCGACCGATGGAAGTTGGAAGGCTGCGCAAACGACTGGGGGTTGTACGCAGCGTGCGAGGGCGTAGGCGGCGGCTGCTCTTGTTGGTACTGGTGGGCGTAGCCAGACATTGCGGTGTTGCCGGCAGAGTTGGACGCTGGCCGGCCGGCCGGGTAGTTTGTCTGGCTTGATATGAAGAGTTCGTCGTCGCCAACACTGGCCGACGGCCGATGCGCATGTGTCAAGGCGCCGCTGTATTGGTCCTGGGGATGGCCCTCGTAGTAAGTGCCATCGTCGCCATGGTTGAAGCTCGCCTGGCGGGCCATGTTGGAGTGCTCCGCGGGCTGCTGGCCAGCGACTGGATACTGGACGGGCGGGACGTGTCCGTACCGGCGTCCTTCGTTGTTTCGAAAGGACATGCTTGGGGGTGAGGTGGCCGCCGAAAAGTGTCAGGCGAAGTAGGCTGCTAGCGACGAATCGAGAGACTGGTATGTAGCAGCTGACGCCTTTTTCTGGCGGGTGGGCTGTCTGAGACGAAGCCTCACGGGTCAACTTTATCGCGATAACACTGCAAAGCGAGCGAAGGAGGCCAGAGTCGCATTGGGCGGCATCAAAGGAGACAATGGGCTCATCAACCGCTAGGCTGCTTGCAGTCGAAGGCTTAGCTCCTGTGTTTGCTTGGCCGACGAAAATCCCCTCCGTTGTGCCCGAGAGGCTGACAGGACAGCTTCACGGTGGAGTTTGCCTGGAAGCCAAGACGAGCGCTGGGCGGGTGGGTTCCTGTCGCTGTACGAAGCCTCGCGCAGTAAACGCTCAAGCACGGCGTCGACGAGGTCTCGGAATCAGAACCACGGCGCACGTCAGAAAAGAGGAAGAATTAAAAATAGGTTTAAGACAGACGCAGCACAAACGAGGAACCCGTTCGACGCCAGTCAGCCGTTGTGCGGGAGACGGAGCTTCGATCAAGCCTCAAAAAAGAGGAGGCTTACGCCCATGCGTACGCTGAGGTCACTTCACTTTGGCTGTAGGTGCGTGCGTGTGCTGGAAATTAGGTGCTAATAAGCCCAAAGAGGCGCTGGCGGGGCTACGGACCCAGGGCCTGAAACCCAGTGGCAGTGAGAAGCCGCTGCTGTCTTGCTGCTCTCAGAAAGCGCCGCGGCTTCTGCCACAGCGTGCATGATGGGCAGTAACATTAGAAGGCCTAGCACCTGTGCAAAGTATCATTGTGCCTTATTTAGAAGGGGCGCTAAGAGGTTGAGGGGACCACTAGACCGTATAGTAGTGGTAATGATTGGATAGTATAAACTACGAGAGGTCCCTGAAAAAAAGATCAATTTGATCCCATGCACCAAGGATATGTATAAAATTGAACCTAGAGAAAAAACAAATGCGCTAGCTTCCAGCTGCCATCATTGCCGGCAATGTCATACCTGCAGATCTACTGGAATTAGGCATCGCTTATTTCCTTGAACGCATATCAGGAGTGAATCGAGGAATAGGTTGAAAAGCCTCGCCGTCGCTGAATATCACCAAATAAGGATGTCATTGGTCAGTGGCGCGTGGAGAGCGCACAAGTAAAATACGAAGACTCGCCGGCCCTAGCCTCGGTCGCCGTCCTTTGCCGTCTCAGTAACATTGGATGTTTCTGGTGTTCCTGTAGCGTTCGCAGGGAGTAGTTGGTACTGTGCTTCGTACTCTCAACTCGTATATACGAGGGGCTTGATGAGGATCAGCGCGGCTCTTGTCTGCATACGCGGAAGTACGCCGTATGGAACAGGGCAGTGCACGGTATAGTTCACTCAAATGCCAGATTGCCAACTCCAGGTTGGCAGAAATGGTTCTGTGGGTGTGCCGGTTTGAGCACCAAACAGAGAAAGGCCTCGCTCCCTCTTTAATCAATTAGCATGGCGTCGAAACTTGGTTGAAACCACAAAACACGCCATTGCAGGGGCCATGAGCTCTTAGGAGGGTGCACAGGCAATACGAGGATGCTACCTGGAGCCGAAAATGGAAACTATCCACGACACCAAGAGGGAGCTAGCGGTTAATCTGCAAATGATGAATAGTGGTGTTCTTCTGCTTCTAAACCAGAGCTGTCGAACTTATAATCCACGACCGACGGGTTTTATTTTCTCCCCTTTCTTCCTTAGTAGATAGCAGGTAGCTGCCCCCCTGCAAATCAGTGAGTGTGAAGCGGATAGAAACATACCTACCTAACGCTTCAAGACTGCTCCGTACGGTGCATATTGTAACACTATTGTGCAACCACCACTGCCACTTTCGCGACCGGCGCCTCATATTAGAATGAACGATATTTAGGCAGCATAATTAACTCTTTCGAGTCAAAAGCATCGTTCGTGCACACAACCTGCTTGATATCATACACCGTCGTCGGCCTCATCCTTATGCCTTAAGGGCTTGTAAGACAGTAGATCGGTGGGCTTTGTGTTAATCGGGCTGCTATAAGCGTGCAACTTAGACAATGCCTCTGAAAGTCAAGATGATTCTCATCTGAATAATCCACTTTTTCGTAATATCAACCTTGGGAGCCTTTTTGCCCGAGTTCCTGGTCAGAAAACCGTCACTGAGTGCGGTGGTCCCTGGCCCCACCTGGTCGGCTCCGTGCCGAAATTCGCTACCGGCCCTACTAATGTTGAGCCGTCGACAGAGAAGGATATTTCATGGATAAAGAGATGCAAATGAGGTTACTGATGAATGCACTGAGGTAGGTATATTTAGATTTTGTATCAATCCGCCATGAGGTGTTCCGACCGAGGCAGAGCAAGCTGATATCAGCTTACCAGCTTGAAAAATCGACGCGGTTCCAGATGCCGATTCCCCCTCTTTTCTAATATTAGACTAGAATCGATTTACTGAACAGTTGTCGACCCATCTTGGATCGGCAGGCCTATAATTGTTTCCCATACGGTAGATGCTAAATTTAACAGGTTCGCTGACAAGAGACTATAACTCTAAACGGGGACGGAATTATAGTCGGCACTAGACTCGCACCATCAGGAGGCCCGCAAACCGATGCATTATGTTTTCATAATCGCACCACCACATCGTAGCAAACGATAGCAATACATAATTTGTTGTTTTATGTGAGATTCTTAGTTGAAATATAGTCAAATTTTACTAAATAGCATCGCCTTTTGCCGAATTCTACGTTGGTGAACGCCACGATTCGCGCAGATTTCAGCTGTATCCTATAACACCAATTTATATAAGCTAATGTGTCTGTGGAGGAAGTCCAACAGCTGGGCGGCCAATTTTTTTTTTTAATCCGACTCTGGTTGTAAGTTTGCCATGGTCTTTGATTTTTCTGTTCCCAAAAAGTTTAGGGAGAATTATTCATTAACAGGGCTATTGCAGTTATATAGTACCCGTTATTCAGCTACCCACTCAATATTGATCTCGATTGTTATTATTAAGGTCATGTATCGGTATACGATGCTACCACTTTCCTTGAGATTCTACAATCAACGGTCTTAGACTATACGGATCATGATTGCGGCCATGCTTAATGCTATGAGAATTGAGAGGAAGGAAATGCAAGCGGTATCAAAACCACTCCGGTAGTTGAGCTAACGAATGGACTAGTCCGTCGCCTCAAGACCTTTCCTTGTTGGTCAGTGTCATTTAGGATCCACAGGTGGAAAGGTGAGCGTAAACAGGTAATTATACATAAGATGAGCTGCTGACCTCAATAGCGTCTCACAGAGTGTTCCAGCGTGATATAACAGCCGTGATGCGTAACACTAGCTGTTGTTACCCAAAGGTTAAGGAGAATCATTTTTACATCAGCATGGACGATATTCACCTCTTACAACAAGGGCAGCCTTAGTCATGCATCTTCGCTCCCGCCAATCACGGCGATAGAAGCTTCCGGAGGGGCTGCCAAGCCGAATCTACTCCATACAGGCAACACAGCCTTGCTGCTGATTCGCAGCTCTGCAATCCCGTTCTTGTCAACGTATGAACGCTCCTTTATCGGCACCCAGCCGCGGCTTATATGCACATAGGACCGCCATAGCGATGCGGAATTGCTCGCTTTGTCGTCATTTGTCAGCCATCAATGCCTAGCGTTGCGGGCTTGGAGTGACATTAGAGGTCGCCTTTCGGCAAGTCAGAATGACGACAATGACGCTGCGGGGCAAAATGGAGCTGCACTGAGCTCCCACGAAGACCTCCCCCTCCCCAAGCTCAATCGTGGCTAGTAGTACCACCTGGGTGCAGAATTTCCATGCCCGAAGCTTGCTGGAGAGTTATTGGTAGGCCGCTGGGCAGAGCGCATCGATAGCAATCCCCACCCTTGAAACGAGCTGCGTTCGTAACTCCGGAGCAGCGAAAGGCTCCCTTCTCTTTTAGCTGGCCCGAGCCTCTCCAAACTCTGTCCTCTCCACCTCTTCATCATCGCCATCTCGCCGTCTTTTTCGTGCAAAAAACAATCGTAAAACCCAACCGCCAAAATGGTCAAGGCTGGTAAGACACCTCCCGGCCCCCATTGTGCCAGGCAGTAGCTCCTAGCAGCGCCATGCTCGGCTTTATATAGTCGTCGCTGGTCTAGCGGAGGGGCGCGGCCATGCTGTGCTCATCCCCGAGCTGGTTTGAGGGGGTTTTTGCTCTTTATCTGCTCAAACGGCTTCGTTAGACAGCGGGCCGCGCCGCAACCTTGATAGACATCTGGCCCTGCTTCTTCTTCCCATTGGAAGATGTTGCTGGCGCAAGCGTGTCCCTTGATGGCCGCGGCGCGATCGCATCGCAGCCTGATGTCCTTTTGAATCGTCTGGGAACGTCCGCTAACGACGAGCTGTAGTTACTATCCTCCGAGGAGACGCCAAGGTCTCCGGCACCGTCATCTTCGAGCAGGCCTCGGAGGGTGCCCCTACCACCATCACCTACAACATCACCGGCAATGACCCCAACGCCAAGCGTGGCTTCCACATCCACACCTTTGGCGACAACACCAACGGCTGCACCTCTGCCGGCCCTCACTGTGAGTTGATCCGATAGTATCGGACGAAAGAAGAGGGCTCCCTTTGCTTACCAAGTTCTTCGGCAGTCAACCCCTTCAACAAGAACCACGGCGCTCCCTCTGATGAGGTCCGTCACGTTGGTGACCTCGGCAACATCGAGACTGATGCTCAGGGCAACGCCAAGGGCACCATCACCGACAACCTTGTCCAGCTGATTGGCCCCAACAGCGTCATTGGCGTAAGAAACTTCCATTTTTGTAATATTTCTAGAACTGCAAAGCGTGCTGACAATTCATATTTAGCGCACCGTCGTTGTCCACGCCGGCACTGATGACCTCGGCAAGGGTGACAACGAGGAGTCCCTCAAGACTGGTAACGCTGGTCCTCGTCCTGCTTGTGGTATGTGCCTTCTTTTTTTTTTCCTGATCCATCAGATTGCTTTCAATGTCCAATTGCTAACGCGGGGCGGTCATAAAGGTGTCATTGGTATCTCTGCCTAAGCTCGTCAACGCACTATAGCTATGCTTCACCTAAGCTTCTAGAATATGGAAACAAAAATCTTTTAGGCAACTAGAATGGGCTTGCCTCGGCTAGGTAAAATATAGTAAACAAGCAAACAAACAAATAAAACAAGTTAAAGGCTTCGCATTACTATGCCATGTACATCTCACACGAGAATTATATCACCCGAATACCCAACGTGCCTACCTACATGTAGTATTGATAGCTGGCCATGGAGGGGTAAAGACGCATCATCGGTGCAATTACATCACATATTGCCTCGTGCTGCTGCTCCCTTCCATCTACTTGTGCCCTCTCTGTCCATCTTAGGCGCGGTCCGTTGCAGTGGTTCGTACTTGAAAACCACATGGCTCATGTACCTACAAATGATCCCCAACAGCGCCTTGTCATGTTGTGTAACACAATCCGGCTGCCGATTAGTTGATCTCACATCGCCCATAGCTCGGCACAGGCAATTTCATTGTGCCCCTCCTTCCAAACACCCCTTTGCCGCCACCTTTTGCCCCGCGCCTCCATTTTCGCTTAGTTGCCTATTTCGGGGCCCGGCCAGCAGCACTCAATAGCACGCCAAAGGTCCCTGGAGGTCCCCACAGTAGAGCCACCTGTAGTGTTGAAAGCCGCATGCTAACAAGCTCTACCAGACCATTAGCTGGCTTCTCGACACTAGGAGAGGTACTCGGCACTAAGAGACTTGACACCTTGCCCAAAGACACACGACAAAGCTGCTTCCTCCATCAGCTTTGCAATCTGCTCTTTTATTACTCAATTCATCTTTCCAAGCTCAGACTCTGCTTGGTAGACCCTCAAAGACCGTCTTATTTCTTCCTTGGTCCTCCGCTCAGGTATGTCTAGAACCCCGAGCCATGCCCAAAGTCATGCCATTGCCACTCCCAACTGTTGTCCCTCTTTCTCCGCCTGGTGGTGACATAAGTTCTCTTCTGCTCGAGTCCAGTCCCTTGAAACGACTCAATTGCAGTTTACGTGCAGCTTTACTTCAGTTACTCCAAGATCCTTTCCTGTTCTCAGCAATTACGGCTGCATTTCCCCATGTCTACTTGAGACATCTACTCCATACCAAAACCACACGGCCAGGCCAGCTCTCTTCGAAGCAGGCAAGCATAGCTAACCAAGTGCCCTATTCCAATTAGGCTTCCCCTTGTTTTCCACCTTACTGGCCCATCATGTCGAAGACCTTTATCGGCAATGTCAAGAGTGTCTTGAGCGGCGACACCTTGATCCTGACCAGCCCCAACAACCCCACGGCCGAACGCACGTTCTCTCTGGCATATGTTTCGGCCCCTCACTTGAAGCGAGAAGGAGATGAGCCTTTTGCATTCCAATCCCGTGAATATCTTCGAAACCTCGTTGTTGGCAAGCCTGTCCAATGCACAGTCCTCTATACCATTCCCACGACCGGCCGAGAGTTTGGTACCGCCCAGCTCAAAGATGGAACTCTCCTTCCCGATGAGCTTATCAAGGCTGGTTGGCTGAAAGTCCGTGAGGATGCTGGCCGCAAGGAAGAATCCGAAGAGCTTCTCGATAGACTCGAGACGCTTCGTTCCCTCGAATCCGAGGCCAAGTCTAGCTCCAAGGGTCTATGGTCAGGCGTCAACGGCACCATCGAAGTTCAGAACGACCTGGGAGGCCCTGAATTCCTGACACAGTGGAAAGGCAAGACCGTAGACGGTGTTGTCGAGAGAGTGCTAAGCGGTGACCGTTTGTTGGTTCGCTTGTTGCTTTCTGATAAGAAGCACGTGCAGCCCCTGACTCTCCTTGCCGGCGTTCGAACTCCATCCACCGAGCGTACGCTTCCTTCTACCGGTGCCACACAGCCTGCCGAGGAGTATGGAAATGAGGCCAAAGCATTTGTCGAGGCGAGGTTGCTCCAGCGCCAGGTCAAGGTTGAGATCGTTGGTGCTAGCGCTCAGGGACAACTTATCGCCAATGTCATCCACCCCCGAGGCAACATTGCCGAATTCCTGCTCCAGGAGGGATTGGCTAGGTGCAATGACTTCCATTCTACCATGCTGGGAGAGAAGATGGCTCCTCTGAGAGCTGCCGAGAAGAAGGCTCAGTCTCAGAAGATTCGCCTGCACAAACATCATGTTGTCAAGGCAGAGACCGGAGACAAAGAGATGACCGTCACTAAGATCATTGGCGCCGATACCATTCTGGTTAAGGCCAAGGGCGATAGTGCAGAGAAGAGGATCAGCTTCAGCAGTATCCGTGGGCCTCGAACCAACGAGCCCTCCGAGAGCCCCTTCAGAGACGAGGCAAAGGAATTCCTGAGATCAAAGTTGATCGGAAAGCACGTTAAAGTTAGCGTTGATGGAACCAAGCCTCCTTCTGAAGGCTTTGAAGCCAGAGACGTGGCCACTGTTACCGAAAAGGGCAAGAACATTGGTCTTGCGCTGGTAGAAGCCGGTTGGGCTTCTGTCATCAGACACAGGAAAGATGATACCGACAGGGCTCCCAACTATGACGAGCTTCTTGCAGCTCAAGAGAAGGCCAAGGAGGAGAAGAAAGGCATGTGGTCTGGAAAGCCTCAAAAGGCTAAGCAGTACCTGGATCTGTCAGATAACATTCAGAAAGCCAAGATTATGCTCGCTACACTACAGCGTCAGAAGAGGGTGCCTGCTATTGTTGACTTCTGCAAGGCCGGTTCTCGATTTACCATTCTTATTCCCCGTGAGAACGTCAAGCTGACGTTGGTTCTGGGTGGTATCCGCGCCCCAAGGGCCCCTCGTGCTGATGGACAAGGTGGCGAGCCTTTCGGCAAGGAGGCTCTCGACCTAGCCAACCGACGATGCAACCAGAGGGACTGCGAGGTAAATATTCACGATATGGACAAGGTCGGTGGATTCATCGGTGAATTGTACATTGGCCGTGAAAACTTTGCCAAGGTTCTTATCGAAGAGGGCTTAGCTTCGGTACACGCCTACTCTGCCGAGAAGTCAGGAAACTCTGTCGAGCTGTTCGCGGCCGAGAAGAAGGCAAAGGAAGCCAGAAATGGTTTGTGGCATGACTATGACCCTTCACAAGACGAGGAGAATGCCGATGAGGGTGCTGAGGAGAACGGCACTCCCGAGGCGGAAGTCACATTGGACAAGAAGCCGGCCGATTACCGAGATGTTATCATTACCAACATTGATGGAAACGGAAGGCTCAAGATTCAAGAGATTGGAAAGGGCACAGCGGCTTTGGAATCTTTGATGAGCGAGTTCCGAAAGTTCCACATCGATTCCAAGAACAACAAGCCCCTTGCAGATGCTCCCAAGACCGGAGAATTCGTGTCTGCCAAGTTCTCAGCCGACGGCCAGTGGTACCGTGCCCGAGTCCGGGCCAATGACCGCACCGCGAAGCAGGCAGAGGTTGTATATGTAGACTACGGCAACAGCGAGAAGATTGCTTGGTCTGACCTGCGGTCCCTGGATCAAACCAAGTTTGGCGTCCAGAAGCTCAAGGCCCAGGCCATTGATGCATCGCTGTCATTTGTCCAGCTGCCCACCGCCGCGCACTACTTTGAGGATGCTATCGGCTTAATCTATGAGCTGACGGAGGGTAAGCGCCTCGTCGGCAACTTTGATCTTGTTGACAGCAAGGAGAACATCAGCTACATCACCCTATATGACACCAAGGGAGATGGCTCTCTGCCCGGACCCAATGATTCCATCAATAAGGAGATTGTAGCCAGCGGATACGGCATGGTGCCCAAGAAGCTCAAGGCGTGGGAGCGCAGCAAGGCCTTTGAATCATATCTAAAGCATCTGCGGGAAGTCGAGAGCCAGGCGAAGCAGGATAGGCAGGGTATGTGGGAGTATGGTGATATCACCGAGGATTAAATGGAAGTCAAAATTTGGGGATAAGGGGGGTTGTTTCAAGGAGAGATTTTCTTCTTCTTCATAGTTTACGTAGCATAAAGCGAGAAACTGCATTCCCGACGATACGTCACAAAGATGGTTTTTGAAAAGGTCCTTTTTTTATGATAATCCAGTACGAGTCTTGGAGGTTTCTTAGGTTCACGAGAATGTGAGTGGAAAACAATTTTGAAGTTAGGTGGCAACATGTGGTCGAGACATCTATCGGAAAGAGCCGAGATAGGCGCACATGATTGATGATGAAGCCATCGCCATCATATTTCCACGGACGGATAGAGTACGATATCCTGACGAAGCGATTATAAACGGACAGCAACAAAAGGGGGCCCCGGATGGAACTCAAAGCAGCATCCTTTTGGTCAGCTGGACCTTACTTTTAGTTGAAAGGAAATACGAAGACCAGACGCGCGCGGCCGGGCGAAGCCGGTTTCCATTTGCAACCGATTCTTGGGCTATGCAGGCTATACAGGCTATACAACAACACCGTGCATGTCATTCACAGCACATCGTGTGCATCGTCGACAGCAGAGGCGTGGCGAGCGGCCCGCGCGGTTCCCGCGTATTCCACGGCGTTCCAGCAAGAAGCTGCCCATTGGCGCCTTGCAAAAAGGTTCCCAAAGTTCCGGCATCCGGTGGAGCCGCAGAGGAGGCGACCCGTTGAGACGCGCCCGGTGACCGGTTCAACAACTTTTCTCTGCTCTCCAGCATACGAGGCCCGGGAAAATAGCGGTTAAGGCCCGCGAACCAACGGCGCATGCCACTGGCCGGCGGGACTTGACTGGCTGGATCCAGGTCCGGCAGCGCTGCTGGGAACTTTGAGGGAACTTTGCGGAACCGCCTGACTAAGGAGAACTGCTCAAGTCGCTCAACCAGGGTGCCACAATGACTTAATGGCCCCCCCACTCCGTGCACCCAAGGGGGGCGAAACTGGCGTCGGAGCTGTGCTGCGTTCTGTAGCAACAGCAACCAGGGCCGAGTACAAGTATCCAATATCATCTGGTCGCAGCCAATCCGCCAAACTCTGTCTCCTCTCTCAACACCATCATCGCCTCTGTACTGGCAACTGCATTATTTGTCTACCGTTTTCACCACAGCAATTCGCATTCACAATGTCCAGCTCTCTCGAACAGCTCAAGGCCTCTGGCACCGTACGTTCCTCCTCCTTTCCCCCACCCCGCCAAAAACCACACCACCTACCGGCATACCCCTCCAAACGAGGGGCGAAGCTGTTGCGAGCTTCGGGCTGCTGTCAGGAGGAATCGGCAATGCAGCTTCTTCCTCGTTGGGGGGATCGCAATCACTAGCATTGGTTTTCTTGAGTGCCTGGAACATATGCTGACAATTGACTTTTTGGCGAACAACAGGTTGTCGTTTCTGACACTGGTAATTATTCCCGCACTATCCGCCCAACTGTGGTTTGTTCCAGCCCAGCTAACTGTTTCTCTCATAGGTGACTTTGCTGGTTAGTATTGCTCTCACCGACGGAACACCCGGGCGCTGCTTTGGCGAGCTGCTACGTGCCGTGCTCTTTTTTTTCCCCTCCCCGAATTGTTGCGTCAGAACAAGAGGCTAATCAAGAATACTCGGTTCCAACAGCCATTGGCAAGTACAAGCCTCAGGATGCCACCACCAACCCTTCTCTCATCCTGGCCGCCTCCAAGAAGCCCGAGTACGCCAAGCTGATAGATGCTGCCATTGCCTACGGCAAGGCTGAGGGCGGCGACCTCGACAGCCAGGTCGACCACGCTCTCGACCGCCTGCTGGTCGAGTTCGGCCGTGAGATTCTCGCCATCATCCCCGGCAAGGTCTCCACCGAGGTTGACGCCCGATTCTCCTTCGACACCCAGGCCTCCGTCAACAAGGCCCTGCGTATCATTCAGGTAAATCTCGACAAGACAAAGCAATGCCACAAAAATAAAATCCGAAGAAGCTAATCGTCTTTCTCCATTCTGAAATATAGCTCTACAAGGAGCAGGGTATCCCCAAGGAGCGTATCCTGATCAAGATCGCCTCCACCTGGGAAGGCATCAAGGCGGCCGAGATCCTCCAGCGTGACCACGGCATCAACTGCAACCTGACACTCATGTTCTCCCTTCCCCAGGCCATCGCTGCCGCCGAGGCCGGTGCCTTCCTCATCTCCCCCTTCGTCGGCCGCATCCTTGACTGGTTCAAGGCCAGCACCAAGAAGGAGTACTCCAAGGAGGAGGACCCCGGTGTTGCCTCCGTCAAGGGCATCTTCAACTACTACAAGAAGTACGGCTACAAGACCATTGTCATGGGTGCTTCTTTCCGAAACACTGGAGAGATCACCGAGCTCGCTGGCTGTGACTACTTGACCATCTCCGTAAGATTTCAGCCAATCCCCCCTGCCAAGTTATCTTATGGCTAACATCCTGCTCTTCTTTAGCCCAACCTTCTCGAGGAGCTCCTCAACTCCACCGAGGCCGTCCCCAAGAAGCTGGACGCCTCCGGCGCCTCTTCCCTGAACATTGAGAAGAAGACCTACATCAGCGACGAGTCCCTCTTCCGATTCGACTTCAACGAGGACCAGATGGCCGTCGAGAAGCTGCGCGAGGGTATCAGCAAGTTCGCCGCCGACGCCGTCACCCTCAAGAACATCCTCAAGCAGAAGCTGTCTGCATAAAGAGCTACTGATTTGGCAGTTAGGGAGAGAGAGATGTGAGAAGAGGAGAAAGTTGTTTCAAAAGGTGCAAAATGACTTGCCCAAGCAACCCAGGAGGTAAAATTGGGATATAAATTTTTTTGTCTTGGCTGTTGATAAGAAACGCTTGAACAAGGGTCCTGTTTAAAATGTGAATATGGAGACCCGCGATTCCCTTTTATGTTTGTTATCTATGCCTTCAAAAAACAAAAAGCTCTTGTTGAAATTTAGGTTAGCAAAATAAAAAAAAAATGGGAAATCTTCCATGTCCGGTATGATGTGCTACAAATAGTTGGTTGTTCTTGTAATTGTATATGGTTGTTTATTATATTGTACAAGACTATATATCCCCCTTAAACACAACGCGATGTGGTATCGAAATCTCGCCATCAGCTTTCATAAATGCAAATTAAAAAACAAAAACGCCGATAATGCTGCCGTTGCTGTTGCTGAATCCAAGGTCCAGATCCCTATCCCCGTCCCTATCCCCACCCCCGTCTCCAATCCTGAGTATATGTAAATAGTACCAACCCAAGCAAAAGAGATCATGAATCAATAGCCAAAGAACCCTCTTCTTTTTAATCCACAAACAGCATTTCCTCAGTCCAAATCGCACTATAAAACAAAATTATGGCACTTTTTCATGAATTAAAAGAAGAAGAAGAAGAAAATCAAGTTACGCTTTCAAGGCTCCTTGCAATGCACCTGCACAATCGTATGCGTAAAACCCCCCTTGGACCCTTCCTTGCCCTCCACCACCAGCGCCGTCAAGGCCCCTCCCCGAACGCAGCCCGAGTCGAGTCCAATGGAGTACTTGTCCTCGCGGAAGCCCCTCTTGGCGTCGTGGCCGTAGACGACGGTATAGCGGTGGGATTTCTTGAGGCGCTTCTGGAAGTGGTTCCACGCATTGGACCACTTCTCGCCATCGCGGCCTTCGATGGGGATAATGGTGTCGCGGTCAGTGTAGGCGTCCTTCTCCTGGATAGATTCGAGAGTTTCGCCTTCCTCTTCTTCGGGAGGTGGTGGTGAGGGTGAAGCTTTTTCGTCATTACTGGCGGCATTGTCGTCGTCGTCGTCGTCATCGCTGCGATACGACTTCCTGCCACCCTTGCCACGCAGCTTCTCGCGGGGGTAGATCAAGGTGCGCATGTTCATGACGGCCCAGGGATCCTGCAGTTCGGGCTTGACGCCCGGGACGAGGCCGGCGTGGACAATGAACATGTGCAACGGCTCGACGGCGAGTATGACGGGCAGCTTGGAGAGCCACTCGACGTGTTCCTTGCTCAGCTTGCGCCCCGTGGCGAGGAACTCGGCCTGGCCGCGGCGGTCTTCGTCATGGGGTGATGCGAGATCCTTGCTGACGCCGGTGAGGTTCTCGGCTTCTGAGAGAGAGAGGAGGATGCGGTCTTCGTGGTTGCCGCGGACGGCGCTGGCGTTGAGGCTCATAAGGCGGGAGACGACGGCAGCTGAGTCGGGGCCTTTGTTGATCATGTCGCCTGCAGCAATGAGATGGTCCTTTGCGGCGTCGAAGTCGACCTTTTTGAGGAGCGTCTCGAGGGAGGCGTCCATGCCGTGAATGTCACCGACAATGACTAGGCGCCGCTTGTTCTCAAAGGTAGGGACAAGCTCATCAGACAGGTTGGCCATCAGCGTGAGGCCGTCCACGTTGGGACGACGAAAGGTGCCATAGGTCATGGGCCGATCGGCGTCGGTGATTTCGACGTGGACAGGCCTCGGGGGCCTCGGGGGCAGAGGCGGAACCGGTTTTTCGTCCTTGGATTCGCGGATAAAGGACATGTTGTAGAGTCGCGTGACACATAAGAAGGCGCTGGCGATGAAGAAGAGGACGGCGGCGACGATGAGGATTCGGCGGTGCTGAGGTTGCGCCATGGCGGCGGGTGGCTGGTTTTAGAGGGATGGGCTTTGACCCCGTCCCGTTGGCCTTTTTTTTTTTTTTTTCCTTTTGTTTGATTTTACTGGTTCTAAGTCTGTTTGTGCTAAAAGCTGTTTCGGCAGCTTTTGCCGGGTGACGATGGGAGGGGAGGAGTACTGTTCACGGGGAGACTGAAGCCATGGAGCAGCACAGGTGGAAGAAACCGAGAAAAGGGAGGATATAATCAGCGGCAACGAGGAGCCAAGGAGAGACACGGCCCGGTGTTGTTGAAGGGAGGAGATTGAAGGACAAGAGCCGTCGACTTGGGAAGATAAAGAAGGATAGATAGGCAATACTACTAGCTCGAGGTATTAACAGATATCGACTATATATTAAAGGGGAAGCTTCTTTATTTTTTGCACTTCAGCCCGGTCACGTTAGTGAATTCTACCTACTTTTGGTAAAATATTACTGCCACTAGTAAGTAGTACGGAGAATTTAAAAAAATAAAAAATAAAATAAAATAAAACACACACAGCAAGTGTAACGACATTACGCGTCGCCTTTGCTGCTACCGGGGTTTGCCTTGCAAGCCTCACAAAAAGCAAATCTGCCCCCCCAGTATCATCTACTGTATGTTGGTTGCAGCACATCTGCCGTCTAAGCCGTCTAGGCGCCGCAACGGGGTTTGTTTTGGGCAGGCTGGATGACGACAACGGCGGGAATGCCAAGACCCTAAGACGTTCCCAGGAGTTTGTCTCTTGAGCTTCTTGGCTATCTGGGCAGCAGCTACGGAGTATACTAGGCGGATGCGGGCGAGTCAGGGCCGGGGGGGAGCAGAAGCGGGTACCGCTATTGAGGGCAGGGGGGGCAGACATGGCATGGACGTTGGTGTTGTTGGGGCTGATATGGAGGATGGAGCGCGCGCGTGTGTGCCTTGCAGTGTCTTAGTGCTTGAGTTGATGGGTAGGACAACAAGTACTAGGTATATACAGTTTGTAGGGTCGGTAGTTGATGGAATGGTGTTGATCTTTGCCGATGCTGGACCGAGGCGTGACAAAATGGGACAAGATGTAGCGCTTTAAATAGCCATTATTTTGACTCCCTTTTTTTTTTCTCTCTCTCTTCCTGTTAAAATACGCGTGTTTGAGGCTGCGCTTGGTTCAGTTAGTGCGCTGTTCACTGCGTGCAAAGAACGGATATCGGCATCTGGGACGCACGTGGGGACGGTGGTTGGCGGGCGCCGATCCGAGGGCAGCATTACGTGGAATTGTCTGGACTCTTTATTGCAATTGCATGCTGGTTTAGAGATGTGATATGGTGCCCAAACGTGTCTTTGAGGTAGTCTGGGTTGTAGGTATCAAGGATATGGAGAGAGATGGGAAAAGGAGGGTGTTGACAGACATGGATGCTTTTATCGGTAGCCTATGAAAACTTGTACATATTGTTTTGTTTTGTATGTTCAAGTTGATATCTGAGGCCGGAGAAGAAAACTCCACATACCAACTGGATAATTTAGAAAGCAAAACCTAAAGGAGGTTCGACATGTTATATTACATCTCAGGATAAATAAATGCTAAGTTTTGTGAGCAGCTAATTTTCCAAACTTCAGATAATGAGATACACACTCTTCATCACAGAGGTATAGGTTAAGTGTTCGCCCTCGCCAGCTCCACTTACACATTCTAGACCTCAACTAGAGTATGGAGCACCAGGTCTCGAAAACACTTTGGGCCCACCTCCCAAGATGAAGAGAGAGAAAAAAGGGATGCACGGTCGATGAGTGTTCGCATCTGGGAAAGCCGAGCTAGCCTGTGTGCGATATAACGGTGGTGAAGCAAGTTCGACCATTATTACCACATCTGAATGACAGCACTTGGGAATGTTAAACAAAATAAACCCAGTGTATTCCACTCTAGCACATTCGCGGCCTGATACACACCATGAAGTGCTTTGGGGTACAGCTCTGCGATTGAAAATGGCCTTTTTATGGATTTTATTCAAAATCATCAAGGTGGAGCAGAATTGGATAAGCTGCAATCCACTATCCCCTTGTGCTGCAGATTGACGCCATACAAATTGAGGACATACAATCCACGAAAGCCATTGTTTTAGTAGTGTGCAAGTTGCAAAGTTGCTGTGAGAAGAAGGTCTTATTCTACTACTAATATACATATACTATACAGGGCTTCCATCAATGCCCGCCCACCTTATAATAGTACAAGTCTATACCCAAGCATAGGCTTATCCGAAGAGCGTGTCGTATCCTCCCCCCCTATATAGACGAGAAGTCGACTCTAGCTGCCTCTAACTCTATCAGTGTGAGATCCGTTAATTCCATTTTGTAAGCACCGGAGACGAGACTCAGCCAGGTGAGCTTCCTCTTTTCTGCTTCCAATCCAACGCCATAACGCCATGCCATGTACCATAATCGCTTTTTATCTGTTTTCACGCCTCCCTCGTTCCTTTTCCCTTCCTCATTTTCTTTCTTTCTTTTTCTTTCTTCTTTTGTATTTTTTATTTTTTATTTCTTGCTCTGCTGAGCCAGTTGCTGCTGCTCCAGTCGATACTTTTCATTCTCAATCTCCCTCCAGTCCTTGGGAATCGGCTCGTTGCCATCCGTCTCCTTGACGCCGCCGCCAAACGCAGATTTGCCCGCATACAGCTGGTAGCCTTTCCCATCAGACGTGTCCACGTTGCGGTATTCCACCGGCACGTGTCCGCGGAAGCGCTTCCGCATGTCGACCAGGCCGCGCTTGCATTCGCTGTATCCCCTCGTGAGCTGCTGGCACTTGGTGGGGAGGGTCGAGTAGAGAGGCTCGCGGAGGCAGTCGGTGGCCTTGTTGCGCTGGACCATGACGCAGTCTGATTCCTGGAGGCATTGTGCGAGGGCGTCTCCTATGTGGATTTATCAGCAATTTTTGTCTCTTTTTGTCTCATCTTCTCTTCTCTTTGGATCTGGCCCTGGGGTGATTGGGCGCCGAGACAAACATACGCAGTTCTTGACACGACGGCATGTTGGGTATATGTACGAGAGCAAGTGTATATGTACAATATGTTAATGAGTTGTTGCAGCCTTGTCTCGAGACTCGGGTTGGTGGTGGCTTCTAGGCTTCTGATGCTGCCTTCTGGAAAAGTCGTTCGATTGAGCTTCTGCAGCCTGGCTGGTGATTGGTGGGTTGTGGATGGCGCTAGGATCGAGGCTCTGATTTGACCAGTTTCCGACGCCCCACTGCCATAACCGGTGCATTATTAATGAGACGGGACATGCAGTTTCGTCTGATCCAGCCCTATGCTTTGTGTCGGTGCTTTCATGAAAATGATTCATTCATTCATTGATTCATCCATTCATTCGTGCGCAACACGCTGGGATGCAGCACCAATGGTAACAAATAGTCAAATCTTACAATCGGTGTATTCTCCAAACTTCACAGCCTTACCCACGATGCTATTAGGGCGCCGCCCATCTCAAAGTCAATGACGGCCCAAGCGCACAGGCCTAATGCCCAAACGCATGTACCGACAATAAACCACCTGCAAGGTCTTACTCGCTAGCACGAACACTAACAACGCTGCCAACGCACAACTTTGACGCTGCACATGCCAACCACGCACGCCAATCATCTCTATTCCCTTGTGCGCACAAACTCCCTGATTGGCCCATCTCGTGGCTCGCCTCCCCCGGGTTTTCTCCAGGGTAAGCCGCCAATTGGGCCACTGGCGCGCCACCATCGAGGGCCCACCTGACCCTTTGGGAGATTTACATGTGACATCACCGCGATCCCCTTAGACTAAGATGAGATGCTGGAGCATCTCCATGCCTTTTCCTCATCTCGCTTCTCCTGCTGTTTCCTCTTCTTCACAATTCTCCTTTGTGGACACGAGGCGATAATGGAACGGTCCCCATAGCAAGGACAAGCCAAGCACCAGCCGAGTCCTCATTCTCCCGCCGCAATGCCTCTCCCCTTCATCGGTAGGCTGCATGCGTATGTATCTTTACTGTGTAAGCAACAGTTTTTACCGCCGTTTTTACTAATTCGCCATGGCCCTTTGCAGCACCGAGTACATTTCGATCGTTGTCTCCTTCTTCCTCGTTAGCCTCGAAGCGATAATTCGAGTCTTTACTCTAGCATTGCGTTAGTACGACCCTTTCAGACAAAACGACAAAGCAGCCTGCTTACCCCCTTTATACCAATGTAGCCTCATTTCTCGTCAACTTTCTCTATCGAGCCTCGCGGCGACTCTTTAAAATATTCTCTTCGCCCGCGCAGCAGAAGGCGGAAGATAAGAAAAAAAGTCAGTCCTCGCCCTTGTCAGATCAAATACTCTTCGGATGAGCGTCATCTAACTTGGTTCTCCCGCCCCTTTCAGCCATTTCCACGTCCGTGCGCGATGCGTCCGACTTCGTTGAGCTCTGTCGACTATGGGGATACGAAGCAGAAGAGCATATAGTTCAGACAAAGGATGGATTTCTGCTCGGACTGCACCGCCTGCAGTGGCGACGAGGCGAAGAGAATCTGAAAGTCAACTGCGGACCCAAGAGCACCAAGAAGCGGGTTGTCTATATGCACCACGGCCTGCTCATGAATTCCGAGGTCTGGGTCTGTTTGACGGATGAGCAGAGATGCTTACCGTTTGAGCTCGTGGAAAGGGGATTTGATGTTTGGGTGAGTGGCAGTAGCTATTCCTACCGGCCCAAGACCTTTTGCTAACTCCCTAGTTTAGTTTGGAAATAACCGCGGCAACAAGTATTCCAAGAAATCCATCCACAGCTCACCCACGTCGGTCAAATTCTGGGATTTTTCCATTGACGAATTTGCCTTCCACGACATCCCAAACAGCATTGAATACATCCTCGAGACCACCGAACAGCAGAGCCTGTCGTACATTGGCTTTTCGCAGGGCACCGCTCAGGCATTCGCTACTCTGGCCATCCACCCCAAGCTGAACCACCAGGTCAATGTCTTCATCGCCCTTGCGCCCGCCATGGCTCCCGCCGGACTGTCAAATGGCGTTGTCGACTCGCTCGTCAAGGCCTCGCCGTCGGTCCTGTATCTCATGTTTGGTAGGCGATCCATCCTTAGCTCCGCTACAATGTGGGAGACGCTCATATACCCCCCTCTGTTCTGCCGCCTCATCGACATGGGCCTGTCATTCCTCTTCGGATGGAAGACCAAGAATATCTCTGCCAGCCAGAAGCTCGCTGCCTACCCTCATCTCTACTCCTTCACGAGCACAAAGAGTGTTGTCCATTGGTTCCAGATTATTCGCAACAAATGCTTCCAGATGTACGACGACGATGTCTATCAGCCTATGAGCGTCACATCCTCGAGCAAATACTCAAAGGTCGCAAAGTATCCCACCCGAAACATCAAGACGCCTGTTGTCCTTGTCTACGGCGGCAGTGACTCCCTAGTTGACATCAAGTCTATGCTCAAAGAGCTCCCGCGACAGACCGTTGCGACTGAAATTCCGCACTACGAGCATCTCGACTTCCTGTGGGCTCGTGATGTAGACACCCAGGTATTCCAGCACGTATTTGATGCCCTGAACAGCTTCACCGATGCAGAGCACACCGAGGAAGAGTATGACAGGTATCATTTCGTCCGCCATGAAAGCCTTGCCGGATCTGCCTACGCGCCGTCCCATCTGCGCGGGGGCAGCGAAAGCGACGCTTCCATTACTGCGTCTTCAGGAGAAGAAGCCAAGAGCCATCAGCACCGCGCGCGAGAACAGCGCGTGCAGATTGCGTCTGCAAAAGAAGTGGCAAAGAAGACGGAAGAGCTCCAGCCTGTCGAGAAGCTGAAGGGCGTTGGTGTTCGGAGAGGCAGCGGTCCTGCAGCGAATCTTACAAACGGCGAAAGTGTCGATGGCAAGCGAGATGAGTGAGCGCAGACAAGATTACATCTTTTTTTCTTCTTCTTTTTTATCAAGTTTTATGGCATCATTATAGTGGCGTCTTTTTTTTTCTATTTCGATATCCCATACGAATTGATATCCTGGGCGCAATTCGATTAGATGTTACCCTTCTACGTCTGTCTAACTTACATCACCTCCAAGTATACCTACCTGTAGCAATAATAAAATACTATATCCCATTAATTACATATAACATATACTAGGTACTTTCTTTTGCACCCAAAACATAAATCACATCATACAAGCAGAAGCGACATGTAAAGTTCTGTTCAAAGCAACGAGCAATCAATTCAATGCTAGACACTACTTATTCGCTAGCCTTTTGTGCAACAACATCGCTACGAATATCCCATGATATGGGAGCCTAATAGCCTGTACAGCAATGATGATAATCATCATCATTGTCAACCATCCCTGTTCCAACTCTTTCTCGTTCGCGCCACGCTCCACGGCTCGAACTTTCTCTAGATAATTATCAGATGCCTCAATATAGGAGGCTAATTGACCAAAAGTAGAAAAAAGAAGAAGTAGTAGAAAAAGAAGGGGTATATCGACATGGATCAAAGCATGTCTGTTCTAAATAGTGCATCGATTCGATGCAAATGGACAATTCCATGTCAAGCAAGGATGCAAAGCATTTAAACCATGGCTGGATTACCATGGGCAAAGGCATTGAATACAACGCCGAGTTATTGCTAACTTAACTCGTGAAGTGCATATGATGGCTAAAATTTCTTACGCAAGGTAAATAAATGTAAAGAAAGGTTAGAGTTACGAAAAAAAGGGGCGACTATTGTAAGAAGAAAAGGGGTATGCACGTTAAATCTTAACGCCGCCTAGGGGGAGGATCTTGCTTCTGTCTCCGAGAAATTGGGCTCGGTAGTCAATGATACCCTGGCTGATTGTTTGGAAGTCTTTGACCTTGCGATTGCGAAAGTCTGTCAAGAGATTGCGCAGTCCGTTGATATACTGCTGTTTCTCCTGCTCCCCAAACTCCTCGTGCGCGCCAAGTTGAAGTAGGATTTGATCATCTATATATTGTTTTCAGTCAGCGTTCTTCACACAACAGCTCGCGAGAGTAGAAGCGCCTAGCTCCGAGATATACATACCCGGAGCTTGCATATTCTCGAAATGTTGATACTCGCATTTGCTACCCCTTGGACAGCTTTGATTGGCTAAATCATCCGGGCATATCTCCTGCTTCACGTCTATTTTATTGCTGTATGTTAAAGAGCGAAGGCCACCGGATATGGATTGAGAATACTCGGGATGGAAGCGATATGCGTGGAAGTATCGAAGGGGCGACTCATAAGGCACAAATGCCGTCTTCGGGGCATCAGAGACTAGTGTCATCCGTGCCTCACTTACTGGGTCAACCTGGCTACCTATTAGATATGTCGATCGGCCATCAAAGTGCAGGGCAACGTCTACTTCTCTTCCACTTTCAGAAGCTATATCCGGTTGCACGGTAGAGATCTGCTGTGCGGCGATAAAATCTGTTGTGCTATCTTGTAAGTTATTGGTACTTGTGTCGGGCACCGAATCCAAGCCAGCTGGCGCTGGACTGAACGGTGTTGATGCCCGCGACGATTTTTTCGAGTGGCTGGATAGCTCAACATCTGGAGGCTCGTAACTGTCGGATTCTTCTTCAGAAGCATGGTTGCTGGAATCTGCAGCTTCCGACATGACCATATCTCGAGCTTCCTCCACAACTGCTGTGGCTGTGGCGATGGCATCGTCTTGTGTCGACATAGCATCTTGCATGGCGTCTTGTTTAGCGTCATCAACGGCTTCGATTGTCGTATTAACCTCGACGCCTAGTGGATGAAAAGCGGCATCAACGGTTTCAATTGCAGTATTAGACTGAACGTCTAATGGATTATGCTCTGCCTGGTGAGCAATGAGCAGATCAGGCTGCTGCTCTTTTTGAGACTCTTCTCTTTCGAGTGGCGTAGCTTCTCTGCTTTGTCGGGCGGCATTATTGCTATGAGAAGACATGCTCGCGATATCCATTGCGTCTGTTAATGGTGATGAAGAACTCAAAATCTTGGATGGAGACTGGGCTGTATTGGGGGGGAAAAATATTAGCATCCTAAGTACAAAAATGAGCTGTCTTTGTTGGAATAAGGAGATTAGGCTTACGTTGCTCTTCATGCGTCTCTTCACTATCTGAGTCCGCATTGACATCAATCCTCAATTTTTCTTCTTCTTCCATCGTCTTTTGGATTTCTCGCTGCATATTCTCAACCTGAGCTCGCAACAGCTTCAACTTCAGCTGCTGCTCTCGGCGGCGAGCTTCAATGAGTGGAAGGCGTTCACTAGCCGCAACTGATCGACTACGGCGTTCGTTTCCACTTTGAGGGCTCGCTTCGGATGATCGAGATGGCGCCATTGGAGAGGAATTCGACAATGGGGGCGTTGAACGAGGGAGTTCTTGGGGTTCGATGCTGGTCGAGGGTATGGGAACAACTATTTCCTGGCTCGGAATAACGGCCTCGAAACTGCTGCTGGGTGATTCATTGTTGAGCGCTGGAAAAGCTGGTGAATCCAATCGCGATTGCTTTGCTTTCTTACGTGCCTCGGCCTCTGCGATCCTTTTCTTCATAGCTTCGATCTTCTTAGTCATGTTATCCAAGTTGTCTCTTGTTGCAGAGTTGTCGCTGCTGGTACCAGGAGGTGTTGCCATGGGACTCGAGTACTGTTGAGCTGCTGCCACACTGTCACCAAATGATGGAGCGCTTCGAAAAGAAAGAGTAGTCTCCAGTAGCGGCGGTGCTGCCTCTTTCGTAGCTAAGGGCACTGTTCTCTGCTCGGGAGAATCGAGATCCATCTCGGCATCATCCTCATCGTCGCTAACGTCAATAAGGAACGGGCGAGGCCTTCTCGCATGGCCAAATGGGCGCTTAAATGGCCTCGGATTGGAGTCGACTAAGCTTGTAGAAGCTGGACGCTCTAGATTCAAGACTTGTATGGCATGAGGGGGCTGTGGCGTAGAAGACAGAAAAAGCCCAGGAATTGGCGGAGGCAGCTGTCCATTGGGACTTGGGGTTTCACCAGACGTATGCTCTGGCGAGGTTCGATGTGAACCATTGGCGGCCACATCGTGGGAACTGGTGGTTGTAGGATTATCGACGTTGTTATTTGCTTGGCGACTCTGAAGAGGTAGCTCGTCTGGGTGGGAACGCTTTCTGCCTCGCGCCTCGAGTTCACGAGCTTTTCGTAAAGCTTCCATCTTCTGATGCAAAAGCTTTGATTTCTCAGACTGTTTTTTCGAGGCGGGCGCAAGGACAGGGGCAGGAGTAGACGATGAAGATGCGGTTGCGGCTGCAGTATTCGACTTGGAGTTTTTCGCAGCGAGGAGTCGCGCAATACGGTCCTTGCGCGATTCTGATACGTCTTTTGCTGGTGCACTCTCAGTACTCTTTTCCACTTCGGCTTGTTGTGGGATGCTGTCGGTACGCCCGAGCCCATCCTTTGCCTTCATCTCTGGTGCTGTTGCTCTTTCACGGCTCGATTGAGTAGCCTTTGGATTACTTGATGCGCCTCTCTCGAATCCTAGTTCCTCGAAGAGACCACCCAATAGTGTCTCGTCTATCCCCTCGTCAAGGTAATTCTGATATCGCACATTTAATGTCCAAAGCCGTCGGATGGCATCTTGCGCTTGTTTTCGTGTAGCACCAACGCTCTTGACTTGGGGTGAATTGGATATGGTGTGACTCGCTCCGTTTGCTTTAGGAGATGTTTGTGACGAAGCCAGAGGAGTGATCTGGTTCAATTGACCTTCTGGTGTTATATATAAATTAGTGGCTGAAATAAGTCTGTGATACTCGATGTTATTAGTGCTCACCATGAATAGAAGTAGTCATAGCTGGATGGTCCATTTCCTGAGGGGAGAGGTATGGAGAATATGAACCCGAGCGCTCTCGACCTAAGACCTAGTTAATGAAAGGACAAATATTATTCACTGAAATGTTATAGGACGTACTAGCAGGAAAGGAGGCTGGCGGAACATCGCCAAACCCTGCAGCATTTTGTGCGCTTCTATTCATATATGATGGAGTGGGTAAAACCTCAGCATCTCTTGGCTCGTAAGCATCCTCGAGCCCGCCTTCGCTAACTTCCCCTTCCTCACTTGTATCTGTTTGCTGCGATGGCCCATTTGCTTCAGTAGTAGCAAGTGGCCCTTGCCCAAATGAGGCTTGCTGGTTTGGCCAAGGACCTTGCCACTGCATGGCATTTTGTGAATAGCCTAGGCCCAGTCCAGGAATCGCATTGTGAGGATTATATGGGTCTCCAGGAGCCGGTTCGTTGTGCACAACTGTTCGTACCGCGGGATTTGGATAGCTAAGAACAGGAGTAGCATAAGGAGGGTATGGCTGATGCGCGTACGAGGTTTGCGGATGGTAGCTATGCAATGGGTCGTACCCATAACCTGATTGAGCCATCACTAAGCCAAAGAAACAGCCCGTGGGAGCCCAAGCTCACAGGATACCAGGACACTGTCGTTTACGAGCTGTAGAGTTTGCTGGTATTTGCTAATGCATGCAGGAGTGGCGCGGGCAGCCTGTCCAGAGGCTTGGTTATATTTGCTTTGGGAGTCGATATCGATGTCGAGGTGAAGAAAAGATCATCGAACGCAGTGCTATGTCGATAGTGGCGGAACTGGAAAGCCGTGTGAGCGGTACGGATGGGGAGCTTTGGAATGAAAGTAACGCTAAGTAGTGAAACAGATCGAAGCACGATCTCACACACGGGTCTAGCCTATTGTTGATTGCAGCACGAATGAGGTTGTACGCGATGATTACCATGTAGAATGAAAGGGCAATCTCGTTTGGTCAAAGACATCAGCTAGCTTTGAACAAGAAAATCAGGCTATGCCGTATCAGGACTAGGACCTAATCGAACAATGTTATCGCGATTGCTCGGGTCACGTGCAGGAATTTTGTTTACTTTCGCGGGGTCTCTCCCCAGCAACCAGGGTGCTGTAAGCTATACAATACGGAGAAGCTCCCTCAGGTGTCACCGCACCATCATTCCTCATTGTGTTTTATCTGATGCTTTAGTTTTGGCGGAAGCTCCTGTGTGTCTTTCTTGTACCATTGTTTCTTTTTCTTCCCTCAGCTACCAACTTGCCTTTCTTTTCTCGCTAGGCCATTGTTTCGCTAGCAAGAGAGACGTCCAGATCAACATAACGCCTAATAGTCCCCACTACGGCATATCGTTATGAGTTGGCCTTGAAATCAACAATGTCATTCAACCCCAACGGTTCGGCGCCGCGGCGGAGCAATCCGTTTGCGAGGAACGCCTCTCCATCCCAAGCAATGCCCTCCTCTGGAAGGCCGAAATCAGTCCTCTTCGCCTCACCGACGATCTCACCAAGCGTGCCGACACCGCCCTCTACAGCCTCTACAGCCTCGACAGCTTCTACGGCCTCGACAGCCCGGCCTCGGTCCAGCAGCTCTTTTGGAACAGTAATTGCTCCGGCTGGCATTGTATCGAGGCACCATCGAGCCGACTCACGTGCAGGGATGAGCTCAAACACGAGTACCTTTGCTCCCTCTTTCATTAAGGAAGAGGAAGATTTAAGACAAAATCATGATGCTGTAAAAAGCATTGAAGGCGAGAATGACTTTTCTGGAAAGCGGTATGTGTGGCTTAAGGACCCAGAGGAGGCTTTCGTGAAAGGCTGGGTGATTGAGGAACTGGAAGACAACAAAATCCTGGTGCAGACCGATAATGGAACTGTGAGTGGCTTCTTTGTCACGATGTTTTACAGATGAGCCGATGCTGATGCAATTATAGCAACGGGAAGTTGATGCTGAGAGCGTCGATAAAGTGAACCCCGCCAAATTCGACAAGGCAAACGATATGGCCGAGTTGACCCATCTGAACGAGGCGTCGGTCGTTCACAACCTGCATACAAGATACCAATCAGATCTGATATACACTTATTCAGGCCTGTTTCTTGTTACTGTCAATCCTTACTGTCCCTTGCCGATCTATTCGAACGATTATATCAACATGTACAAAGGCCGGAGTCGCGATGATACAAAGCCTCACGTCTTCGCCATGGCCGATGAAGCGTTTCGCAACCTTGTCGGAGAAGGCCATAACCAAAGTATTCTGGTTACTGGTGAATCTGGTGCTGGAAAAACGGAAAATACAAAGAAGGTTATCCAGTATCTAGCTGCTGTTGCGCAGTCAGAGTCTCCAATAAGGAGCCAAGCCCGACACACGAACCTCTCTGAGCAAATTCTCCGCGCCAACCCTATTTTAGAATCTTTTGGAAATGCTCAGACGGTAAGGAACAACAATTCTTCGCGTTTTGGCAAGTTTATCCGAATTGAGTTCAGTCGAGAAGGCGCTATTACTGGAGCGTTTATCGATTGGTATCTACTAGAGAAGTCCAGAGTGGTTAGAGTTAACCCACAAGAGAGAAACTACCATATATTCTACCAGCTCTTGAAAGGAGCAGATTCGAAGTTGAGAAAAGATCTTCTTTTGGATGGCCTAGATATTGGAGATTTTGCGTATACGCGCAATGGCCACGACAGCGTGGCTGGAGTATCTGACCAGGAAGAGTGGAAGGCATTGTTAGAGGCCTTTGACATCATTGGCTTCTCTGACGAGGATCAACTATCTGTTCTTCGAACCATTGCCGCAGTATTGCACCTGGGAAACATTGACGTTGTGAAGGAAAGTCGGAGCGCGGATCAAGCCAGGCTGGCTTCAGATGCCAAATTGCAAGCTGCAAAAGTTTGTAGCCTTCTTGGCGTGCCTCTTGAGCCGTTCCTCAAAGGTCTACTGCACCCTAAAGTGAAAGCCGGACGTGAGTGGGTTGAAAAGGTCCAAACCCCTGAGCAGGTTCGCCTTGGCCTCGATGCTCTTGCAAAGGGTATATATGAGCGAGGTTTTAGTGACCTTGTCACTCGGATCAACCAACAACTTGACCGGACTGGTATGGGCTTAGAAGACTCTCGATTCATTGGTGTTCTTGACATTGCTGGTTTCGAAATTTTTGAAAAGAATAGCTTTGAGCAACTGCTTATCAATTACTCAAACGAAAAGCTTCAGCAATTTTTCAACCATCACATGTTTGTTCTTGAGCAAGAAGAGTATGCTCGTGAGCAAATCGAGTGGCAATTCATCGACTTTGGCCGCGACCTGCAGCCGACTATTGATCTCATCGAGTTACCAAATCCAATTGGTATCTTCTCATGCCTGGACGAAGACTGTGTCATGCCTAAAGCCACTGATAAATCTTTTACGGAGAAGCTGAATACTTTATGGAACAAGAAGTCTACGAAATATCGCCCCTCCCGACTGGGCCAGGGTTTTATTCTTACGCACTACGCTGCTGAAGTTGAATACACCACCGAAGACTGGCTTGAAAAGAACAAAGACCCTTTGAACAATAACATCACGCAATTGCTAGCAGCTTCAACGGATAAGCACATTGCAAATCTCTTTGCAGACTGTGCTGATTCGGATGATCACGGTGGACGAAGAAGTCGTGTGAAGAAGGGCTTATTCAGAACCGTGGCCCAGAGACACAAAGAACAGCTTCATAACCTGATGTCTCAGCTTCAATCTACGCACCCGCATTTCGTTCGCTGTATACTACCCAACTACAAGAAGCGACCGAAGCTGTTTGACAAACTTCTTGTGTTGGACCAGCTCCGATGTAACGGTGTGCTAGAAGGTATTCGGATAGCACGAACTGGCTTCCCTAATCGATTACCTTTTACCGAATTCCGCCAGCGATACGAAGTCTTATGCCCAGACATCCCCAAGGGCCATTCAGACGGTCAAGTCGTGGCCTCCCTCATGCTTGAGAGGCTTAATCTCGATAAGACCATGTACCGCGTCGGTCTCACAAAGGTTTTCTTCCGAGCTGGTCTTCTAGCTGAACTGGAAGAGCAGCGAGATGCTCTGATTACGCAGATCATGGCACGGTTCCAATCTGTTGCCCGTGGATACGTTTGCCGACGGGCAGCACACAAGAGACTTTTCCGCACGGAAGCCACCAGAATCATCCAAAGGAACTTTCACGTATATCTCGATCTCGTCGGAAATCCATGGTGGCAACTCATTGTGAAGATGAGGCCTCTCCTCGGCGCCACTAGAACTGCCGCGGAGGTGAAGAAACGGGATGCCATGATTAAAGACCTCAGCGAGAAGATGCGACTGGAGTTGGAAAGTCGGCAGAAGCTAGAAGATGAAAGAAGAAATTGCCAAGCTGAGATTGCTCGCATCCAAAAAACGCTGGAAAGCGAGAGAGCCCTCGCTTTGGACAAAGAAGAGATTTTTATGCGTCTTCAGGATCGCGAAGAGGAATTGGAGGAGAAGTTAGCAGGCGCACTGGAAGACCAAGAGAGATTGGAAGACCAGCTCGACAGCCTTATGGAAGCAAAGAACCGAGCTGAGCAAGACGTCGAAAAGTATCGTGCACAACTTGAACAGGCTGCTTCTCTCATCTCTAGGCTAGAAGAGGAAAAGACACGCCTGTCGGCCAGAGCAGCGGAGCTGGAGACTGCTATCAACGATCTCACTCAAAGGCAGTCTGAACATAGTGACAAGGAAGCCGCTATGGAAGGTGAAATCAAGATGCTTCAGAGTCAATTAGCTCTTAAAGATCGGAAAACCAAAGATTTGGAAGACAAGTTGCTCAAGCTCGACCAAGATCTCGAAATTAAGTTATTCACAGTGCAGAAAGATCTCGATGCGGCCAAAGTGCGAGAGACTCGACTAGCTCGAGAGAATCAAGAAGTACATGAGCAACTTGCTGAGCTTTCTAAGACTTCGACGGATTACGAAGATCTTGTCCGATCAAAGGAGAGCGAGCTGGCATTGCTACGTGATGATAAACGGAAGTCAGAAGCTGAACGTCGAAGCCTTGAAGAACAGAAAAGAGCTCTTACAGAAGATATGGAGAGAAATGCTGCAAAATTCCGTGATGTTCAAGCAGAACTTGTGGCATTAAAATCCAAGCAGATGCAATTAGAACGCGAGGCCCAAGATGCTAAAGTTTTGCTCGAAACTAGACTGTCTGAAGATGCACAAGCTGAGAAGAACCGAAAAGTTCTTGAGTCTCAGATCAAAGATGTTCAAGACGAGCTCTACCAGACGAAGATGGAGTTGAGCAGAGAGCGGCAGTCCCGAGACGACGTACTGCTACTCGGAGAGCACAAGTACCAGGCGCTCAAAGACGAGTTTGATCGCTTGAATGACGCAAAGATTATCATTGAAAAAGAAATGTATGTCCAGCAAGATACTTTAAGGCGGACTATAGAAGCCCGGACTGCAATTGAAAAAGAGCGTGACGACGCTAGGGATGAAATTCGAAAACTTCGCATCGCAAAAACGGAGGCTGAAGAGGCTCGTCTGCAAGCTGAAATGGCTGGTGAGCGCCAAGCTTCAAAAGCTGCGAGAGAGAGAGAAGCTAGCCTTCGGAAAGACCTTGAAGCTGCTCAAGAGCGCTTGCGCTGGTTCGAAGAGGAATGCACCAAGCTTAACCGCCAAGTCGAAGATTTAAATAAGCTCATTCTTACGTCTGGAGAGTTTGGATTGAAAAACGACCAAGCCAAAGAGAGAATGGAGCGGGAGCTCAATACAATAAGGAGCCGGCTGGCGGCATCTGAAAATGACAACAAAACGTTACTCAATAAGTTGCAACAGAAGGGTCTTGAAATTGCCAGGTCCAGCTCTCGCGCGACAGAAGCAACTCGAAGCCAGCTTGTATCTCTCCGAGGCGAGAAAGCCAAGTTAGAAGATCAGAACACAAAGCTCAACAAGCAGTTAGGCGATGCTCAGCTCAACATAGCAACTTTGGAGAAGAAGGTGGAGAAACTTCACCTCAATCTGGAAGACTTAAATCACGAAGTTGCCAGAGAGGCGAAGGCTAGTAGGACTGCAGAGAAGGCCTCTTCGAACTTTTCCGTTCAACTTGCGGAAGCTAATCGAACGATTGAATCCGAGAGGCAGCTACGGAATCAGACACAGTCGACGGTCCGCACGTTGCAGTCATCAATAGACTCACGTGATAAGGAGCTGGAAGATATGAGAGCTCAGATGCTCAAGGCACTCAAAATGGTTGACCCCGAGGTTCAAATGCCGCAGACAAATTCCAACAGCGAGAAAGCCATGCTCAAAAACTTTGATTTGGTTCGAATGGTTGAGGAGCTACAGCAGAAATTGCGAGTTCAAACTGTAGCCAGGACAAATGCGGAAAGCCAGTTGACCGAGATGAGGGCTTTAAGAAATGAGAGTCCCACTCGTCTGGGGCTTGGTGAAATCCATCCGAACGAAGCGCCTTTTCAGGATTCTAATGGCCTAAAGAAGACAACCAAAGCAGGCCTGCAGTCTAACTTGAATGGTTTGGCTACCGCTCGACGCTTCCAAGACGCCAATTCTCAGGATCTGTCACGCTCTGAGAGATCCTTTGGCGCTTCCGATATCAGAAATGGGTTTGAACTGAAAGCCGAAATTGAACACCTTCAGAGTCAGCTGCAGTTAGCCCAAGTGCGGAACCGACAGCTCCAGAGCCAGCTGGATCGAAATTCATCATCTGATGACGCATATGAAGATGAGGCCTCAATTTTGCGTGTACAGAAGCTTGAAAAGGCCAACAATCGTCTCCATGATATGTTGGATGATTCGGCCAAAAAGGTGGCAGCATTGGAGAAGAGCATGCAAGCTGGTGAGCTTTCTCTAAGGGATATCCAAACGCGATCTCATGAGGAGCTGTTGGATATTTTTAACAGCCAAGAAGAAGCGCGCAAATCGCTCTTACATAGCCACAAAGATGCCCTCGCAGAATTAACTGAAGTGAAGGCCCATTTTGACAAGATGCGACACGAGCGGGCGAACCTGGAAGTAGAGCTCCGTGATTCGAAGTCTGACCTTCAGGAGATGACTGCTGCACGCGAACAAGAGGCACAAAGTCGAAGCCAGCTATTACAAGAATTCACCGACCTCCAAATCCGACTTGATGCGGAGACATCTAGGCTCGCTGATGTATCTTCAAGCTTAGAAATGTACAGAAGCCGAGCCGACGAATATTTCAGCAAGCTTGAACAAGCAGAGATTGCTGTTTTGAAAGCAACTAGAGCAGAACAGTTTGCCAAATCACAAGCCAAAGAGGCGGAAGACACATACGCCGAGGTTATGTCTGAGAGACAAAGGATGGATGCGCTGGTTGAGGATCTACAGGGCCAGAACCATCGTCTTGAAGGAAGGGTAGAAGACCTGTCAACTGACCTGGACGCCGCTACGCAAGCCAGGAGACGTCTTCAACATGAGTTGGAAGACTATCGCAACCAAAGGGCTATGGAGATTGAGGATAAAGAATCCAGCATGGAGCAAACACGCAAGAAGTATCAAACTGAGTTTGCTACTCTTGCTAAAGAGCTTGACCTCGCTCGAGAAGAGAAACTGTTTAAGCAGGCAGAGATTACAAGGCTTCGAGACGAACTCGATGAGCTACGGTCCAAGTGGGATGACGAGGTACTGAACAGCTCAACTTGGTCAAAAGAAAAGGCTCGATTGGAATCTACCTTGGTTGATGTTGCATCGTCTCGTGATGAAGCCGTCAGCGCTCATAATGAGGCACAGAGCAAGATCGTTTCCCTCTTATCACAGGTGCGGACTCTTCGATCGAGCGTGGACGAGATCACTACCGAGCGCGATCTTCTCATTCGAGAGAAGAAGGGCGTTGAGGCTCGCCTCGAAGAAGCCAAGGCAGGCTTTGACGAGCTGGCCAAGGGCGGAAGCCCATCACTTCGCGATGCAGCGGGCATGGACAAGGAAATTCTCAACTTGAAGTCTAGCCTTGCCCGACAAGAGGATATTGCCCTCGCCGCGGTGGAGAAGATGCGACGTGCTGAGGCACTAGTCACCGAGGTTCAGAAAGACATTGCGGGCGAGCGTGAAATCAGTGCGACTTTGCAGAAGCAAAAGACAACGCTAGAGAAGAACTTGAGCGAGGCACAGCTGAAGCTTGTAGACCTGGAAACTAAGGGCTACTCAAGTGGCAGCCAGGACATAAAATTTTTGCACAAACGCATCCAAGAGGTAAGTCTTTTCTCATATCCCCAGTTCACCATCTCATCCAATGATTTTACCTATACTAATTGTACCTTAGCTTGAATCACAGCTGGATAGCCACGAAGAGGAAAAGAACAAGTCCCAGCGTTCTGTTCGAAATGTGGACCGTACTGTGAAAGACCTGCAGACGCAAATCGAACGTAAAGATAAGCAAAACATGCAGCTGTCTGATGACGTGAACCGCATGCGCGACAGAGTCGACAAGCTTCTCAAGACAATTGACGAGCTGCAAGCGTCAGAATCCACGAACCAGCTCTCGGCACGACGCGCTGAGCGCGAACTGCGTGAAGAGAAGGAGAAGTGCCACCGCCTGGAGCGAGAGCTGGAAGGGTGGAAAGGCCTTCGAGCAGAGAAGGGTGGCGTGGGAAGCGTTCGTGGCAGAGGTGTCACATGGAGAGTGGGAAACGAGGGAGACGACTCAACGCTAATTGACGTTCCTCAGAGAAACAGCAGCCTGAACAGAGCTCCTAGTATGACGAAAGGCTTCTTATAAAGCGACCTGAGTGTGGATAACGTCTGAGGGGGTGTATGAAGGAGAAGCGAAATTATGGATGAACGATGGCGTTTTTGTGATAGGTTTGTGGGACAGCCTTTGTGTAATTGGGTATCAACATAAGTGGGAGGACGGATAGCGGTCATGAGCAGCTGCTGATTCTGTATCATATTGGATGTTATCGTCCACGACTAGGGGGATGATTATGTTACATTATATAATTGGTACGATATTAGCTAATGAGAGACGAGAAGAAGTAACAGCTGGGCTGTAATTGGTTTACATATAGTATATAGTATAATGTAGTGAGTGAGCGTGTAGCTCTTATAAAACGCCTGACTTGAACCATCCCGTGCCACATGTAATACGTGTTCTAGTGTATGCTGCCGAAGCTTGAGTCGGAAGTGCGACGCAAACATTTGGCAGAATCGGAACCAGTGATTGATTGCTTTCGGGACTTTGGATTTGAATTGAGGTCGGGTCAATGGGTATTTAGAGGTCGATTATTCCTCCATAGAGTCTCGAGTTTGGGTCGGATAGGAGTGATAATCTACTGGTAAGCTTGATTAACCTCTCCTACCTACGGCTGTTGGAACCCACCCAAAAGAAAAGGGGGAAAATAATCCATAAAGAACAATTAATATCTATTGATATACTTGCTTTATCGCTTGTTTGAAAATTTCTATATCACATTTCAGTAAATTTTTACTCGTTTAGAGCCAAAAAAAATATGGCTAGCAATGCTAGAAACCCCGGGCATGGCGCCGCGCATTATTTTCATCGACCTCATAGAGATCCCCGCATGAGGGCGGGTTATGTGCTTGTTTCAGAGGAGCGAGAGTCTGGATCGGAGTATTCGGGCTCGACTTGCTGCTGCTGTTCAAGCTGTGAGTCGAGCTGCTCTTGCGAGGAATATAGCGAGGATGACCATGAGGAAGAAGAAGATGATGATGGCGATGACGAGGTTGTTATTGAAGAGGAAGAAGAGGAAGGCTACTGGAGTGATTGCTCTGCGTGCTGGGCGAGACGAATCATAGGGCGAAGGGGCCGGACGGGCCGGACGAATGGGAATCAATATATGAATATCCCAAGAACTGTTGAGGAAAGAGATGTAAGTGGACTTTGTCCTGCCCCTGCGCTCTCTCTCTCTCTCTCTCTCTTCTCTTCTCTTCTCTTCTCTTCTCTGTTTCTGACTATCACTCTCTCTCTCTCTCTCTCTCTCTCTCTTCTCTTCTCTTCTCTTCTCTTCTCTGTTTCTGACTATCAATTTCGAATACGTTGACTGAAAGCCATATTAACGTCAACCACCTAGTCTCTCCAGGGCCATCGCCATCGCAACCAGCGTGAGCAGCATCGTGGACGTAATGAAACTCCTCAGAGGGACCAGCGAAATGCCAATCGCGTTACCTTTCGAAGCACCAACAGCATCATAAATGGCAGTGATAATAATGGCCACAGCGCTGCAGAAACACCCTCCTTCCGGGGCCTTCTAGACCGAATCGTTTCGACTACTAGACAGCTACGTCAAGGGGAAGAACACACTCGCCATCTTCGGTCATGGATCCGCGTGCTGGAAGACCTTCAAAGACTACAACGCGTAGACTCTGAGCCAGGGGCGAATACGACTGCTGTTTCTGCTCCTCGTACTACTGCTTCTGCTGTCGCTGGCCTTGTCCCGAACACCAGTCCGACAATGGCTGCTGCCAGGGCTGGACAGCAAAGTCCATCTTCGGGGACGGCGCTTGGAAGAGCGGCAACCGCTTCGGGCACAGAGGCTGAGGCTCAGACCCGGGCGTATCCCCGACGAAGAGCAGGACGTGAGTGGTTCATGTCTGGGGGTAGAAGCACCTCGATTCACAGGCGAAGGAGACTGAGATGAATTCCAATGGGGCAAGGAGAGGGAAGAAGTCTCTAGTAGAATACGGCGGAGATGAGCTGCACTCGTTCTTTTTTGCAAGGACTGCCAAGTTGGGATAGGTACATCTATCTAGGAGGGAAGAGGGATGATGGATGATAGATAGCACCTCGTATTGACTAATTTCTTATAGCGGGATGGAGCCGGGCTTGATTAACTAAGTGCTCCATCTCGAAGATGGTCGTCAATAAGGAGTACGGAGCGTATGCAATGCTGAGAATTACATAACAATCAATGAATGACAATGGATAGTTAATGATAGATTATCTATCTATGGCTGGCGAGAAGCGAAGTGAGCGAGGACTTATTGGATGATAATAGCACGCAAATTATTACGAAAATACGAAATAAAGAGTGAGAGGAAAAAAAAAAAAAAAAAAGAATCATCGTATCGGTCGGATGTTATTAGAGAACGTCCGCTCTCGCTCCATCACTTACACGCGCGCAGGCTAAAAAGGTTAAAATGGAGTCTGGGGAAAAAAAGGCAAAAAGAAGGGTCTGGCCGGGGATTGAACCCGGGACCTCTCGCATATCAGCTGTAGGGTTTTCCCTAAGCGAGAATCATACCACTAGACCACCAGACCTCTTTGGGTGTTGAGAAATCACGTGCAAAAATATATTTATAAACCATACACGATACTCCAAGCGCCGCACGGATCAGGCCTCCAGACTCTGCAAATTATTTCGACGTCTAGAATCTCAATGTCTCCACACCCACTCAGCCGTACTTCGTATAAACATGCACTTAGTATCTTCCTTCCCGGGCTAGCCTTGCAAAGCGCCCGATGCTACGATCATGACAAGTAAGGAACAGGGACAAGGAAAAAAGGAGATCTCAGACATGGTCGCAGCCAGCCGCTTTTGGGCGCATCGCCCGCCACTTTGAAAAGGGGAGCAACGTCGCGATGCGATTCGCCGCGCTGTCTTGCGTAGGCTTTTGCCCTTACAGATATAACTCGACGCCAACAAAGACAAAAACAAAACGAAACGAACCTTGTCCAGCAGCCCACTAAAAACGAAAAACAATGGGCCAAGACGATGTCGCCCTTGTATTCTTCGTCTTCTCTTTTTGTTGCCTGAAGCACTAACGACGCCTAGGTACCTAGCTGAAAGCAACACGAGCAGACGTACACGGGGGTACTGTACACGCTTCTTTTTTTTTTTCTCTTCAGAATTAGGCACTGGCCGCAGCCGCTCCCCCCCCCACGGAAAAGCCAAAGAAAGCTCGCCATATTACTCGGTTACTAAGCCGAAAAGATAAGAAGGACCCTTGCCCTTTGTTGGTGCATGCAGAGCTAGGCTTTTAAAGCCCGGCCCATCATGCTAAAATCCTGCCACAAGCACCCTAGCATGATGGATGGCGTCCTTTGGAGTCGTTTCGGCTGGACCAGTGGGGACTAAGGCGATGGCACGAGCCCTGTCACTGTCGCCGCGGCCAATGGCTTTGAGCTTGTTCTCGTATCCCGAGAAATCTGGCAGGGTCGAAGGATTCTGGGCTAGCTGTGTACGAAAGTACTACTGGTCCGACAAACGAGAGACCCCCAGAAAGAGAGAGGGCCGAGAGACAAAGAACAGCAGGGAGGCGGGGAGGGACACTGGAGGCTGAGGAGAGGAAAAAAAAAAAAAGATGACTTTTTTCTCGTGATCCTCCTATGCGAGGCCATGGGAAGCGAGATGCTGTCACACCGTGTCTCGCAACCACTGCTACATGCACATACTGCGTGATATTCCAGATTTCGGGCAACTCCCTTGTCTGATGCCGGATTGGAGGAACAGATTGGGACGGGATTGCGCCTTTGGTACCTTTTGGCCGTGACTCGACATATAATTCTCGTATCAGCCCGGCGTATCCGTTTTCCAGCCCACCTCGTTCTTAAAACAAGACAGGCCAATGCTGTGCAGAATAATAAGCGCTTGCGGCAAACAAATATTGTGCTAGTATTTCGAACTGAGCTTCCGACCCACTGCTGCTGATGGATTGAGTCGATACCCAAATTGTATTGTCTTCAATCGGTCTAAGCAGATAATCACACTATTACTTACACAGCCTCTCGTCAGCTCCTGTGGCTGGATTCCCGGGGGGTTGAGTGGCTTTTGCTCCCTCTCTCCCTCTCTCTCTTTTCCCCCTCGCCTTCTCTATTCTCTTGCTCCCATTCAGATCATACCGCCAAGCCTTTGACTTTGATTTCCTGTCCAATAGCTTTTGCCACGCTATCGACACTCGTGCCTGTTGGTGCACTGAGAAGCGTGAGGGCATCCCGGATCACTCTGCCTTGATCGTTTCGTTTCTCAGTGCTTTTGGTACTCAGTACTGTAGTTCGAAATGCGCAGTAGAAGGCTGCCCGTGGTGGCAGCTCCCTTCATCTTCCTTCTGGTGGTGGCGAGCATATACCTTGGACGTGATAATGTGTCTTGGTTCCCAACCTCCCAGCAACGGCCGATACCTTACAAGCAGCTCACTCAACAGGTGGTGGGAAATGGTAAGAGAAAAGATCAATCCCCCCTCCCTCGAAGCACAGAATGAGGTATAAGTTGGAGAGAAAAAGACACTGACTGTTCAGGCGCTGTTCTTTCCGCCGACAACATCACTGAGTATCTCGAGGCCATCTACAATGCGAAGCCAGATGCGAGATTAGCGCCTCGCCTGGAGTGTCCGGCTATCAACACCACCCGGTATAAGACCCTGAAGTTCAAGAAGAAGCCATCAGGGCGGCCGGCGCCATCGTCTCCTCCTGTTCGTCCTGCTTCACCGGCGTCGACTTCACGTTCATCTCCATCTTCATCATCTTCACCTGTATCGGTCTCTAAATTACTGTCGCTGTCGAAATCATCGTCTTCACCTTCATCATCGTCATCAAGGCCATCGGCCACTCCTGCTCCTCGCTCACTCACCCGCCCAGCCTCTGAGATTCGTTACTTCTTCGCCCTCGACTTGCGGAATTGTATCGGTCTCCTGCCTCGCCTCATGGGCAGCATCATCGAGGCCATGCAGTTCCTCGGCCCTAGCTCATGTGCTCTCTCTATTGTAGAGGGAGATTCTCCCGACGGCACTGGAGACGTACTCGCCGCCCTACGCCCCAGTCTCGAGGCCCTGGGCGTCACTTACATTTACAACTCTTCCACGGTCAAATCCGCCGAGGGCGATCGCATCGCCAAGCTTGCGAAGCTGCGCAACATGCCCCTGGAGCCAATCTTTGAACAGTCAATCCCCATCGCCGACGACGCCAGCGTCATCTTCCTCAACGACGTGGCTGCCTGTGCCGAAGACATTCTGGAGCTAATCCTACAAAAGCAGGAGCTCAACGCCGACATGACCTGCGCCATGGACTGGACCTATCCCGGCGACGAACCCAACTTTTACGACGTCTGGATCGCACGAGGCATTAATGGCGACTCGTTTTTCCACATACCGGCAAACGGGAACTGGGGTGAGGCGCATAACCTTTTTTGGAACGCGCCCGACACGAGGTCCCGCTTTGATGAGCTGCGCCCCTTTCAGGTGTTTGCCTGCTGGAACGGCGCCACGGTGTTTAGCGCCAAGCCCATTGTCGAGGGCCTTCACTTTCGCACAAACTACCATAAGACGGGCGAGTGCTTCCAGGGCGAGCCGGTGCTGTTCTGCAAGGACATGTGGTGGCGGGGCTACGGCAAGATTGCAGTCGTGCCGAGCGTCAACCTCGAGTACACGGACAAGAACGGCAAGAGGATCAAGGAAGACAAGGGCTACGTGTCTGATATCGTTGCGGAACAGGACCCGCGAGACGATTTGATCGAGTGGACGGGCCCGCCGGATACCGTCCGGTGCATGCCGACCTGGAAGGATCAGTTTTTCCAGCGGTGGAATAAGAGTTTAACGGATTAAGACTCTCTTTTTTTCGTTTTCTTTTTTTTTTCTACGTTATTTAATGGCAAGGGATAAACCTGCAATGACTTTTGGACAGAGAAAAAAAAAAGTGTAAATAATAAATAATGTACGCCGTTTTATGGTATTGGTTGGGCATATAGACTCTCCTGGGGTTGTTTCGGTTATTCTGCATTTTTCAAAACACGAGCCGGCATATTACTTCATTCAATCATTTGCATTTCAAACTTTTTTTTTTTAATTGTACATAACATATTATACATTCATCAGACATTATTTCCCATTTCGATTCATGCTTTCAATTCAATCAAAATCAATTGGTGCTTCCCCGTCCGCCCTGGCCAACGTTGGGGCCCTGCTTGATGCCCTGACTCTGTCCGCCGCTGGCGCTCATGCCTTGCAGGCCGGCGCCTTTCTCGTGCATGCCCTCTGGCAAGGGCGCAGTCTTGTCCTTGGATTTCTAAACGAAAGAGACATGTTAGAATGGTTTCAGTTTTTGTGTTTTTGAGTTTGTTTTGTACATGTTGGAAAATTCAATTTTTTGGAAAATGACAAGTGACATACATCTTCTGAAGTGACGCCATGGGCCACGTTGTGGGTGCCTTCCTCAAAGGGGCCGTTGTCGCTTGAGCCGTCTCCTTGGCGAGGCATGATTGTTGTTGTATATGTTTGTATATGTAGAGTTGTGTAGAGTTGTGCTTTTTTTTTTTTTTTTTTGTGAAGAGTTGATGTGATGCGTTTGAATTTGGGAGGACTACATGCCTGACACACTTCTTATATCTGTTTCTCTTTTTTTTTTTTCCCCAACTGAAACTGAATTATATTTGACGTCATGTATATCACGAGAAGTCTTTCACGTAACCATGATGCTATTCTGTGGAGCTGATACTTTTTTTTTTTTGGTTTGTCTTTTTGGTTTTTTTTTGGGTTCCATTTCCCCATATCCACCGACCCCAGTGATCTTCTCAACTTAAAAAACAGTGTGCCAAGTGTAGTGCATCATCGATAATTCAGCAACCACCAAAAAGAAAAAATATAACAAATGCATGCGGCTGGCTTATAATACTTTTTTTTTGTTTCTTTTTCTGGTAATTTCTGGTAAAAGGAAGAACCCCCCCTCCCATTGGGTCTTGGCAACAGGTGAAAACAAGCAATGAAGTGACGTCAGCTCAAGACGCAGCATGCCTGTCTGGTTTGTCTTGGCATCTTTACTTTTTTTGCGCCGCTTAGACGGCTATCTGTTCCGAACACCCCTAAAACGGCAATGCTGGTAAGCGGTTGGAGTGGCTAGTTCTATGCTTGGCTATGCTTATTACAACGCCCGTAGAAAGAGGTTGGTATCGGTTTTTTTTTTTATGTAGCAGGTGGGTTGGGGATGAATCGGTATGGGCTGCGGTTGGGCCTGAGTTGCTACATATACCAGCATTAATTCTTCTCTTCTTCTTCTTCTTTTTTTTTTTTTTTTTTTTTTTTTTTTTTTTTTTTTGGACGTGTAACATGCCAAGACCAAATGTTTTATTCTCTTCTTTTTCGTTCATCTTCTTTTTGAGATGTAGCATCTCATCTTAAGCCTGCATCAGCTAACTTCTTGCTTGTTCAAGGTATCACACACAAGTATATTTAGCCAAAAAAAAAAAAAAAAAGAAAAAAAGAAAAAAGAAAAAATGTCAACTCAACAAGCTCAACATCAGTGAAATGTAATCTTGCTTGTTCAAGGTATCACACACAAGTATATTTAGCCAAAAAAAAAAAAAAAAAGAAAAAAAGAAAAAAGAAAAAATGTCAACTCAACAAGCTCAACATCAGTGAAATGTAATCCTCTAAATATGCTGCTCCAATAGTGATTCACCCATATATAAAAAAATATAAAATCCATGCCACAGCCCAGACGTCCAAGCCCCAGTTACAGTTACCCCTTGCTAACCCTCCAAGATAAAAAAAGTTGAGCACTCCTTATTCAGTAAATAATACAATTCTAGTAGTATATATATATTTAGCTACTTATACATCTCACATTCCCAGGTAATGTCCAACTCATCTCATATAGACAAAGAGCTCGAGCAAGTCCAAGGTCGCGAAAAGCGAGCTTACACGCATCTCTACACGCAACTCGGTCTCAATCCCTTGCCAGACAGACCATCTGCATCAACATCATTGGCAGGGGGAGCAGCTCCTCCACCCATTCCTCCTCGCAATCCCGCCCGAGGAGAGCACTATAAATGTAATCGTGCAGATATTGTGTCTTGTAATTTACCACAGAATGAAGTCGTCAAGCAGGAACAGGAACAGCAAGCACAACATAACTCCATGGCCGCAGAAAAGGCCGATCATGGCCGTGCCGAAGAGACAGAGGCTTCATGTGCAGACTATGGAGGAGACATTGATACAGAGAAGAAATCCAATGTCATCATAAACGACCTGTCCAACGCTATTGGCTTAGCACTAGATGAATGGAAGGATGTCTCGAATCACAATTAGCCCAAATCTCGTTTCCTCCCTTTGCACGATGGTGGCGCTTATATTTTCATGGGTTAGCCAGCCCCATATTCAAAGATAGCGTACCCATGCGAGAGTATTCATTCCTTCATAAATGCAACATCCTCCTCTTTATTCCCCTTCCAACACAAGGAAGAGATTTAACAATCAGTCTGCAAATAACCTCCATTCCCTGCCCATTTAATCCAACGTCCCAGCCAGCGCCACAGCACTAAACCGCAAGTCTCCTCCCTCTCTCTCCAAAAACTTCAACACCCCCAGATTCAGCCCCTTATCACTCAGCACATCCTCTTCGTTATTCAAAGGCCCCCTGTTGATGGGACCCTTTCTCCGTCCGTCAAGCTCCCACAGATTCCCATCTTTGCCCTTGACAAAGCATACATAGTGCAGGTCAACGTCGTCTTGGGCGTCGGGAGCAGGAGTGTCTCCCTCGGTGGCGGCAGCCTTGTGCGCTTCGGCCAAGGCAGGTGTTTGTTCGATTACTATGGCGCGTTCGGCGGGGTGAAGGGGGGTGCTCCTCTTGACGATGTCGTCGAGTGTAGATCCCTCGGCTGGGCAATCATTACTGTTAGCGAACGCGCGTAGCTCAAAAAAGTATGACTTCAACACGAGAGCGGCAACATACTGATAAACTCTCTCGCAGGTCCGTTTGTCACTGCATGCAGCAGCCCCATCAGTCCACAAGCGTTTCGAATCGTCTGCTTCCACCACAGGACCGGCTCCTTGTCCCCAGTGCCGTTGTACTCGGTCGCCAGGCTGTCCTCCGCCATCCTATGGCTCTCGTAGACTGCTGATATGGGAAACACCAGCAGAAGTGCGAGCGCCGGGCGTGGGATAAAGGCGAGCATGTCTGGATCAGTCAGGGAATACACATCGTGCATCTGCAGCGCGGGCGACACGCCGAGCTTGTGGATGAGCGTCGTGAGCAGCTGAGGATTGGCTTCGAGGGGGATGAAGGCCGGCGCGGTGGCCGCGGGATCGGGATTCGTGTTGGATGACATGACGGAAGCAGCTGCGTGTGCAGAGTCTCTTATTTCTGCTCTCTGCCTGATGTTTGTATTCGTCTGGGTATGATTTCTATGGCAAAGGTTCAATGGAAACGGAGCGTCTGCAAGCAGCTCTGGAGCTGGAGTTCGCAGCACTGCGGGGTGGCGGGACACTAAGCAGCAGCGTGCCTGATGACGTCTGCACGCGCTAACGAGCCCCATCAGCCGGGCGCTAGAACAGCTGCTAGAAGCAGGCAGCGAGCTCCAAGAGCTCCAAGACTTACGAGAGCTTCATGTGCTGATACCAGTAAAACGGGCAGCTTAGTTGCTTAGGTCTCAAATAGACAATAAGACACAAAATAAGACAAGACACTCATGTGTTGCAAGACTTTTCTAGCCATCAGACACACTCTCGGAGAATTTCATGGACGACTTTTGTCGTGCTAATAACAGGACAACCAAGGCAAACCAGCACAATCTGTGCGTACAAGTGCCACTCCCATGTCCCACCATTGCAGCTCTCTCTCTTCTCATAATTAAAACCATCCATAGAGAGAAAAAAAAAAAACTAAGAAAAATAAAGGGTTAAAGATAGAACAACTTCTTCCGGGCATTTAGCCTCCAATATGTTGCTATGACATCATCCGATATTGCCTCCTGTCAATTTAAAAGGCATTGCCTTCTCAGTATATAGAACCGTTTTTACCGTCTCGACGTTTGCCAAACAAAACATTTTCTCGATGCAATAATCAACCGCTAGTTCGCCGCGACATCAGACTTGCGAGGACGGCCCCTTCCTTTAGCCTTGGGCGCCGTCTTCACCTCTTCATCCTCAGCTCCCTGGGCAGGTTCAGGGGCAGCCTTTGCGGCGGGAACACTCGATTTGCGTCCTCTCTTCGCAGCGGCCTTGGTGATCTCCTCGTTCTTATCTTCAGACTTGGACACGGATGCGCGCTTGCGTTGCCTGGTGGCAGAGGCTAGAGCAGCCTTCTCGTCACCTTCATCTTCTTCCGGGGTTCCAATTTCAGTCCTACCCTTGGAGGCCGATGGCTTTCGTCCGCGTGCAGCCTTGACGGGAGCAACGCCCGCCTTCTCCTGATTATCATCATCATCTACTGTCTCCTCTTCCGACTTCACAGGCTTTGCCTTTGGGCCTCTCTTAGCAAGCTTCTGAGTCTTAGCAGGCTCTTCAGCCTCCTCTTCAGTTGCTTCACCATCAACCTTTTGCTCTTGCTTGCTAAGTGACTTCCGTGAACGCCCTGACTTAGTCGCAGTTGATTCTTTGGCATCCCCTTCGCCGACACTCTTACCTTTAGTCTTGGACTTGGCCTTGGGCTCCTCCTCGTCTGCCTCGACGTTCTTGGACTTCCTAGCTTTCTTGGTCTTGGGCTCATCATCGTCGTCGTTGGCGGCCTTCTTGCGACTTCGCTTACTAGCCTTTCCGGCGGGAGCTTCGTCTGCATCAGCAGCCTATAAAGCGTGAACAACAGCGATCATTATACATCTTAGACTTTAACCTACCTCTGTCGCGGCCTTCTCCTTGGCGGCCTTCTGTTTGGCGGTAAGGTGAATACCCTTTTCACCTAGCTTGTTCTTCTCCGGGTCCTACAGACTGTCAGATAAAGATATCGTGATACGAAGCGCGAAGGCCAAAGGAAACTTACACCATTGAAGTCCTCCGGATCAATGTGACCTTGCTTGATGCAGCGCTGGATCTTCTCCTTAACCTCATTATCACTATAAATCATATTAGCAGCCGTTCATTGCATTCTTGATGTGGCATGAATCGCAGCTTTTACTTACTCTAGTTCGTCATAGCCGTCAATGGCATCAAAGTCATAATTGTCGGGGTCTCCGCCGCAGAGTTCCTGGAGACCGGCGATCTGAGCACCAGAAACACATCCCCTAAATGATTAATGCGCGGTTAGGATTCTATAAGAATTTCAAGCTGCATGTTGAGGAAAGGGGAGTTGCTCACCAGTGCTTCCAGGACCAAGAGCCATGCTCCTGGATCTCAACCCAACTGCCAAATCTGATTTCACCCTTTTGAATCTTCACGGCCTCTTTCTTGCACACGGTGTCATGACAACCGGCACGCTTGTTGGGCGAGATTTCTAAAGGTTGGAGCAGCGAGGTTAGCATTTACTTCTGCATGTAATACAAAGTTATAGCGCCCCAAAAATTACTGCGGGTGGCAAAGGAGGAAACGAGGGAGGAAAGAAAACAAATGCCAGAGGAAATACGGAGTACAAAGGGGGTTAGAAAAATTTACTTACCAATACGATATTGAGGCATATCTGCAATACGATGGATATAGTCTGAGGGCGTTGAATATTAACAAACAAAGGGAAGAGAATATCAGAAGCAACGGCTTTTCCCGCAAAGTTTCAGTCAGGCCAGAATGCGAATGAAGATGCGACCATAGAAAAAAAAGTCGGTGGGTAGCCCGGGCCACTGCTGCGCTATAATGCAGATGCACGGCGGTCGCGGCAACAGAGCGAAACAAATAAGACGATTAAAAACGTACAATAAAGTGAACAAGAGGTCGCCACTCAATAGCAATAGCTGAAGGCGTTATTAAAACAACTGAACAAGGAAGAAATATTTTCTGATGCCGGGCTGAGGAAGAAAAGAGAAGAGGAAAGGACGGGGAAGCTGCCTATTGTCTGAAATATGGGGGTAGCGCGTCGCGTCCCAGAAAAAAAAAAGGAACTTGGCAGGCAGCGGGCAGGCAGGCACTTTCACTTCAGCTCGCTTCCAGCGCTTCACACCACCAATGAAACAGTGGATGCAACGTCATGCCGGTTTGCAGCGACGCAGTATTAAATTGGCTGCGAAAAAGGGGCGTAAATGGAAAGAGACCGAAGAGAAATGAAATTGAAATAATATGTAAAATAAGTAGAATAAAATTTGGATAAAAACAAAACCATTATTCGCACCCGTTTCATTTAAGCTGCACATTATAATTCAAAGTGTAAGCAAGGGGCTGGTAGATAAGTGATTGGATGCCACAACCACAGCGCATTCGCTGATTACATCGCCGGTGACAGCTCATACGGTGCTTGCCATAGTGACAATCTGCATCATGGCGTGTAATGGAATATTAGGTAAAGCTTTGTTTCTTTCCTTTCTTCTCTTTCTTTCTTTTTTATTTTTTAGGAAAAAAAAAATTCATAATTAAATAGCAAGTATCTTATTTACACGTTACCAAACGTTGCATGTAACTCCGTATGCTTCTCCATTTCAACATCGCCTTCATAACCAAACTCCTCATAAAGTCATACGTGTGCAAACAAACATCATCCACCGCTCATATACTTCACAGAAAAGGGCACCAGCCAATGTACATGGCTGCCAGATTCCTCGGGTTGACTGCCTGTTTAATCAGCTCCTCCACTTGTCCCTCTACGCTCAGGGGAATGCTCTCATTCGGCAATAGTCCTTTGACCTTCCTCTTGATGCTGTCCACCACGCTCTGCGGCTGCAGCCGCACTCCAATATCTCTTTTCGACGTCCGTTTGTCCTTTTGAAGATCCAAGGTGGGATCGTAAATAAACGCCTCCAAAATGGTCACCAATGTTTCCTCTTGCTGTCGGAGAATGCTCAGCGTCAGCTCAGACGATTTTCGAAACGGTCCTTCGTAGCCGTAGATGCCCATGGCTGCAACCATGTTGTGAGTGAGGCGGAAGGGGACGCGCTCTGGTTTTTGAAATGTGAGGCCCTTGTCAAACAGGCAGTTGAAGTCCACGTGGAATATCCCCCCGCTGCCCTCCTCCAAGTTTACATTCTCTCCATGCCGGTCCCCCAGCCCAAGGATCGTGCCTACCATAGACATGACAGCACATGACCGTGTGTATCTTAGACGTGCGCCGAACCAAGCTGAAGGGTTGGGAAACTGCTGGATAAACCACAAAGGAAGCACGGGAGGGAATCGTCCTAGCACGTCATTCGTGAATATGCCAATCTTGCTCTCAGACGTTGATGCTTCCTCCATCAGCTGTCTAAGAGCGTTATAATCTGGGTGTATTTTCTGTGAGGCATAGAGATTTATCAAAATATCTCGCATCGTCTTGATCCCAGGTACCCATTCGATGATGCCGCACTCTTCATTTAGGGGCACGACGGCGTAGGTCCGTATGTATAGCTGTCGCTTGCTAGATTCTGCATCTCGTTTTAGCGAACGGTTGATGATTCCGTTGAATTCCATTAGTCGCTGATCTGTACGAAGGTCGTCCTTTGGTTTGATGAGCAGCATATAAGTCTTCCCGTCACTGCCTCGAGCTGTGAGGCGCCTGGGCTTAGCTATCGAGCTCAACACCAGTACATCGTCCAAAAAGCAATCTATTGACACCACGTCGCGCGAAAATGCTTTGTGCTTCTTTACGTGTTCTGAAACGGCCGGTAGAGTAGCCGTTAGTCCGCTTTCCACGGGAACAACCAATGGGCACGGCGTGCATTTGTGGTTGAACCTCAAATCTTTCGTCAGGCTGGCATGCACAGTCTTGTTGCCACGAAAGTCACCGTTGTGACACGCCAGCAACAATTGTTCTGCCAGCTTCTCACCCGCTCTAATTAAATATTTCAAATCATAAGAGGCCCCATCAGCCTTTTTTGACACGCTTTTGAGTGTCTGAAGAACCTGGGAGCCGCGAGCCTTTCTTTCAGATGCTTGTCGGGTTGTCATGATACCGATTAAGCTCCATAACGCCTGGCGAGGATGGGCTTCCACAACTTTGACAATGATATGCGTCAGGCGTTCAAAGACATTGGCATTGGGGTGCGCTATACGAGCAACAATTTGCGACAGCGCTGTGTAGAAAATGTATGCCGGCAAGCGATGTATGTACTTGTCCAGAAATGAATGCAGTAAGCCCAACTGCTCGAGTCTGCGCTTGTGAAGCTCCCGCGAAAGCGAAACTTTACCTTCCGGAGCTTTATCAACCTGTGCTCCGAGTTCAAGCCAAAGCGTGAGTATTCTTGGGAGGGTTTGGTATAAGTATTTGGTACCCGAGTTCAAAGACCTGACGTAGTTCTCAATGACAAGTCTGGCAATCTCGCCAGTGACATAATTGTCGCTTTGATCATCCACCTTTAGCGGCTGTTCGGATTCCAATATTTTCTTGTAATGCCGGCCAAGGTAGTAATGGCCCTTCTCCCACGTAGAAAACGTCTTGGGTGGTTGCTGGTACTTTTCACGGAGGGCACCGGCGTGTGTCTGGCCAGCTGCATCAAGCCACTTTGCTAGCAAAAGTTGTGCACGAGCTGTGAGCAGTTTTTGATGATTATTTAAATTGCTAGCAGATCCAATACTGAGCGATGAACTTGTTTTAGTCATGAATTTATTCTGCTCAATGGCTCCCTGAAGGAATTGGATTGCTTTGCGGTGTTGCGAATCTCTAAACAGCAGTTTTGCGTTCTCAATGGTAGCCGCATCGTCCCCGAGTTGGGATGCATGTAGCACTGCGTTGAATGACTGGTTCAAAGAATTGGCCTTTCGAGCTAGACGAGAGCTAGCCAGCCATAGCCCAGATATATCCATGTCAGAGAATGTTGGTCTAGAAAGAAGCGAAAGCGTATCAGCGATGAACTGCACAGAGGTAGTCTTGAATTTAAGTGAGCATAACTTACTGTAAAAGCTGCATAGCCGCTCTTTGTATTCCTAAAACATATTGTCTGTCGTTGAAGTATGCTCCAATTACCTCACACCGGCCTTCGAGCAGGGACATTGTCTTCATACGCTCTTCATCGCTCTCTGGTTTAGTGCCAATGATGATTTCTAAATCAGTTAGGACATGGCACTTTAACATTATATCGTGTGCCGCTTGGAGTGATGCGGTTGTCGACGAAGTCATCGACAGAGCAATATTCTCTTTCATCATCTTGGTAGTCTCAATGAAGGTCTCTTTGGCAGCACCCTTGTATATAGCTTCCAAGAGAACTCCTAGAGACATATTGAAGTCCTGCAAGACATTGCCCTGAAATCGGTTAATGAATCTGTCGAGACTTTCCCAGCGACCTGTGACCCAAGCAGCTTCAACTGCAAAGGGCATGATCCTATTATCGTTGCTGAGTGAATCCGTTCGCATTCCCTCAATGTGATTGAGTAGAACATCTGCCATTATCAGTTTGTAGTTCTCAAAATAGAAGAAGATGCGAGAGCGGGACATACCATGCTGGCCAGCCTGTTTTAGGCAATTGAGCAAATCCATCTGCACTTCTGCATTGTCCGGTTTCTCAGCGAGCTGCATTTCATACCAAGTCTGTGCTGCAGCCCATCGTCCCGCCTTCTTGTGACTCAATATCTGTTGGTTGATATCTAGGACATGCAAATGAGCTGATATGCCCTCAAGACCATCTGGCTCGTCGATATTGGCATATATATCTTGTAACTGCTGCAAAAGGCGCGTCCGGTCTTCTGGCTCTCTCTTGGCTTGCTCTGTTTTTTGCGTGTGTTGCTCTAAATGAAAGAGAGCTCGAGCATACTCGTTGCAGTCAATTGCTCGTTGCGCTATCAACTCGGCAGGAATACTATCCAAAAGCCTCTGAATTCTTGACACATTCTGTTTCGCAGCTTCGGTCAACCGGCTTGATCGTTTAGCATGTATCCACCTCATAGCATAGTCCAAAGAGTGGAAAACAACCTATACAACAATTAGAATAACATCACCTGTCCGTTCATCAACAATAAACTTACATGGCAAAAACGCTTCATGTCCTCCTTTTCTTGGTATGACGCATCAGGTGAGGGTTGATAATTCAACACATGCAAAATCTCTCCGAGAATTTGGTCCTTCTCTGCTTGGCTGCTCCTAGGGCCCAAAAGAACATGTAAAACAAGGTATGGAAACAAAAACTCTGCGGTAGATAAATCTTTGACGCGGATAATTCGAGTTAAAGGTTCAAAGATCATATCGGCATATGGGTGCTGTCCCTTTCGTAAGAGATCTACAACGAACGCTCGCAACCAATTCCCGTAAAGTCTTCCCGGATGAAATATGGGATATTCCACAGCTTGCGGATTCATTGGTGCCACCATATATCTTGAATTTAGAAATGGTGCGACCACCTCACGCACATATTCCGGTAGGGTCATCCATTTGCGATATATATCGCTGCCGTCCGGTAATCCGGCTGCATGGTTG